GGAAACGCGGGCAACGCCTGTTCTGGAATGAGCCTCCCACTGCGACTCTCGCAGAGAAAGGGGGGCCCAGCCCCTCTGCAGGGGGAGCTGGGCCTCCTCCTGCCTCGGCCACTAACAGGGGTCCCTCCTGGGCCTAGAAATACCCTGGGGTCCCGGCTGGGACAGCCTGCAGCCACACTGCCTGCTCAGCAGACTCACCATCCTCAGGCACCTTCAGAGACAGGCCACAGTGCGTCCACCCATCTGTCCTCAGGCCCCACAGGACCTGAGCTGGGGAAGAGTTTCCAGAGTCGAAGGCCAGATCTGAGAGCAGCATCCTGTGAACAAAAGGAAGACAGTCAAACAAACAAGATGCTCCCCGGAGACAGCGGGGGAAGGGGAGGCCCCCACCCCACCCCCCAGTCACCCTCCACCCCCTTGACCCCTGGGCACCCACCTCTGCTTGGGGCTGCAGCCTGAGGGTGCCTTTGAGAGCCCAGCTCTGAGCCCCGCCCCTCATGCTTCCCCCAGATGCCTGTCCACTCCTCCATCCCAGCTCAGGGGAGGCTCTCAGGGATGCACCCTCCTGTGGTCCCGGGGGGTGGAGGGCAAGAGCACAGGACTCCATACACACTGCAGGTCACCTACAGCAGATGGACCCCAAGGGTCCAGGGACCTCCTTCAGACGGGAGGTGCCCTTACTAAGGATGGACTCTGGGAGCCCCGGAGCCCCACGCCCATGCAGGTCTGTGCAGAGGGTCTGTGTGCGGCTCCCCTTTCCACCTGGTAGAGAATTCCACCCATCCCGACCTTGGCTCCCCAGAGTCTGGTCGGTCGCCTCTGTCACTTGGCTGCAACAGAAGGTGAGGGAATTCTCAGGCTGAGTCTCACACTCCCAGTGGGGTGGCCTAGGGTGGTCTGTAGCAGCTGTGATGGGGGCGCTAATCCCCCACCTGCAGCGGGTGTCTGGTGAGTGTCCTCTTCCTGGCTCGTTGATGGCCACCTTCCCACTGTGTCGTCGCTGTGACCAGGAGACAGCTCCTCTGTCCTCTTCTCAAGAAAGCACACTCCCCGTCCTGCAGCTCCACTCGCCCCCAGACGCCCACCTCCGAAAGGTCCGGGGCAGCACATGAACTCCGGACTCGGGTTCAGTCCAGGGCACAGCACTGGCTCCGGAAGTCCCTGGGCCCCTCCCACTGCCCGCAGCGGACTAGAAGCGAGTCCCGCTCTGGACGTTTCATCCCAGCTCCGGGTCCTGTGCATCTGCTTCTTGGACGGAGCAGCGCCTTTCCCCAGTCCACAGGTGTGCGGCGTGCTGGGGCCGAGCTCCATGGCTGCGAGAGACTCCGCCGCCAGGCTAGGCCGCGTCGCGTTGGCCCGTTGTCAGCGGAGGTTGTCAGCCAGGTTGTTTCCACTTCCTGGCTCTTGTGAATAACCCTGATGTGAGCACGTGTCCACGTTTCCGTGAGGGCGCCCAAGTCTTTCGTAGCTTTTGGTATATCTGTTACGTTTTCACAATTAAAATGCACAACGAAAAGAATGGGAAAGCTCACAGGTGCCGACAGGGGCGTCTTCTACGATCTGCAAAGCTGGACACGGCGGCCCTGGCAGCCCTGGGCAGGGGCCCCAGCAAACAGTGCCTCCCGCCTTCCTTCCTGCCCAGCCCCTTTGTCTTAGGCTGCTCCTGCCCCTCCTCACCCCCACTTCCGCAGACTCGCAGGCTTGGGGCTCTGCAGGTGGGAATGGGGCATTTTCACCTTCCTGGGCACAGGCCTGGGAGGAGAACAGGTGGCCTGGGCGGGGCCAGTATAGCTGTGAGGTCCTGGCGGCTGAGCCCTGGCTGCAGACAAGCCTGCATTGCTGAGGCCAAGGTAAGTGGACTGGGGGCCAATGAGCTGGGGTCCCAGGGAGGTGCTGCCACCCACGGAGGGGGAGGGGGGAGAGGAACAGAGGGCGGGGTGCTGCTGGAGAGGGGGTGGCCTAGCACAGCCCCAGCCCCAGAGCCCAGGTTCAGCAGGGCGCAGCCTGGAAACAGATGGGCTTCTTGAAGGAGGGGCACTGCAGTCAGACGGGAACAGGTTTGCAGCACATCCCCACGCGGGGCTCCTCCCCGCGTCGTCTGGGAAGCGGCAGCCTCCTGGGTCCTGGGACAAGGCCTAGACCTGCAGAGCCTGCTGGGGCCCCTGCCGCCCATCCCACCCATGTCCCCACATCTCGCCGTCTGTGCTGCCTAGAATGTTCCTTGCCCTTCAGGATGCGGCTGCCTGGTGCTCGTGGGGACGGGCTGGGGGGCTCGGCAGCCCTACACCTCGCATACAGAAATTCAGGGAAGGTCGCTGACCTGTGTTGCACTCCAGGAGGGGGCAGTTAGATGTCGTGGGTGGGGGACGCCCAGTGCCCCAAATGTGCCCTCTTCTGCCCTCAGCCCCTTGTGTGCAGGGGAGGAGATGCAAGGCAAGGGGTCCCCTCTGTCCAGGCAGTGATGTCGGGAGGCCTCTGACCACCCACTGAGGTGCAGGCAGCTCTGAGAGGCCTTGATGGAACACAGACCCCCAGGGACAGGCGGGCAAGGGAGACGTGGGCCCCCTTCTCCACACACACTGCCCTGGGCATTCCAAAACATAAATGCAGCAACAGTGGTCAGCACAGAACTCCTGCTCTCTGCCACTCTGTGACCTGGGCTTGGACCCGCTCTGAGCCATGCGGCCTGGGCATGTGCAGCCTCAGTTCCTGACCTGGGAAAGGGGGTGATCGTCTCTGAGCAGCCTCCAGACCCCACGCCAGGCAGTGACCTCCTGGGTCACAGCTGCAGGAGCCTGACCGGCCACCAGAGGGCAGCCTCAGAGTTGCCAGTGGGGTGGACACCTGCCGCCCAGCTCCCCTCGGGGTGTGGGTCCGAGGAGAGCCCCCCCGCCGAGGGGCCCAGCCCCGAGAGCCCACTGGCCACAGGCTGACTCTGGCCCATTTCATGGACCGCACACACAAGGCCTCCTCACAGGTCCGTCTCCTTCAAATGGAGAGTGTCCCATGACACACCCAGGGGCCAAGGCCGGGCCCAGACACCTTGGTGCCCCACTGGGAGGGTCAGGCGTGCTTCTGGGGTCATGACCAGGAACTCCCTGCGCTGCTAAGGCACAATCTGCCATCTCAGTGTTAGAACCTCAGGCCCCAGAACTGCCAGGGCCAGGACGAGGGGGCCCACCCTCCTGGGGCGGCATGGCCAAGGCCGCTGACTCGCCCAGGAGGCCCTGTCAGGCCCCGACTGGAGCCAGCTCCCTCAGACGGCACGTGCACCAGGCCCAACACCAAACCGCAGACGCCTGCACGACCCTCCCTGGGACGCAGTCCAGGGCCCCCCCTCGGAGCCACAGTTGGGCAGGGAGCCAACCGCTGGGTGGATTGTGGGGTCAGCTCCTCTGCCCTGGGGGACAGTGGGTCAGGTCTGGGGACAGCAGGCAGTGGACAAGCATAGTCCTGTGAGGTGCGACCCTCAGGCAGAAAAAAAATCAGTGAGAAATCCTCACAGCTGTAGGGGTGTCTGGAGGCTGCTGGGGGGCTGCCATCCCCCTTCCTGGGCCCAGAAACAGAGGCCCAGGCTGCACAGCTCCAAGCCCAAGGCCACTGGGTTGCAGAAGGTACGAGTCCTGTGTCGACCCGTTACTGCGTTTGTTTTTCAGAGTGACGTACTTTTCAGTCCCAGGGCGTGACTTACTATTTTCCAGTCCCCGGGCCTCCGGAGGAAGGGGCTGGGATGGGATGTAGGGGACCCACTGTCCCTTCAGACTGCCTGACAAAACACGTCAAAGATAAAACGAGGAATTTTATCCAGAATCTATCAACTGCACAGAGGGCAGGGTGGCCTGGGGTCCTCAGGAGTCTCTTCCTCTGTTTTAATTCATTCCACTTTCCCGCCTTAATGCACATGCTGAAAATGTGACAGAGAATAGGAAGTAATACCATTAAAGGCAGAAATCTCTCTCCCCCACGCCGGGCCTTCCCATCCGAGGTCGGTGCCAAAGCAGGGCTTCAGCGAGCCCTACACAAGGGTCTTGTCTGAATGTGGAGTTGGGGGACCAGCCCACAGCCCAGGCCACTGCTGGAGATGTCCAGAGCCCACGAATCCCTGTCCTTCCCTCCCCGGGGCACAGGGCCCCTCAGCCCCTCTCCTGTGCCCCCACTCTCCCTGGGCTGTGCACGGCCAGCCCGGCCCAGGGCGGAGGGTCGGAGAGCCAGGCAGCGGCCCTCACAGCACTGCGGGCCCCTACTTGGATGCCCCCTCCATCAGTGCCCCTTCTCACTGTGGCCCCCCAGGCTCTGAAGCGAGGGAAATCCCCCGCCCGGCCCCCTAGACCGTCACTGTGTCCCCGTCCTCCCCAGCGTGACACTGGAACCGCTCACAGCAGCAGCAGCGCCTCGACTGGGGACTGTCCTCCATTTAAAGACAGTGACTGGCAGAGGGTGGGCAAGGGTTAGGGTTGGTCATCCCCACAGTGACCCCACTGAGCTGCTGGAACCCTAGGTGGTGCCTCCCACCCAAGCCTCCGATTCAGAAACCACTTGGTGGACCCCCCCCCCAAGCTGGGCCCTCCTTATATTCCCACCTGTGACAGCTGGAGTGAGGGGGGATCACCCATGGCCCCCCTGCACGTGTGGGTGCCAGTGCCCCGGTCCTGCACCAGGGAGGTTCCCCAGACAGTGTGGGCGGTGACAGGGTCCGGGCACCAGGAAAGCTACCTGGGCGGCGATCCCCAAGTCCTTAGCTGACCGCCGGTGGGGGCATCACAGGCCCAGCATCGAGCCCCCTCCCTGCTGCCCCCCCACAAATCAGCTCTCCTGTGGAGACACAGCACCGCCCGGGGACCTGGACTCCTTGCCGCAAACACAGTCCCTGCATCCTGCCTGTCCCGGGCCCAAGCCCAGCCTGCTGGTCAGAGGGAGCCTGTGCCCTCGCCACCCCGGCCCCGCCCCGCCCCGCCCCGCCCGGCCGACTGAGGCCTCACTTGCGTCTGCAGAAACCAGAACCAGCTGACATGTGTTGGACATCCAGCTCCTTGTCCTGCTCCATGGTGTCGCAGAGGCCCCCGGGATGTTTCATCTGTAAGAAGTGGACTTCTTGTGCAAGTGAAGCTGGCTAGAGAACTTAGGGGAGGGCTGAAACTTGAGAAAAACAATAACAAACCCCCAAGCTCAGGACCAGGGAGCCGGGCGGCCTGAGACAGGTCCCAGCAGCACCTTCTTCCTCGCTGGGGGCTCAGCACAGGACCACGGACCTGGGCTCTGTGACCCCCCACCTCTGGAGCCCCTGGGTGAGGGTGCACCTGTTAGTGGGCCCCTGCTGTATACTCGGCGAGGCCCGAGCGTGAACTGGGCGGAGACGGACAGGTGAGTGCATCATGAGGGAGGTGGGGGGAGAGGGCCCACAGACTGGGGGTCTGGGGTTCTCCAGGGGTTGGAGGGCAGGTCAGAGCAGGGGTCCCTGGTGTCGGGTCAAGGGGGAAAGGGTGGCTTCTGGGGTCAGGGAGGCACTGAGATGAGGCTGAGGCCCCACTCCTGTCAGGACTCCCTAAAGGAGGGCCCGCTGCTGTGCCAACTGGGGGGGTCCCAGGGTCACCCACCAGGCTGTACAGCCCCCTGGGGAGCATGGGGTGAGGGCAGGACCACCTTCTGGGTGAGGAGAAGCTACCAGTCTGCGAGTGGCAAGGTCACCAGGGGCTGGGGGCTCAGTGGGAAAGGACGAAGGCCAGCCGTGCCAAGCTGGGGCTGCTGGCCAGCCCCCCAGGGCAGCTGCTCTAGGAGAGAGCACCAGGTGGCAGACAGATGCCAGGCCAGACGCAGCCTCTAGAGAGAGAGTCCACGTCACAGCACCTCGAGCACATGGGCCTCACTCGGACAGGTGACAGGTGACCCGAGAGGTGGGAACCAGACTTGGAAATGAGCGCAGTGGGCACTTTGCTTGAGTTGAGCTCTGGCCCCGTCTACGGCGGCCGCTGGCTCGCTCAGCACAGAGCCCGCCATCTGGACAGCCCCGCCGCCCCCCCAGGCACTGCAGAAGAAGGCGCGGAGGCCACGGCTGCTGGAAGTGAGGCTGCAAAGCAGCCACAGGCACAGACAAACAAACGAGAAGGACGAGTCCAGTCGGCCAAGGACAGAGCCTGGGACGGCAGACTCACACTCTCTCCACACCCGGAGCCAGTCCACAGCCACCAGCACACCAGAAGCCACTCCCGAGAAACTCAATATGCAATTCCCTAAAGAAAACATTAAGTGACCATGCTGGGGACAGAAGCAAAGCAGAAGAAAACCTAAAAAGGGACAGAAAACACAGGGACAGAAGACCCACGAGAAAGGGCCCGCGACCCAAGGAGGGCATGTGCCCGAGAGACATTGCTTGGAGGACTGCCACCCACCACACGAGCTCTGCTGTGTCTGCAGCTCTGGGGAGGGGCCCACATGGAGTGACTGGGAGGTCCGAGTTCTCACCAGGTGGTCCCTTAGGAATGGGGTCACACCCACAGCATCCTTCCTAGAAATGTCATCCTGTCACCAACTTGCAAGAAACACTTGAAGCTGAAGCTGTCAGATGGACCACACAGAACCCCAGTGGGGCCGGGCCAGACGGGGACATCAGAACGCTGGCCCTCCTTTACTTAGAAGTCAGACGTTTTGTTCATAGTGGATTATACTGGCACAGATGTGTTAGTTTTTTAAAGTATTGTGCTAAAATGCTAATTCCTGCAATGACTGGGTTTCTGGTGCCCCCAGTCTGACAGTTGTGCCCAGGCAAGTGCCACACTGTCACTGTGTCCAGGTTTGTGCCACTGGGATGGGCTGAGCCAATGCCCAGGCAGTGGTCCAATGGGCGTCTGGTGCTGAGGGCCCTGGAGACTGGAGGCTGTAGCCGGTGGGGAGAGGATCCCAGCTCATAGAGGATGCGGGCCAGGGCCTCTCCCCGCCAGAGCCTGCAGCAGGACCGGGGGGCCTGTGCGGAAGTTGGGGTGCAGACACTGGCACTGGTAGGTGTGGTGGGAGCGAAGTTCACCTCACCTCCAGCTCTTGTTTGCAGACCTCAGGCCCAGTCCTGACGGAGGCAATAACAGTGCAGCCTTCAGCTGCATCGTCGTGGGCCCAGCCACAAGTGGGGACTTGGCACTTGCCCTTCCTCGCCAGGAATGTGCTGACCACTCATAAACAGTGATCACCTGAACAAAGGCCTCTGCACTGTCTTCCAGCCGCGGCTTATCCTCCGTGCACAAGACAGTCGGGCCTGGCGCAGCGTGGGAGTAGGCCCCTGGGGACTGTCATGTGGGCCAGCTGGTGGCTCTGGTCCCTGGTGGCCATCTGCACCGCAGACAGGTTCCAGGAAGAGGCGAAGAAAATCATGCAGGCCACCCCTCTGATTGACGGGTAAGTGGCCACTGGGGGGCCAAGAGCCAGGCCAGGTGTCCATGACTCGAGGCAGGTACTGCCCGACATGATAGTGCACTTGAGGCAGTGGGCACAGCGAGAGGGGTCCCAGTGCAGGTGCTGGGGGCTGTACAGAGGCCTGCAGGGCCCGGCAGCCGGCAATAGTTGGAGAGCCAGGATGTGGGCACCTGGGACTGTGCAGAGGCCTGGACGGCTGGGACGAGGTGGACAAGGTCAAAGCCGGTGATGGCAGGCCAGCTCGTGTCAGCACCTCTCACGGCCAAACATGCAGCTTCAACATGGGGAAGCCGCGGGGGGACCCTGGCGTCCCACAGGGCGAGGGCTCAGTGAGGCCACCATTCCCCAGGTGCCCTCAGGGCTTACGGTGGCCACGTGAACTCTGACTGCACTGTCTGCCTGCCACCAGGCGGGGTAAAGGGGCAATAGGGGAGCAACGGCTGTCACGGGACAGACTGAGCTACATGGCCACGCCCAGCTGGAAGAGGACAGAAGTATCTCTTCTTTCTTTAAGATTTTATGTATTTAGAGAGAGGGGGAGAAACATCAGTGTGTGGTTGCCTCTCGTGTACCCCCTACTGGGGACCTGGCCCAAACCCGGGTACTTGCCCTGACTAGGAATCGAACCAGCAACCCTTTGATCTGCAGGCCAGTACTCAATCTATTGAGCCACACCAGCCGGGGCAGGAAATGTCTGTTTCGAGTGGCTATGTGCCCTGCTAAAACTGGGGGGAGGGTCTGTTACCAAGGGGGAGGGGGGAACACTGCCAGCCGTGCCCCACAACAGCTGCCCCCAGCACCCGGAAGCATGGCCACCCGGACCACAGACACACGCAGGATGGACTGTGGCTTGAGATGGCTCCTCTCCCTCTGGGAGGCAGCTGGAGGGTGGGACTGGATTTCCTAGGCAGACGGGGAGGGGGGCCTCCAGGAAAGGCGTGAGGTCTGCACAGAGGCCTGCTGCAGCTCTGCCCTGGTGACAGCGCCTGGACTCTGGCCCCACCCTCCTCCACGCAGGCAGCCAGGCGTCCTGACCCCTAGCGTCAGTCAGTCTCACCATTCACAGACCCCCACCCCCCACTCAGAGAACGGAGAGGCTTCTGGGGTCTCCGATGGTGCTCAGAGAGGCAGGGGTGGCATGCTGGGGTGACCCGCAGTGGCACCAGGGCCCTGGGCATCCCAAGGACGAAGCCTTAGGCCCAGACTGCACTGGGTTAGGGACCCAGAAGACCCCCGCCTAGAGGTCCCGTGCACGTGTGGCCACACGCCTGTGTGTGCACGGGCACAGGCGTGTACTCACACACTGTACTAATAAAACCCAGCTTCCGACTGGTGGTCTGCATGGGCCCGAGACTGCGTTCTGATTGACTCCCACAGTCTCCGTGGCTTCTACACACACACACACACACACACAGGACACCCAGGAAAGGTTCTTGGAGGGAAGACCTATGCATTTATGGCTCTCAGTGCAGGTGACCTGACTCAGGTGTGTCTAGGTAATGAGTAACCTATGACCTGAGGACAGCCTTAGACCTAAGCCTGTGAGAAGCTGGAATACCACAGGGGACAGAGACCCGGGATGGAGCTTGGAGCCCCAGGCCCCAGTGGCCTCGCTGACCTGCCTCCCGTCCCCCCTCCTGGCCCAGGCACAACGACCTGCCCTGGGTGATGCTGGAGAGGTTCAACAACCAGCTCTGGAGGGAGGAGGCCGACCTGAACCACCTGGCCGACACCCACACCAACATCCCCAAGCTGAAGGCTGGCTTTGTGGGGGGCCAGGTACGGCTGGGCTGGCCCTGCATCCCCTTAGGCTGGGGGTCCATCTCCTCCTCCCTGGGATCCTGGCTAATGTGCAGCCCCTCTCTGGTGGCAGCGTACCCCCACCTCCTTGGGTCTGCAGAGCTTTGGAGGGAACTCAACAGCCACACGGGCTGAAGAGACTGCTTCCAACACTGGAGGGGAGCCAGCCCGACCTTCCATGTTTATGGAGGGTGGGGCCCCGGGTCCTAGCTCCTCCCTCTGCCCCCCAGTTCTGGTCCGCGTATGTGCCCTGTGACACCCAGAACAAAGACGCCGTGAGGCGGACACTGGAGCAGATTGATGTCATCCACCGCATGTGCCAGAAGTACCCTGAGACCTTCGTGTGCGTCACCAACAGCAAAGGTGGGTGCCGGCCCAACCAGCCGCCCTGGTCCCCACCACCCCCACCTCGCCCCGAGCGGAGGGGGCGCACCTGCTGCCCAGACACCCACGGCCCTGCGCGGTTCTGCTCACAGGCATCCGACAGGCCTTCCAGGACGGGAAGGTGGCCAGTCTGGTTGGTGTGGAAGGCGGCCACTCCATCGACAGCAGCCTGGGCGTCCTGCGGGCATTCTACCACGTGGGGATGCGGTACCTGACCCTCACACACAACTGCAACACGCCCTGGTGAGTGGCCCCTGGGAGCCCTGGCTCGGGAGAAGCCGCAGGTGGGCTCAGACGCAGCCCTGCCGCTCTGGGTCTCGATGGGGGCAGGGTCCTGGGGACGATGACTCTCCCCCGCTCCCCAGGGCCGACAACTGGCTGGTGGACAAGGGGGACGACAAGGCCCAGAACCAAGGCCTGTCGCTCTTTGGGAAGGTGAGTAAACGGCAAGAACCCTCAGGAGAGACATGACCCAGGAGACGGTGTCCCACCTGCTGGGGTCTCTGTTTCCTCACGAAAGGAAGCTGGCTGGGGTCATCCAAGGGCGGGCATTCAGACCCCAATCTTCTACCCATGGGGCCCCTGCCCAAAAGCACCCCCCGCCTAGACCTCTCGGGGGGCAGCAGTGAACCTCACGAGGCTGTGCCAACACGAGTGCACCGGCCCTCGCCCCCATGGCCGGGGCGGGGCTCTCCCAGACCCTGAAGCCCATGTGCCCGCAGAGCGTGGTGCAGGAGCTGAACCGGCTGGGTGTCCTCATCGACCTGGCGCACACGTCCGTGGCCACCATGAAGGCTGCTCTGAACCTGTCTGCGGCCCCGGTCATCTTCAGCCACTCCTCCGCCTTCCAGCTGTGCCAGCACCGGCGGAACGTGCCAGATGATGTGCTGCAGCTGGTGGTGAGGCGCCTGTTGGCCCAGGCGGCCCCGGACCCCGGGGAGGGGGTGGTGAGCCTACCCCACGCCCACAGCCCCTCCCTGTCCTGAGCAGAGGAAGAACGGCGGCCTGGTGATGGTGAACTTCTACAACGACTATGTCGCCTGCAAAAAGGAGGCCAACCTGTCCCAAGTAGCAGGTGGGTGGGTGTGAGCTGCCTCGGCCGAGCGGGAGGGCGCCTCCGGCAGGACCCACACCTGGGGCCTCCCTTGCAGACCACCTGGACCACATCAGGAAGGTGGCAGGGGCCGAAGCGGTGGGCTTCGGGGGGGACTTCGACGGTGTCTCAAGGTAAGGACGGAGACTGGGCCGGTATCGTGACCCCCAGGGGCCTGTCACGAGGGGCTGGAGGGTAAGTGTCCCGGCAGACCTCCCCTTCTAGAGGCGACCCCATCAGGCCCCCAGTGCCTCGGGTGGGGCAGACAGGTCCCCAAGCCCCTGACCCCAGGGCAGTGGAGCCGCGTCCTCTCCGCCCTCCTCTCAGGGTCCCCACGGGGCTCGAGGACGTGTCCAAGTACCCAGACCTGGTCGCCGAGCTGCTCCGGAGACAGTGGACGGAGGAGGAGGTCAGGGGCGCCCTGGCCAACAACCTGCTGAGGGTGTTCGAGGCGGTGGAGCAGGTGAGGAGGGCTCCCGCCCACCCAGCCCCTTGCCAGGCAGGTGGGCGAGAAGCCCAACTATACGTATGTCCACAGGCAAGCAACCACAGCCGCCCCCCGGGGGAGGCGCTCATCCCGAGGGAGGAGCTGGAGGACTCCTGCAGGACCTACTACGGCTACTCGCAGGCCCCCAGCTTCCACCGCCAGTCGGGGGTCCTGCTGGCCGCCCTCACCCCTGCCCTCCTCAGCCTGCGACTTCTATGACACCCTGGGCTCTGGAAGCTCAGGGGAAACTGGACCGTGGAGCACCCTGGGCTCCAGGCACACGGCTCCTCGCACATGACTGGCCTGAGCGGGCACCTGGGCAGCAGGCTGCAGGGGTGGGGGCTCGGGACACGGGCCCACAGAAGACCCTCAATAAAGGCACCCACCCCTTTGAGCCCTCGGGCTGTGTGTCACCCTGGAGGGGCCTCCTGCGGATCTCAGGTCACATCTGGTGACCTGGCAGCCCCTGGTTGGACTGGACCTCCAGGCCTCGGAGGGCCCTGATCTTAGAAGGACTTGGGGTATGAAGGGGGGGTTCACATGTCACTGCTGGGGGTGTCTTTAAAAACACAGCCTGGGCTCCAGCGTCCCCCAAACACTTGTAAAGATACACACGCCAACACACCCATGTCCTCCCAGTTATGCCTGCACATGGCACACACACCTGCACACACGTGCCCACACCTATCTGCACATGCATGCACACCCACCCACACCCACAGGCACTCACACTAGGTGTGCCCACCACCCCCTTCCAGCCTCTGTGGACAGACTGGAAGTGGGGGTGGGCAGCGGGCCTCGGGACCACGCCGCAGCGCCTGCCTGCGGCAGAGAACAGTCCTGCAGGGTGCTCATTTGGGGGGGAGCAGCACCCCCTGCTGGGCATTGTGTGGACGTGTCCTGAGACAAACAGCCCGTGGGTGACAGACAGACCCAGTCTGGGAGCCCAACCCGCCTGGGCCCTTTCTAGGTCCTTTCTAGGCCCCAGACGGCCCCCGTGCACAGGTGGATGCCAGGTGTAGCCCCACGTGGGCCCCCTGTGAAGCAGCACAAACCCCCAGCCTGTGGGCATGGGCCCTGCCACCCTGGCCAGCTGGGCCCTCTGCGGAAGGCACCTTCATGGGTGTCTGCTGGCCACTGAGATGCAATTCATGTTTTTAAAAAAAGCCAAGCCCTCCCTCCGCTGAGTAGGCATCCCGCCCCCACCCCCGTGTCAGGGGTCCCCTGGGGCATCTTCTCCTGAGAAAGGCTTCACTGCTTGCCCTGAACAGTTGCAACCACGTTCAACCGTACCAGAGGGAGACCGGACCTCAGAATCCCCAGGGCCATCGAGTGGTCACTCGTCAGTGGGGACACACCCCCAGCCCTCCCAAGGAGGGGCACTGCCCCACGACCGCTGGTGTCCTGGCCACCCCCTACCCAGGGGCTGGCCCAGGGCAGCCCCTACCCCACAGCGAGGAGCTCTCTGGTGCAGGGATGTCCCAGCAGCGCCTGGACCCGTCACTCTGGGGACTGCACTACCTGCCGCGGCCCCACCCCCAGGAAGGACTCACGTTATTGCTCAGGCCAGGTGCACAGCAGCCCCAGGGCCCCCAGTGTGGGGGCAGCGGCGGGGGTCCCCGTAATGGAACACAAGGGACTCCCATAGGCAGCTGACCACCTCCTCACCGAGGGCATGGTGACAAGGAGCGTCATCAACGTGCTGGAGGCCACGGCAAAGACTCTGCCCACTGTCCTCTGCTTGGCCAGGCTCAGGCTAGCACAGTCGGGGTCGAAACTCTGCACCAGGCGGCAGAGCAGGCAGTGAGCAAGTGGCGGCTGGGTTTCCAGGACAGGGAGGGCCTGCAAGTGTGAACTTGGGTCTCCAGCGCACACAGGGCGCGCGGGTGTGGCTTCTGGAATGGCTGGAGAACCACACTGACACCCACGGTCCTTGTCAAAACAAGGAATGGCAATGACAGGCAGGGCTGCGGCCCCCGGGGACAGAACCACACACAGGAAGCCAGTCACAGGATGACCAGGTGTCGGGGTGTGGCGTCTGTGCATCCAGTCATCCCACTTCTCCCACCAGATGCTCGGCGGGGGCAGAGGCCGGCCAATACTACCCCCATCCCTGGCGGGCAGCGCCACTGTGGGCAGTCCCGTGGCAGGACTCCCTGCTCCAGCCTGTCATGTGCAGCTGACCTGTCACGTGGGGGACGCTGCTCCGCCCAAGCGGAAGCTGAAAATTATTTAAAGGTAAAAGCTCCAGCATCTGTCTGTCTGGGCAAGGCCCGAGAACCTGCAGTCCTCCAGGTGTCCCCTCAGTGTCCACATGGGGCTGGAAGGCCACAGAGCCCCAGCCACAGCTCCCCCACCCCAAGACCACAAAAGCAAACCCGGAGCCGTTTCTCAGTGATCACCTTGTTTACTTGCAGCAGCGTTTCTGGAGCAGGGCACAGATACCCACGGTCCTCACATGAACCGCAGCCCCTCCCCCCACCGGGCCCAGGACTCCCAGGACCTTCTCTGACACCGAGGAGCCATGGTTGGGGAGTGAGGCAAGGTCCATATGTCAGAAGAACAGCCAGACAGAGCCACCCCCCCCCCCCGCCCACCAAGCCTGCCCCCATACCACCCAGGGGCTCCCAGTCCAGGAAGAAACAAATGTGTAAGTCCAGATAAATGTCTCCAGCGGGTCTGTCCACCAGAGCCCCCAGTGCGAGGACAGACTGGGCAGCCTGCCCTCGGGAAAGGCAGGCTGGGCCGCACCGACCAGTCAGCACCCACCATGCAGCCCCCAGCAGCTTGCACCGAGGGTGTGGGTGGGCCCCATGTTCCCAATTTTCTGCCCACTCCTATTTTGGCAAAAAAAAAAGAAACCCCCAAAACTACAAGAAAACCTCAAAACAAATCCAAACAGCTCCAAGAAAACGACGTAAACATCAGGAATGTGAAGGACAGAGGGTGCCACCCAGCAGGTCATCAGGGCAAGCCTGCTGCTCTGTCCTGCACGCGTGGCCACAGCCAACTCGGTTCTCCGGGCTCCCAATAGCCACTCTGGCTTCCGAGGTCAAAGGTGTGAGCGCAAGGCAGGAGGGGCTGTCGGGTGGGGGGAGGCACTGCAGTTCGCGGCCAGGAGCTGTGACCAGGTGTGACTGCTCCTAGGCCAGGAGGGGCCTGGGCTCCAAGGGGTCAGTGCATACCCAAGGGCCCACCAGAGGCAGCCGAGGGGATGAGAATGGCCCCTGGAGTGAGCACCCCTGCCCCTGGGACCAGGTACCTCAGGGGCTTGGCCAGCTGGCAGGAGCACTGACCCAGGCTGGAGGATGGGACCCCACCTCCGGGACTTCTGCAAAGGCAGCCCGGGGTGTGTTTGCTGAATGGCCCGAGGGCACCCTCCACGTCTCCTGGGGCCTGGGCCCTGTCTGTCCAGGGGTAGGGGAGCTCCTGCCCGCTGCTGAGAGGGCTCCAGGTGCCGCCTGGCAACAGGGGACCCTGTACCCCACTGGCAGACAGCCAGCAGCACAGGCGCCATCACTTGACATCCTCGCAGAATCGGGCACAGGAGGGAGCCTGCCGACTCACCAGCTGCTTGGCCAAGAGTCACAGAAATCACCCACAAGTCAGAAGTTTGTGCAAACTCACCCGCCACCTGCCTAAGGGGACAAGAGGTCCTAGGTCAGGCAGGCAAGAGATGCTGAGAGCAGTGAGGGCTGGTGCTGCTGCAGGGGCAGCCCCAAAGCGGAGGCAGGACGCAGGGAGACACTGCCCAGACAGCGCCCTGCGGGCTCCTAATTCCTCAGGGCAGCCAACCTGAAAAATAACAACAGAGCCCCATGGGGGAGGGCGGCGTCTGGGAGCACCCACAGGCAGCCAAGTCCCCTCGTCATGGCTCCTCTGGAGCAATGCTCGCACAGCCTAGATGCAGCGAGACCGGCACACAAACTCAGGAGCCTGAGCACAGAGCCGCCTCAGGCCTGGGCCCCACCCACCTGCGTGACAGCTGGTCCTCCTGGCTGCGCACGGAGCCCTCGCCCACAGCCGCGGCGCCCTCAGGCAGCTGGCTGAGCTGGTCCAGGACCTCCAGACCATTCTCCTCTGCAATCTGCACGATGAGGCTGTCCACCTGCTCCTGCGGTGTGGTCAGCGTGGTGGCCGAGCTCATGGAGTCCTCCATCACCTAGGGCCAGGTTCCGGGCTGTCAGGCGCAGGCCTAGGAGCCTCCACTGCAGCCTCAGCAGGCCCTCCAGTCCCCACCACGGCCCGCTGCGGGACTGCACTCCCTGCCTGCTTCCCCGCTCCAGCCCCACTCTCTGCAGCCCATGCCTGGCTCTCTCCAGCTTCTGGGGGCCGAACACAGGTGCCCATCACGCAGGGAGCGTTGCCAGCCACCCCTGACCCCACAGAGAGATGCCTGCCCCTGCCCCAGGCCTCCTCTGCCTGAGCTGTGTGTGCTCAGGACCCTGACAGGGCTCAGGTAACCTGGAGGTGGCCCTGCAGTGGCTCAGCACAAAGGACACTCACTGACACCGAGGGGGGGACAATGCAGGGCAGCCACCTGTGCTGCGCGCTTGCTGGCGGAGAGCTGACCTACCGAGGTATGCACATCCAGGTTCTGCACCTGCTGCTCGAACCTGTCCATCACTGCGGACACCTTCTGCAAGTCCATGCTGCTGAGCGCTCGGTCCAGGGCTTTGGTCACCTGTGCCATGTTCTTGGTCACCTGGCATGGGAGGGAGGAGACAACAGGACTGAAGGAAGGGACATCTCCACCAGGGACAGGCCCTCTGCGCCACCGATCCAACAGTGAACACGAGGAGACCGAAGTCCAGGACACTGTGGCTCCCGGGCAGTACGCTCCCTTCGGCGCACACCTGCTGTGCGCAGGGAAGCACCCTCCCCGCCAGCCCCCGCACGCACCTCAGCCGAGCACTCACCCCTTTCATGGTCACAGCCGTCTGCACCTTGGAGGCCACGGCATCCACACGGGATGCCATGCGCAGCCAGTTCACGCCTTCGTTCTTCTTGCGAATGGCATTCTCGGCGTACACACGGGCACACTCCACGTTCTTCTGCTGCAGGGCCTGAAATTCGAGGTGACACCAGCCTGGCTCCAGGGCCTGGCCTTTCCTGGGACATGTCGGCTGGCGGGCTCCCTTCATAATGCTCCACAGAGCTGAGAGCATCACACACACCCAGGCCCCATGCCCACTCGGGAGCCAGGGTGCCCGGGGCAGGCCTCCAGCGGGGAAGTCTGGACGCAGGGCTATCCCTTCATGCCCCCAATGACTTGGTCTCCCCAGCTTCCTCCCAGGCCCCTCACACCACCACTGGAATGGGCACCACCAACTGGATGGGCCCAGGCCCCCAGTGGATTCTCTGGCCTCCATTCCACCTGGGAGCCATCGTTCAGGTAAGAAGTCACCAGGTCCCACAGAGGCCCCCTCTTCCCAAGAGCACAGACCCCTCTAGCCTCTTGTCTTGCCCCTCCCTGACAAGGGACCCCAGGAACCTCCTACCCTGCCCCCAACCCCATGGAGGAGTCGCTTCCCTCAGCCTGAGGCACAGCTCCACCAGGAGGAGAAGGCTGAGCGGCTGGGGTCAGGGAAGGGCCTGCAGAAGCCCGCCTCCTGCACCATTTGTGGGAAAACCAAGTTCAGCACTAGAAACCAACAGGGAGCATGGACCTCCAAAGAAAAAGCACAGGCAACGTCTGATCTCTTTGCTCTGAACACCCCGTGGGCGGGCGGACACAGAGCCACTGCAGGCTTTGGGCAGGTCTGTCCTTCCCTGTGTGGAAGTGACACCCACCAGAAAGATGCCAGGAGCCCTGGCTAGTGCAGCTCAGCGGGCTGTGTGTCGGCCTGTGAACCAAAAGGTCACAGGATCAATTCCCACTCAGGGCACGTGCCTCGGCTGTTGCAGCCGAGTGTTGCAGGTTTGGTTCCCACCTTGGGACCATGCACAAGAGTCAGCCAAGTGGCGTTTCTCTCCCACACTGACGTTTCTCTCCCCCTTCTTGTCCCCTCTCTCTAAAGTCAACCAATAAATTAGAAAAGTAAAAAAGACACCAAGAGCAAGGTCAGCGGTGGCAGCTGTCTCACCTTCTTCACCTTGGCCTGCTCTGTCTTTGAGTCTTTCTCTGCCTTCTTGGCCAGCTTTTCCAGCTGCTTCGCTGTGAACTGAGCAGAGGCAGACACCCGGGTCAGACTGGTAAGGCCCCCCCCAGCCTGCCAGGCTCCGAGGGTGCAGGGCCTCCTGAAGGTCACCTGCCAATCCCTAATCAGCAGGCTCCTGCCTCAGGTGCTTCTCCCTCAGTGTCTGACACTGCGACCCTTCTTCCTTTCTTCAAACCCTTCCAGCTCACACCGCCTGGTACAGCAGCCAGGTGGGACTCTGCGGCCAGGCGGCAGGCATCACAGAGCTGTCGCTGTGCAGGGCAGGGGGACACTTCCTCTCCTGGCTCTGCCTGTGTCCCCAGACCCGTGTCCTCACTTCTCTGCTGGACTGGGCTACCCACCCACACGGCGCACTTCAGGGGGCACCTGTCCACCCAGAGTGACACCCAAGCTCTCACCCCCCTCCTGCACACCAACCCCAGTCCCAGCATGCTCCTCACCCCCTCGCGCACCTGCAAACTCTCACAGTGCGCCTGCCTCTGAGCCCCATCCCTCCCTCATCCTCCCTGATGGCCCCCAACCACCATAGCCCACCGCTGGCCTTGCTCCTTTCTTCGCAGAGTCCTCGCCCTCCCACCACCTCCACCTCCGAACAAAGGCTGCCCTGGGGCCAGGTATCTTGGGCCCTCCCGCCACTGGCAACAGCAGGGGTCCCCACGCAAGCCCTCACACACCTCAGCCACCTCCTGCCTTCTGGGGACCCCACCCAGACCTGGTCAGAGTGACCCCCATGGCCCCCAAACAGACCTCTCCTGACCAGGAAGCTGGCAGGGGAGCCCGCCGGAAGGCCCAAGCCCCCGGGGCCCATAGCCCCGCACGCCGGCCAGTTAGTCCCGTCCCATCGGCCTGCAACACCACCCTCCCGGGAGGGCCGCCGGCCAGCTGGGCCACCCCATGGCCCTGGGCCCCACGCCGCTGGCACTTGAGTCTCCAGTCTGTCCACCTCCCACTCCCATGTTCTAGAAGGAAAAAAACAGACTTTCCCGCCCTGGGGCAGGAAACCCCCTGTGCCTCCCCAACCCCCACCCTCCGGTGTAAGGCAGAGCCAGGGCACCCAGCATGTCCCTACCACCCAGTCGTTTCGAACACCAGCAATGCTCACTGTGTGAGCAGGCACGGGAGATGGGGCAGGAGCCTACCCTGGAGCTGCCAGAGCTTCAGACACCACCCAGGCAGGTGCCCCACTCAGATGCCCACCCGGCCCTCTGCCGGGACCACACAGGACCCAAGGACTCAGAGGCTGACGCCTGGCGGGATGCTCTCAGTGACAGATGCGCTACCAGTCAGCCCGAGACCAGGAGAGGATCAACGCTCCACCAAGCAGCTCAGGGATGCCCTTTGTTACCACTCTGGCAGAAGGCTGTGCAGTGGTCGCCCAGCAGATGACCTGTCCCTCTGAGTGTCCAGATTTATACACCAGCAGGTCGGGGTGAGGGCACGTAGCCACTCAGTACATACCTTCAACTGGAACAGTGTATCTGCAAAGGGGGGGGGGGTAAAGGTTTTAAGAAACACGGGAAACAATACTTCTAACGAGCAGACAGGACCGGAGACCCCGAAACACAAGGAGTGGGAAGAGAGCACAAGCATGGACGGTGCTGATGGACCACGTCACCACTCTGCTGCCTTGCTGGCCACGGCGCCTGGGTCACGCAGGGCCCTGAACCTCCATGCCCTCATCGGCAACACCCAGATGGCACCAGCTGACCTCCAGGATCAGCAGGCACATGGGAGGTCACAGAGGCAGCAAGTGGCCCACAGCAAAAACTCAAGGTGGTACTACTGTGACTCAGGCACCTTTACAAAGCTCCCCCTGAATCCTTTCCCCACTTGACGGTGCATTTCTTACACACTCTTTACCCACCAAAGTACATGGATGGAAACAGCAGGGCAATAGCTGTGATGCCATCAAAGGGCAGAGCCATCCGGTCAGGCTAAGCTCCTTGGTACCCGATTTGCCATTCACTCACCAAAACCCAAGAGCCAGGGAGATTCGAGTGCAGCTGAACACTTTCTCACCTGGACCCACTCCTAGGAGGGTTCACCGCACTGGCTCAGGGGGGCGACTCGAAGCCCTGCCCCCAGCCTGGGGAGCTGAGCGCTGCCCACGGAGCCCAGGGCCATGGCTCTCAGGGCGGGCCTCGTCAAGGCCTGGGGCGGGGACTCTAGATAGAACCCACAGCGCACCTGGCACAGGCGCCAGGGACCCAAGAGCCAAACGTTGCTACGGCAAAATCTCGGCCCAAAGTGATGCGGGCAGTCAAAGTTCCCCGGAGAGCTGAGTGAACTGGGGAGCAAACAGCAACCACGGTGTGTGTGTGTGTTGGCGGGTAGAGGGACGCTCTTTATCTTCTGAGGCCATTTGTACAGATTTCCTTCACGACGCTGACATGACTGCGTGGCTTTTCGCGTGTCGCAAAGTGATTTTTCAAAACCTCCTTATCAGGCCAGCAAACACCGCAGCTCCACCCACCCACCCTTCCGTGCTTCCGGGGCCCAGCGCGCAGCTGCCACCGCCCCCCCCCCCCCCGTCTCCCTAGTGCCGGAGGGCAGGTCCCACCCCGGGGGCTCTCGTGAGGCAGGCCCGGCGGGCAGGGTGCTGCTGGCCTTAGCTTGGCTATTTCTCTTCGCTTCTCCCTCTGACCTAACGTCCCGGGGCCCCAAATGGCGGTGTCCGTCGATGGTACCGGCGTTAGAGGATGGAGGGGCAGCCGGCGGCTGAGGGGGCCGGGGAACTGGGGGCCGGGGATCAGAAGCCGCGGGTCGAGGCCTGGGGCACTCGCACGCGCTTCCAAGGGCAGCAGTTCTCACCGTCCATGGCCAGTCCGGCAGCTGGAACCCTCGCAGAGGTGGTGGGACTAGATCTCTCGGAGGCGGGTCGAACAGCCGACTGGCTGTGCCAGGTGGGAACTTCCGGGTCGCTCTTCACTGGGTCGCTCTTCACTTCCGGTGGCCGGCCCTCTCGCGAGAGGACCGAGAGGACCGCGGGCCCATTCGCCTGCAGGTTGCCTTGGTGACCCCTTGGCTCCGTCGGGTGGTGGTGTCTGTGAGTCACGCCCGCAGTGGTGCTGGTGCCCGGCTCTGTCAGCGGGGCGGCGGGCTCACCTATGGGGCTAGGCAGAAGCAAACACAAACCCGGGAAAGGTAAAGGGCCGCCGGCCCGCTGTCGCTCTGCAGCGGCCGGAACCCACGAGGGCTTGGGGTGTCGGGCGCCCGGCCCTTGCTACACCGGAGCCCCCTCTTGAAGACCATGCCTCGGGAGCCCTTTCTTCCATGGAAACGTCCAGTTTGGGCAGATGGAATGACCCAAGTCTTTCAAGCTGCCTGTTTCATTCCGAACCAAAGCAGGCAACTGAAGAATAGTGGACCCATTGCCCTAGATTCAGTAAATCATAGTTTGAATTAATTATCCATATATTCCAGGTGAGGAGCAAAACAAGGGGTACACCTATTCAGGCCCAAGGCCTAAGGAAGGGTCGATGAACAGGCAGTCCCAGGACTCTGAGAAGCCACTAGACACTGCGCCTGCAGAGTGTCACTCTCAGAAGAAGGTGGCAGCCAAGCAGCAGTGCCTGTCACCTGAACTCAAAGGTAGGACTCACCCAGAATGCTGCAGCTTCAGGGAGTTTGGGGATAGAGTAAACAAGAGCCAAAGTGAGGAATCCTGGCTACAGGGGGTGATGGTGGAAGAGTATAGGACCTTTCCATAGGAGGGGAAGATCCAGAACACTAGGTGGAAACACAGGTTCCGTAAAGGTTGAGGGAAGTTGCCAAGTGATACATGCATAGCAGAGAGGCAAGAGGGGTTAGTACAGACAGCAAGCATGCCACTGTTGTCCCAGAGGGTGGACATGCTGTGTGAGATGGGATGCAGAGGGACCTTGGTGGGACAAAGGGCTGCCACAGTTTGGCAAATTTATTCACATTGTCACAGCCTAGGGTGGCCAGACCTTTCCATGTGGGTGGGGGGATGAGGCCACAGAAGCAGCCAGAGGATGAAATCTCCTACCAGTTCCATCTCGTGGGTTATGGAAATTAAAACGGGGGACGTGTGATGGAGTTCATGCCCTGGAAAAATCTGTCTCCAGAATAAAGGGGCAGAGAGGAGACCTGTCACGTGTCACAGGCCCACTGCTGCTACTGGGTACGAGCTGATGAGGGAGTGCCAGCCAGAATTACAAAGGATCCAGGAGGTGGACCGGTGGGACCTGCTATAGGATGGGGCGTGGGGACATGGAGCCAGAAGGGTGGTGGCAAGGACCACGAGACTGAGTCATTGCTGGGCCAGGAGGACTGTTGTCAGCCTGGAGGGGAGAGGTTCAGCCTGAAGCATCTGTGGGGTCATGGAGGGCAGTTTGAAATGAGGTATGGGGCTGGGGAGTGAGGCCTGGACTCAGATCCCAACACAGGGAGGAAGATTGCAGCGGAGGCCCAAGGCCTCGGGAGGAGGTTTGGAGAATGTTCCCTGCCTGTCAAGGGGCTTCTGGCAACTTGTAATCCACATGCTATTTTAAATGGAATATTCCTAACCTTTTAAGTAGTTCTTAACATATACAAAAAGATTACATAAATCAATGTGAAAATTTTAACTCCCCAATTTAAATTATGCAGAACATGATGGAAGTTTTGGGCTTAATGATAAAAAGGTAAGGCACTCTCAGCGCCTAGCACAGGCTGTGGCCATTGGGCAGTGGTTAGAAAGACTGAAGACGGGTTCAAGGGCTCTGGCCCCGAAACCCACACCGCCCTCTGCCACCAACCTTGGGTAGGCGCTGTGAACCTCCCTTGCCTCAGTTCCCTCCTCTGTACAACTGCAGAAGCTTGTCATGGGTCACTGTGCACTGTCATCACTCTGGCTGAGAATGGGCCACCTCTTGTCCTGTAAGGGGTTAGGTGGGGAGCATAGTGCACCGCAAAGCCATTTTGGTGCAGATGCTCAGTGGGCGGAGTCTTCTGACTATTGACACCCACGAACATGCAGAGGCCTGAAGGGACTGCCTCAAGCTGGAAGCCCCAGGGGAGGCGGCAGCAAAAGCACTGCTGTGCGTTGTAACATTCAACATACTGAAGTTCTGTGCATCCCTTGTGACCTTAACAATTTAAAAACTGTGACCAACATCAGAAATGTCCATTTGTACAGCACTCTGACCAGGTTCCGCACCGACAGCTTTTACCAGATTGGTACTTCTCTGGAGACTGTGCCTGGGCCTTCACCCCTGGGGCGTGCCTGCCACCTGAGCCTTGGGCAGTGCCATGCCACTGAGGTGGGCAGCAGAAGTCTCCTGCTTTCGTCCGAGAAAGACGATGTTTAGTTTAAGCTTTAGAATGTCCGTTTGCTGTTTTGACAGCCTTCCACCTTGTCTGTTCCTTTCTCCTGAATCCACATCTCCCTGTGCTGTGGCCCTAAGACGGACCCTGTCCGCTCTCCCAGGCTGAGTACTGGGTGTTTCCTTCCTTCTAGAGAAACCTGAGGCAATGGTCAGGCCGAGCGAGAAGAGAGCTGTCCTTCCCCAGATCGTCACCAGCAGAGCCTCAAGTGAGACTCTCGTTAGCTACAACTCCAGCTCTGGTGGGAATGAGGAGCAGAAAACCATTAGGGAGCAGGTGGAATGGGGCCCCTACGCCCGGCACAGGAACCCCAGCACCATCGATGCCTACATCTCACAAATCAAATAATAAACAGCCACCCCAAGTAGCTGTCCCCTGTTCATGGTGCTCTGAGTCTCAGCTGTGATGGTGGGAGGGCCGCCCTGCCAGGCAGGAAGCTGCAGGGGCCCCTGCAGGAGAGGAGGGCCCCCCCTGTTGGCAGCTTGGCTGAGGGCCAGAGCGACTCTTAAATGAATGAGTCATGCCCCCTGCTGGAATGGTGGCCTGTGCAGAGGGATGAAGAGAGCAGGAGAGACATCTCGCCCTGACTCCTGGGGGCCAGTGGAGTCCCCACACACGCTGAGGGGTGTGTGGTGAGTCCTGGTAGTTGGGGGGAATGAGGTGTCCCCACACTTGGGAAGAAGGTGGGACTCTGAGCACTGAACTTTAAGGCCTAAAGGCTCCTAGCCAGGCTGTGACCTGGCCCAGAGTATTAAGAGTCCAGAATGAGAATGTAGAATAGGAGGTAGGGCCCATGTGCACGAAGAACTTTGGAAGCAACCTTGTCACCGCTGCCCCAGGAAGAGGAGAGTGGGGTTGACACTTCTCGTCCTTCTGGCTGTGAACGAGGGCATCCATCCAGGGGACCCCCAGGCTGTGCCCAACAGCCAGCAGCGCTCAGGTGCAGCTGGAGAGAACGCCCCACTCTGGCTGGTCTCACGTGTAGTCTGGTGGCACTGTGTTAGCTCTTTGTTTGCAGAATGGAAGCAAACTGTACACACAGTTCCTATTTCTGCCTATGAGGATTATGTTCCATTAGTATTAAATAGTGTGATTGACTTCCAATCAATTCGTTTCAGTATAACCTGAGAAACAAGAAGTCTCATATTGACATTGGTTACTAACACATCATTAGTAACCATATATTTCTTAAAAGATTTTTTTTTTTAATTTCTAGAGAGAGGGAAAGGAAGGGAGAAAAAGAGGGAGAGAAACGTCAGTGTGTGGTTGCCTCTAACGCGCCCCCTACTGGGGACCTGGCCCTCAACCCAGGCATGTGTCCTGACTGGGAATCCAACTGGTGACTTGAGCTCAACCCACTGAGCCACACCAGTCAGACAATATCACTGTTTGTTCAATGTATTTACTTAGGCTACTGCTACAGCTATGTGTACAGAGAAATCCAGCCTGTACAAATGTGGGTCTTACCCCATAGAGTCCACAGGCCTTCCTGCCCCATGAAGCTCCTAGCAGCTGCTACGCTTCTGTTTTTGGACCTAGAGACTGCTCTCCCAGCCCTGCCCAGAGTGTCTTAATCTGAAAACTGTCCTGACCACAGTGCTGGTGCTCACCTCGGTAAGCAGCTTGTGAACAAGTGGGCTGAGGCTGCCAGGGCTTCTCCTGGAAGCGCCCTGTGGGCAGGAAGGGCCAAGGGACCTAGTAGTGCAGATGGTCCCTCCCTGGGGTGAACTCAAGAGGACAAGGAGGACAGGCAGTGTCCGTGGGGCCTTTGGTTGTCACCTGGTGGGAAGTCTGGGAGGCAGGACAAGGTGCCTCCTCCTTGGGCAACAGCTGAGGCTGACACCTGTGGGACAGGTGTCCTCACTGGAGAAGACTCCAGAGCTGGGTGCAAATGGATCAACAGTCAGAACGACACCGACCACAGGGTTCCGGTGTGGGTGTTAGGGGACAGAAACACTTGGATTTCATCCCATATTTTTATAAAACAGTCTCTGGAGGGTTAAGGATATGGTCAGAAAGCTCTTCCCTTTTGTGAACCCAACTGTCATACAAATACTTGTGTTTGGATTTTAATCAAAGTAAACAAAAATGCTTCCCATTAGAAACAAAAAAGTACAGATGGGCAGTTCCAGAACAGTCACGGGGCGGACCTAGAATGTAGAATATAGTGAATACTGCAATAACTATGGAAGGAGCCAGGAAAGTATTGGACGTATCTGGGGAGGGGGATCACTTCCTAAATAACATATAAACATCTAACCGTGCTACACACCTGAAACTAATATGGTATTAAAAAATGAAAGACTTTACAAAGCTAGAATGATTTATTAATTTAAACGGAAACAACGGATTTTGGTGCATTAACTTGATTAACTTCATAGTTAAGCAACGTCGTGACTTACGTTCACATTAATTGAGCTCTGGCAGCGCGACCGCACCCTCTGGTCGCCTGGCCCCTCTGCCTGCGCAGCTCCCACACTGTCCGCCCCGGCGGCCTCCCGTCTGCCCGCAGCCGCTACCCAAGCCCTGCCTCCAGGGGCCAGTCGTGCTCCCGCACTCGAGCTTGGAAGCTCACCTCTCGCTGTCCAGGATGCAGCCCCCAGGTCCCGAGATCCCTGCGGCCATCCGTCCTCCTCCGGCGGCCGTCAGTTAGTGCCCCTGCGGGGTCAGTTGCCCGATTTAAAATTGAAGTAGGGACTTCCGCCAAGATAGAGGCATAGGTGGATGTGCTGCGCCTTCTCACACAACCAAGTTTAGAGACAACTAAATATTAGCAACAGAAAACACAGCCAGAACACGGGAAATCGAACTTTTCGGAAGTCCGTTAACAACAAATTCTTCAGCCTGACCGGTAAGGGGCGAAACCAGCGGCTGGTGAAGCAGGGTTGCACAGGAGGACTCGGTCAGACGGACTCAGGCGCGGAATCCAGGCGCAGGTTTGAACCTAGTGAGCGACCGAGGGAGTGACCAGGCGAGTGACCTCGGGGGAGACAGCGGGGAAGCGGGGCTGCGTGTTGACTGTGGTCACGCATTTGTGCGCGGGTGGACAGGCGAGGGAGTGGGCGGTTGGACCGGAGCCCGGTGGGTACCCACGGCAAGCGGCAGTGGAGGGCTCCGCCATTTCCCTGCTCTGACCACGCCCCCACATACAGCGTCATAACCCAGTGACTCTGAGTGGCCTGGCCCAGGTGAACCACCTAAGGCACTGCTCCTCCGCACCCAGCTGTGAGAAACAGCAGAGGGGGTCGCCATTTCCCTTCTCTGACCACGCCCCCAAATACAGCGTCACAACCCAGTGACCTGGGAGTCCAAGGCACCGCTTCTCACACTTAAAGCGCCAGAACAGACCAAAATTGGCGCAAGAAGATTTCAAAGCCCCAGAGCCTATAGATCTAAGCGATGAAGAAATAGCAAAACTCTCAGACGCACAGTTTGAAACACTGGTGATCAGGATCCTCACAGAACTGGTTGATTATAGCCACAAATTAGACAAACAGATGAAGGCGAAACTAATTGAAATGAATGGAATTGCACAGGACACCAATAGCAATGAAAAGGAAACTGGGACTCAAATCAATTAAGTGGACCAGAAGAAAGCAAATAATGGCCAAACAAAAAAGAGTCAAGAAGCAAGAATTCAAAGAAATGAGGAGAGTCTTAGGAACCTCTAGGACATCTTTTAAACGCTCCAACATCCGAATGATAGGGGTACCAGAAGGGGGAAAGGCACAGCCACCAGTGGAAAACTTATTTGAACAAATAATAAAGGAGAATTTCCCCAATCTGGCAAAGGAAATAGACTTCCAGGAAATCCAGGAAGCTCAGAGAGTACCAAAGTTGGACCCAAGAAGGAACACACCAAGGCACATCATCATTACATTGGCCAAAATTAAAATGAAGGAGAGAATCCTAGAAGCAGCAAGAGCTAAGGGGACAGTCACCTACAAAGGAGTCCCCATCAGACTGTCAGTGGATTTCTCAAAAGAGACCTTACAGGCAAGAAGGGGCTGGAAAGAGGTATTCCAAGTCATGAAATCCAAAGACCTACAACCAAGATTACTCTATCCAGCAAAACTTTCATTTAGAATGGAAGGACAGATAAAGTGCTTCTCAGATAAGATCAAATTCAAGGAGTTCATCATCACCAAGCCCTTAGTATATGAAATGTTAAAGGGACTTATCTAAGAAAAAGAAGTTAAAGAAACATGAACAGTGAAAGGACAACAAACTCACAGTTATTAACAACCACACCTAAAACGAAAGCAAACTAAAAGGACAGCTAGATCAGGAGTGGAAACATAGAAATGAAGATCTCAAGGAGGGTTAGCAACAGGGGAGTGGGAGGAGGAGAAGGGGGGAGAAGGTACAGAAAATAAGTAGCATAGACAGTAGATAGAATATAGATGGGAGGGCAAGAATAGCATGGGAAATATAGAGTCTAAAGAACTTGAGACACATGGTCATAAACTAAAGGGGGGGTTAATGGTGGGGATATGGGGGTAGGGTGGAGGGGAATGAAGGGGGTAATAGAACAACTGTAACAGCATAATCAATAAAAAATTTAAAAAAAAATAAATAAATCTCTAGAATACTCAAAAAATAAAATAAAATTGAAGTAGGGCGCGAACCTCAATAGTCCAAGCGCGGCCAGGGAACTGAGTCCCCGAGGTCTCCGGTTCCCTTGGTAACCATTGAAGAAGCCAGGACGCCCCCGGAAGTAGGGCCGCGCCTGCGCCGAGCAGCCGACTGCTCCACCGCACTGGGGAAGCGGGTTCCACGCTCAGCATGGGCGACCCGGAGCCGGAGACGGAGCAGATCCGTCTGAAGTGTATCCGTAAGGAAGGCTTCTTCACGGTGCCTCCAGAACACAGGGTGCGAACACAGGGTGCGATCTGGGGGTCGTTCGGGGTGGACCCACCCTCGCCGGCGGCAGGGCGGGGCCGAAGTGCTCGGGGCCCTCTGTGTGGTGCTACAGCGCCAAGGTTTCCGGCGTGGGCGGGAACCACTGTCCCAGAGTCCTTAGCGGCTGGCGGGGAAACTGGAGGCCCACGGCGGGCCGAGAAGGGGCGGGCCCGCTCTCCAGCCGTGGGCTCTTTCGTTGAGAGCAGGTTCCGGGCTTCGCCGCCTCTTTGTATTTAGTGTTGCACCCGGGAGCCCTTTGAGTCGGAGGAGGGTTGATCCCCGGGAAGCCTTGGAGGCGTGGCCTCCCCCGGGCTACGAAAGGATCAGTCGGGCACCCACAGCTTCCCAGGACCCGCGGGCCGGCCGCACCTCACTCAGAACGGCCTCGGATGCGGGCCCCTTTCCCGGCGTGGTGCTGAGGGCCCTGTCCTCAGAGGGCAGTTAGACACACCCCCACCAGGACAGTGCAACATGCACAAAAGCAGGTGTCTCAGGACAAAAGTACCGTCATTTCAGAGAGAAAATGGTTTTCACTGGGAGGCAGGAAGAAATTGAGAAAGGGGTAGGATTTGGGCACAGAAATGAGGAGGCCACATTGAGCGAGTGTCAGGAGCAAAGTCACAGGGAAGAGAATGAGGAAGGGAGTCTGGTGGGAAAGGGAGGTGGCGATCATGGGCTGGTCCTCAGCCCAGGCCACTTGGTTCTCCAGGAAAGGAACGACCTGGAGAGTAAGGACTGGTGCAAGAAGCCTAGACGTCAGAGGGGTGCTGTCAGAATTGGAACTTTCCTAGTGTGCTGCTTAGACACAGGAGCAGTGCGCAGTCTGCTCATCACGAAGGTGTGTCAGTGTGCAAGCTGACTGCAGGTGCAGAGCGACCCCAGAATCCAGTGGCCGAGTGCAGGGCTTCATTCCTTCCTCCCTCAACCTTCCAGAGACAGGCAGCTGTTTTCCACAGGGTGGGCCAAGCACCCAGGTTGTCCCTTGGCCAGAATTTAGTTATTCGGTCATACTAGCTGCGAGGGAGGCTGGGGGACAGCCACCAACTGTGTGGCTGCCTGCCACCGAGCAGTGTTTCATAGTTGCAAGGAAGAAGCCCTGCCTGCCTCGTGGGGACAGAGGCATTGCCACTCTGGCAGATGCTTCATGAGGATCTCAGAGTTTTTGCCACCTGCAGAGCATCATTTAGACCAGTGTACTCGGTAGGCTTCCTTTGGCAGTGGAACTGCCCTGCTTTGTTCACCATCTGTGTGGTCACCCTGAGCCGCGTGGGGCTGTTGAACCCGTCGCACATGGCTGGCAACATGGCTGAGGGAGTGAGCTTTTCACTTGAACCATAGTCAGCTGCTGGCGAGTTAGGCAGCCTGTGCTGGACCACAGGATTGGAAGGCAGCAGTTGGGCCATCTGTGATGTGATGTTCAAAGTGTCACCCTCCCTTTTTCCTCATCTGAAAAGCCCAAGTGTGTGGTTACCTTGTTGTCTGGTACCTGGGATGTAGGCAGTACCAGTGAAGTGTGAAACCCTACCTGTGGCCGTCCATCAGCCGCCGCCTCCTCACGCTGCCTGCACCTTTTCTCTTTCAGCTGGGACGGTGCCGGAGCGTGAAGGAGTTTGAGAAGCTGAACCGCATCGGGGAAGGGACCTACGGCATTGTGTGTGAGTGGCTGAGATGGGAGGCCAGGGGCTCAGGAAAGTCTGGCGGTGGCTGCGCTGGGGCTGGAGGAGTCAGGGCAGCCACTGGCACAGGCGACTGTCTGTCTGAATGACCACACTACATGTGGCTCCCTCACTGCGGCAGCTGGCGCTGCAGCTGCTGCGACACGGAGGCACACCCCACCGCTAAGCATTGGGAAGCCTCACAAACCAGCACAACTCGTACAGGAGCCAACTTTGTGCAAAACGAGGGCTGTTTTTTTAGGTGAGGTACCTGATTTTGTGTTAGGACGTAGTCACAACAGGTCACCAAGCAGTGGTCTGCACACTGACCCCAGACGGAGCCCTCCAGGGAGTGTCTCACAACCAGGCAGCCTGTACCCAGCGCAGACAGAGCCTGTGTCCAGTGGGGCCATGGCTGTCGGCGTCACAGTGAGACTGAGTGGCACTGGGCACCTGGCTGTCCGAGGAGAGGAGGAAGGGAAGCCCCGGTGTCAGGGGAGGCCTCTGCGAGGCACGAGGGTGTGTGGTTGGGGGTGGGCTGGACTCCATTACCGTTCAGTTTCTGTCCCAGATCGGGCCCGGGACACGCAGACGGATGAGATTGTCGCCCTGAAGAAAGTGCGAATGGACAAGGAGAAGGATGGTGAGTGGGGTGGGGGTGCTGGGCCCCTTCCAGGGCAGAGTGGAGGGGCAGGAAGGTTCAGGGTGCCCGGGGCCCCGTTAGGACTGGGCCTTCAGTACTGAGAGCACCTGACAGCCCCCAAGAGCATCCATGCGGAGGCCAGTCTCCGGGCTCTGGCTCGTCACCCCGCCCCCACCCTGGAGGCTGCAGTCCCTTCCTCTGTCTCCCTGAGCTTCTGCCTCAGCTCTAGGCTCTCAGCCCATGTGGAGCCATCCCTGCCCAAGGCCTGGCAGGCAGCCCCCGTGTACCCAGCCCCCACCCTCCCTGGCTGCCTGGGCCCTGCCCTGCTCACCGTGGACCTCCCTACACAGTGGTCTGTGCAGAGAGCCACTGCCTAGCATCTGATGAAGGAAGGGTTCGAGGTGCTTGTTGGCATGCATGGCCTCGAGTCTCCGAGCTAGTGGCTGAGCCCTGACAGTGGTAGGGCAGGGTCACTGCGGGCTGACGTGGGGCTGGGTGCAGGGGCCCTGTCTGTAGGGCAGGCTCATGGAGGTGGGTCCTGTTGCAGGGGTCCCCATCAGCAGCCTTCGCGAGATCACGCTGCTCCTCCGCCTTCGCCACCCAAATATCGTGGAGCTGAAGGAGGTGGTTGTGGGAAACCACCTGGAGAGGTGAACAGTCTGCTCGGCCCTGTGGAGCCCACTGCCCAGCCCCACCGGGGAGGAGGGTGAGGTGGCAGGGGTATTCCCCTTGTTCTTCCAGCATCTTCCTGGTGATGGGCTACTGTGAGCAGGACCTGGCCAGCCTTCTGGAGAACATGCCGACACCCTTCTCCGAAGCCCAGGTGCTCAGGGTGGGGGGTGTCCAGGGGCAGCTTTCACAGGCCCTTGTCCAGCACATTTGTGTCAAATAGGACTTGCCCTGAGTGTCCGGCTCTCTGCACAGGTCAAGTGCATTGTGCTGCAGGTTCTCCGGGGCCTCCACTACCTACACCAGAACTTCATCATCCACAGGTGGGGCTCTGGGGAACTGGGGGTGCCGGGCCTCAGGCATTGGTGTTGGTTCTTAACATGGCGAAGTGTGGCCACCAGTACTGACCACTGGCTGCAGTGCGTCACTGCCCCAGGGTCCAGGAGGGAGCAGCAGCAGACGCAGCTCAGCACAGCCGGGGGCTGCTAGTGCTCGGCCTCCCCTTCGGGGAGCAGATGGTGCGAGTGCCATGAAGGCCCCAAGAACCAGCCCCGGTCTCGTAGCTGGCCCAGGAAAGGCTGGGCCTGGGGGGGGGGGGACGTCGGAGCCCAGGGCAGGGCTGTGCGGATAGCGGCTCTATATGCCGGGTGGCTGTCCGTGCTGCCCTGGGGGGCCCGGGCCTAGGCCTGGCCCTGCACTTTCTCTGAGAGTTGGTGAGTAGGTGGGTGTCCCTGCTGCCACACGCCTGCGCTGCCCGCTCGTGTTTAAAACGTCCCCACAGGAGGGACAGCGTTCTGAGTGTCGCTGGGACGATGATGAGTAGACCGCTGTGTGGAGCCTACTTCCTGGTGACCCTTACGCCCCCCTTTCTGTCACAGGGACCTGAAGGTTTCCAACTTGCTCATGACGGACAAGGGCTGCGTGAAGACAGGTAGGTGTGGGGGCTGGTTCCGAGGCAGTGTCTCTGTGCAGGCCCCTTGCGGGGGGGCAGAACTGTTCTTACATGTACCCTAAGGGCTCAGCGGGGGCCTCGCTGGGCGACATACCTCCCTCCTGTCTCTCGGCCTGTCCCAGCGGATTTTGGTCTGGCCCGGGCCTATGGCATCCCCGTGAAGCCAATGACACCCAAGGTGGTCACTCTGTGGTGAGTCCCTGGGGACCAGCATGCTGCTGGGGGCGGTGGCTGAGGCTGGGTCTGGGGTGGGAGGTGGTCGCTGCCCCGCCTGAGGAGGGGTAGGGAGCACTGGCGTCAGGCGCCTCCGGGCACGTGTCCTGTGGCCCCGGGAATGGCACGGGAGGACACGGGCCCCGCCCTGGGCCCAGAGCTGTCTGTGTGTCCCCAGGAGCCTGCAGTGACAGTGTCCCCACAGTGCTGCTCTCCTGGGCAGAGCTGCAAGGGAGGGGGCGAGGCTGGTGGCCGCTGGGAGGGCCCCACAGGCCGCTGTGCCCCATGGAGGCCCAGGAAGGGCCGGGCATGAGGCAGGGGCTTCTGCTCGCAGGTACCGAGCCCCTGAGCTGCTGCTGGGGTCCTGCACGCAGACCACCAGCATCGACATGTGGTGAGATGGGGCAGGGGCGGGAGGGCAGGTCTCGTGAGGCCTTCGGGGACAGAGTGGGCAGCACCTGTGCGCCAGCTCCCAGGATGTGGGTCCCGGGGGGAAGCAAGGACACACACGTGGGCCGTGGCACCGTGGTCCTCAGAACGGAGGCCCTGTTCTTGTGGTCACCAGGGGGCTTGCGGGACCCCATCATGTGGCCACCCCATTGTGACATCTGCTGGATCTCGGCCTGTCCTCTGACCCCTCAGCGGGCCACAGGGGCGGGGCGCTGGCAGGTGTGTGAGGGGGTCCTGCTCTGCCCGCAGGGCCCTGGGCTGTGTCCTGGCCGAATTGCTGGCCCACAAGCCCCTCCTCCCCGGCACGTCTGAGATCCACCAGGTGGACCTGATTGTGCAGCTGCTGGGGACGCCCAGTGAGAACATCTGGCCGGTGAGTGCCCAGCCCCCACCCTCACCCTGCCCAGCCTGCCCCAGGCTTCAGCCCCTGTGTCCTGCAGGGCTTCTCCAAGCTGCCGCTGGCCAGCCAGTACAGCCTGAGGAAGCAGCCGTACAACAACCTGAAGCACAAGTTCCCCTGGCTCTCGGAGGCCGGCCTGCGCCTGCTGAACCTGCTCTTCATGTACGACCCCAAGAAAAGGTGCTGGCCCCAGGGGGCGGGGGCACCTTCCACCCAAGCCCTCTGAAGAGGGTCTCTCAGAACAGAGGCTGAGTTGGCCCCTCCCCAGACATGTACCCAGGTCTGGTGACCTCTGCCCTCTCGGGGCACAGAGCCCACCCTGAGGGTCCCCTTGGTATCTGGGCCCCGGCCCTCCCTTCCCACCCGCCCTCTGTCCTTGTTGGGAAATAGAAATCAGGGCCACCCCATCAGGCCGGATGTGAGAGCAGCGGCCAGCAGGGCTCAGGGCTGCGCTGTCCTGCAGGGCAACGGCCGGGGACTGCCTGGAGAGCTCCTACTTCAAGGAGAAGCCCCTGCGTGAGTCCCCAAGACCCTCAGGCTCAGCCTGCAGAACTGTGGGCTAGTGACTTTCTGTCCACTCTGAGACCTTCTGGAGGGTGTTGGGACAGCCTCTGGGAACTCCTCCAGCCACCAGCCTGGGGCGGGAGGTAGCCCCCAGCCCAGACCTGTCCAGGTTGGGCACTGACCCTGAGCAGGTAGCAACTGGGCCCTGGCCACAGATGCTGTCTGTGGGTCGCAGCATTGGAGCAGAGGGGTAGAGGGGTGGCCCTGGGGCCTGTTGTGAATGTAGGGCGGGGCTCCGACCCCCTGCCCCGTGCTGACAGCCCCCTCTCCGCAGCCTGTGAGCCAGAGCTCATGCCCACCTTCCCTCACCATCGCAACAAGCGGGCCACTCCGGCCACCTCTGAGAGCCAGAGCAAGCGCTGCAGGCCCTGACCACTGGAGGCCCCTGCCTGCCAGGCTGACAGGCTCCCAAGATGCAGCTTGACCCTTTGCTGGACTCACTAGCTGCTTCAGCTGACCACACGTGTTCCTGCTGCCTCCACCCACCGCTGCCCCAGAACCAGGGGGTAATTCCGGTGGTGCAACCTTGGGCTGGTCCCACCCGGCCTGCGCTGGCGCCATCTGGTGGCCTCACCAGGTCTTGCCCACTGCCATGCCCTTGGCTTGTAGAAGCTCCAAAATACCTACTGGGCTCATCTCAGAGGGTGTTGCTAGCTTAGCATGAGCAACCTCTCAGGGATGCTGTGCCCTCTCTTGGTCACCACGGTCTTCCCAGACCAGGGAGAAGCTGCGGTGACCCCTGGGCAGGGATGGTGGGACCCAGTGACCAAGGTCTGGGCTGTGACCACCGGGGTACCAGAGCAAGGCCCTGGGCTGGGGGCTGAGCCCCAGAAAGGAACCGCATGGTTGGAGCAACAGGAACACAGAGATAAAAGCTCTCCTGACAGACGCAGGCGGGTCCCGTGTCCTTTAATGTACTTGAGACCCTGTCCTGGGAGGGCAGTAGCTGGGAAGAAGGGGGTGGGCATGGATACCAGGCCAGCCACCCACCAGTCCAGTGGGTGAGTGGTTCCTGGAACCTGGGAAAGGGCTGCCCCTGCCTGCCTTGGCCTTGGAGCCCAGACAAGTGCTGACTGTGGGGCCTGGGTGGGTTTCATGGGAAGCTGGGTGCTGGTGCCCCAAGTGGCCTCACAGCCCCAGGCTCCATCAGCCCTGCTGCTACTGCCCAGGACCCAGAGCTCCCAGCGCCTCCATGCCCTGACACGAGGTCCAGTCACTCTCTGCCCGTGGGGCCAGCTTTTCCCCCAAGGCTGAGCCTGGGCAGGTCAGCCATGCACCTGGCAGAGTCCTCAGAGCCCAGGCTCAGTGTCACCTCCAGGTCCCCTGCAACACTGGCAGGAGGCAGCATCTCCTAGGTCACAACCTGCAGGGAGTGGGTCAGGAACTCCAAGCTGACTGCCACGCCCCTGCTGTGTGGGGGGAAGGGCCCTTCCCGGGGACAGGCTCAGGTGCCTTGATGGGCCAGAGTCCTTCATCCAGCACATTTTGGTCTAGGTCTGGGTGGTGGGGACAGGGGGAGGGGGCAAGGGCTTTCCCTGGAAGCAAGAGCTCACCTCCCGCCTGTGGGCCTAGGCTGTCCACACCGCAGCCCCTGCTGTGCCCAGTACTCTCCTGGTGTCCAGGGCAGCAGTGGCCCAGGCCTGATGAGGGACGAGAGCCAGAGAAGCACCATGGAAACACTCGGAAAGCCCTGGGCCAGGGGCCTGGGCAGGCAGGCCTACGGTCGGGCCCCAGGGCTGTCGTACAGCAGGGTGTCCACCTCCGCCCGCTGCAACCACAGGCGCTGCTGCGTGTCGCCCAGCAGTGTGTGCAGCTCGTGGCCCCGACGGCAGGCGGGCAGGGCCACGCAATGGGCAGTGTGCAGCTGGCGGCACGTGTGGCAGCAGAGGGCGGGCAGGACGCCAGGGGCCAGGCAGTTGTGCGCCTGGTAGCCCGGGGACTCGGGGACGGGCCCGTGTGTGTGCTGGGGGCTGGGGCTCCCAGGGCCTTGTGGGGCGGCCCGGTGCCTAGGCTGATTCAGCCGCTCTGGATGCAGAGACAGGAAAAAGGCCTCCGGCTCCTGCTCTTCCTCCTCTAAGGCTCCTTGGGGTGGGCTGCTGGTCCGCTGTGGCACCGCAGCCTCCTCCAGGGACTCCCAGGCCTCCCCACCAGCGCCCCACAGCCGGGCACTCTGCTCCCAGGGCAGTGGCCGGTAGACAGCCTCTGGGGAGGGTGAGCTCGGGCCTGGGGAGGGCTCTCCGTACAGGCTGGCCTCCTCCGAGCTCTCGTCCTCCTGCAGGTCCCGGTACAGGTCCAGCTGGGCCCGGAACCTAGCCGGGGAGCTCCGAGGGGGCAGGGGCGGTGGCTCTTCCTCCCGGGCCAGCCTCTGCTGCAGCCACGCCACGCAGGAGCTCACGTCCACACTGGCCCGCCGTGCCTGCAGCAGCACCTCGGCCGGCAGCTTGCTGGTGCCCAGCTGCGCCAGCACCTCTCCCAGGATCTCACACTCCAGCCGCAGGGCGAAGCAGCCCAGGGCCACCTGCACCAGCTGGCAGGCAGGTGGCGGGGCGGTCACCATGAGGCAGTGGTTGTCCCCTGGCATGTAGCCCATCTTCTGGAAGCTCTGGACAAGGAGGTCCTCCGACAGCGCGCCCTTCAGCACATGCACGTAGCCCCCAGAGAATGTCTGCAAGGAAGGGCCAGTCAGCGGCAGCTCCAGGCCACCACCCTCCCTCGGCTGGCGCCAGGTGACCAGAGCTTAGCTATGCTGACACGAAGGGCCACCTCCAGCCCAGGGCTCATCGACTAAGGCAGCCCCCTCCATCACAGTTTAGGCAACGAGTGCATTCTTCTGGCTCCTCAGAACAAGACAGAGAGCCCCACACTGAGAACTCACTGCCTCACGGCTACGGGGGGTGAGAGCTTCCCGGGAGCAACTAGCAGACTTGTCAGGATGGGACCCCATGAGCGCTCCTCCGCCCACAGCTGCTGACGGAGCCTCCCTGTCAGCTCTGCGAGGCTCTACTGCGTGCAGGCTCCAGACCCAGGGTTCCGCCTTCCCCTCACAAGGAACAGACCTTTAACTGGGCTGTTCTGTCCACTTGGGAAGTTGCTTCAGAGAAATTGGGGAGCTGGCTCAACCAGACTCCCCCAGGTTGGCCCAACGCCAAGCCGCGGGGCAGGCCCTGCGTGCCCACTACACCACCCCTTGCCCCCTGAACAGATGAATAAAAGCCCTACGACCTCAGACCAGCTGGTGCCCTCCCTGAGCAGTGGGCTCCAGAGCTCACCACCCCACAGAGGCTGTTGCTGCCATGGCAACTGGCAGAGGCATTTCGCCCACATGCCCAGTGACATCATCACCTTCCCACTCATCTAAATTAAGCAAGGGGCCTGCCCCTCCTGCTGGTGGCAGCTCACCTAGAGGCCAGTTCACACCCTCTGTACCTGGGCTGAGTGGTGAAAGAGGTCCATGCCCAGTCTGGCCCCCCAGCCCTGCCTGCTTCATTAGGGCGCACCTGCTTGGCTTCGTTCTCCATAAATGGGATCCAGCCCACATCCAGGATGGTTAGGGTGACCATTGACCCTCAAGTCCCTCCTGTGCACCTGTCCTAGGATTCTTTATGGCAACTGGGGCCGCAGAGACACTTTGGGGAGGGCAGTGACTGAAGCTTTACAGGGCAGGGTGCCCTCAGTGCGCTCTGAGCCCTGAACCCCCTGGGCCGAGGGCACCTGAAATCCCCCAGCCCAATGCCTGCCCAAGGAAGCCCCCTCGGCCGGGCACCCACCTTGATGGTGGTGAACTCCTTCCTCCAGGGCAGCAAGTACAGGTGCACAGCGGCCAGCTCCAGCAGCTCGAAGGCCCGGGCCAGGCCGCGCAGCGCCGGGGCCAGGTCGGCGCGGCCCCACAGGCCGTCAGTGAGCAGCGCTAGCGCGTCGTCTTGCAGCGCCCCGTGCAGGTCGAAGTCTTCCACTAGGATCTGCCAGAGCACCGCGCGCAGCGACGGGTCCCCGCACACGCCCGCGCGCCCGCGCCGCAACTCGCGCTCCAGGCACAGGCGGTAGTCCTCCGACAGCGAGCGGCTGCCCATCCTGGTGGCGGGTAGGGCTTTAGGAACCACAGCCCCCTCCCGCCGCCGGCCGGGTGCCCCAAGACCACACCCGGCATTCCAGGCCAGGCTCCAGACCCGCGAACTCGCCACCCCAATACCTACAGGCTACCCCCTTCCTGGAGATGCGCCCCACCCCGCCAGCTGAGTCCCCACTCCCAAGCAGAGCACCCCTCGCCACCAGATGTTGTCGAGGGGCCCGTAGGCGACCCCACTACCTGTCCGTCCCCAAGGGTCCCCTAGCGTGCGCTGCTCTGCTCCGGCCTGTCCCCAACAGGGCTCTTCCGCCAGCAGTCAGCTCCGCCCCTCGGCCTTGGCGGTGACGCTCAGGGTGGGGCTTGAATCAAGCACCGCCCCCCCAGCTAACAGGAGCTGAGAGGGGCGCGCCCAGGGGCGTGGCCTGTCCCTCCCCCATGGGGCGGAGCTGGTTTGGGGACTTCCCTGCCGGGCACAGGCGCTTGCACCTGTCCGGCCACCTGCCTCTGCCTCGCTCCTCTCTCCCAGGTGCAGGTGCCGGTGCCGTTCGGGGCCAGTCCCTCACTGAAGACGAGGCCAGAGCGAGAGCCCCCGTAAATGGGCGGCGCATCACAGCGGCACGTCCACCCAGGAGGCCCAGAGCTCGGACGGCCACGCCCCGCTGTCTCCGGCAGGGCCCTGGGGAGTGCGCGGCCGGTGGGGAAGCAGGGGAGTAAAGGAGCTCCTCTTGAACCCGCCCGGCTGGGAGCCAGGTGCAGGGTGGGGCTCCCCTCTGACGGCGGGGGACCCCCCGCCCTACCTGGCAGGGTGAGTTGAGTAGTAGGCCGACACGCAGCAGCGCCTGTGGTTGCAGCGGGCGGAGGTGGACACCCTGCTGTACGACAGCCCTGGGGCCCGACCGTAGGCCTGCCTGCCCAGGCCCCTGGCCCAGGGCTTTCCGAGTGTTTCCATGGTGCTTCTCTGGCTCTCGTCCCTCATCAGGCCTGGGCCACTGCTGCCCTGGACACCAGGAGAGTACTGGGCACAGCAGGGGCTGCGGTGTGGAGAGCCCAGGCCCACAGGCGGGAGGTGAGCTCTTGCTTCCAGGGAAAGTCCTTGCCCCCCTCCCCCTGCCCTCACCACCCACACGGGGGAACGCAGGTGCGGCCCTGTCCGTTCCTGAGGCACTGGTGGGCGGAGGACCACAGCCCTCACAGGACCCTGGCAGGACAGCAGCCCCAGGTGCCCAGTGGCCTCAAAAGCTGGCCTGCTGGACTCAGACCCAGCTCCGTCACCAAGAGTCGTCCGCTGGAGAAGGCACCTCACCTCAGGCGGTGAACCCTCAGAAGGCCTGGGGCACTGCCTGGCCCAGTAAATGCCTGACTGTCTGGTCGCCGTTTTGTGACAGTGTTTCCCTAAGAACCTGAGCACCACTCCCGTGCCCAGTGTCTGCTGTGGATGGGCCCACGCCACCCACTTCTGGCCGCCCAGATTGCTGGGGCCCCTTCTTCCTTGGCACACACGCCCATGAGGGGCCCCGCCACCTGCTCTCTCCTCTCCTGGAGTTGCAGGTACCTCCGCTCAGGGGCCCACACATGTCTGCATTCTGGAGCAAAAACTGATTCCTGAGAGCCCTTCAGGCTGCATGCTGCGGGGTCAGGTTCTGCCCAGGCGTGGCCTCCACCCCGCCAGACCCCTCAGAGCCTCCTGCCCTAGGGGGCACTCCGGGGCTACCCCAGTCCCTTGCAGAGGGCCTGTTGTGGTGGGTGGGCTGAAGTGGTCTCTGGAAGTTTGGCTCTTGCTGGTTGGCCAGTGAGTGGGGAGCAAGCAACCCACTCGGGCAGAGATGTCGGTGACCTCTTTATTTTCAGCCAGCTCAGTGGCTGCTGGGGACAGGCAGAGTCGGGCCAGGCCATGGGCTGCAGGCAGGCCCTGACCCCTGGGTCCGCACCAACTCAGAAGAGGATGTGTGGGGGTAGGAACCTCCACCCACCCATCCGACGCCCACTGCCCAGGGTGGGAATGTGGCCCAGAGTCCCCCGCCACAGCAGGTGTCCCGGGGACGCCTGAGTCCAAGGGACAGTGGAGTGGTCAATGCCCAATAAATAAACAGTACAGTCCCAAACCACCCAAGCCCCAGGCTCCAGGGCAGAGGGCTGACGAGCTCCTGACTCTGACAAGAAGCTGGCTCAGTGAGCCCTCTCGGGGCAGCAGGCCCACGCCCTGGCTCCAACCTCATGCCCCCAGGGGAGCTGGCAGCTCTGGCTCCTACCGCGCAGGCTGCTCAGAGGCTGGAGCAGGGAAGAGAAGGGCCTGGTGCCTGGGAGCTGGCTCAGCTCAGCCCCGTCCAGTCAGGAGCAGCCCCGGCAGCAGATGTCAGGTCAGGGCGGGGGCAACAGCTGCAGAGCCCCAGGGCAGGTGGCTCCCGGACAGTCCTCGGCAGGGACCCTCCTCCTGTCCTTGCCCAGGGCCCCCTGGGGCAGCAGCTCCAAGTAGCTCAGGGCGCTCTGCAGTGAGGTCAAGCAGTAGCCCCCCTCTCCAATCAGATACCTGCGTGGAGGTGGTGCCGGTCACTGAGAGGGTGTGAAGAGGCCCTGGCCTTCTAGCAGGGGCCTCAGGGAGGCTGGGCAGGGTGGACAGTCCACTCCTCAGGCAGACACTGCTTCAGGCTTGGGCCCCAGCTCTCCCCGCCCTCCGCCTTGGCAGGCGGCTGAGCCAGGGAGGCAGGGGCTGGGGAGGGGGGCTGTGGGCCGAGTGCATAGGGCGCATGCCCGGCTTCAGCCCGGGGTTCCTACCCCTCGTGGATGAACTCCTCCAGAGCAGCGCACTCCGACACCAGCTGCGGGAGGCCGCTTCTGAGCACCACGAAGGACAGGATGGGGAGGAGGTCGTCAGCACCACTGCAGGACAGAGGCTCAGATGGCTGGGGGCTCTGGGGCCAAGGGGCTGCTCAGCCCCTGCAGAGGTCCTGCGCTTGCTGGCTGCTCTCTCTGCACCAGCACCGCCCCCCGAGAGCACTTAAGAGCTGCCAGGCCATCCCCAAAAAGGCCCTACAGAGGACGGGTGGGAGTGGCTGCAACCTCACAAGCCTGAGCCTGGGGTGCAGCATGATGGGAGGTGGCCTGCTCATCCCTGAAATCGGGTGTCGCTCAGCTCAGTACACCAGGCACCCCAGGCTCCCCGTGAGAGGCATCTGAGGGAGCTGATCAGGGAGGCCCAGCACCCCAGCACCCCAACGCAGGGGCCCCACAGCCAGTGGTCTCTTTAGGGGAGCACAGGGCAGACTTCAGCTGGAGTCTGACAGGAGGGGGTAGCTTCTCACAGGGTGAGTTCCTTCCTGCTCAGGCCCTGCCCTATGTCCCCAGGCCCCGCACTGCTGGAGGGACAGGACAGGTGCGAGGGGAGGAAGCTGGGGAAGCAACAGCGAGACTAAGCAGCCTTCAGTCCTGGGGCTGCCACCTGCAGCAACTCACCTGCAGCCAGATGGCAAACTGGTGAAGGGGTCTGTGAGGGCCCGGCTGGAACTCCCAGCCAACCTGGCCCTGGGGTGGGCGGGGTGGCACCTGTCTCCCTCTCCTCTGGGGGAGCTCCACCCTGGTGACCTGCCACTCAGCTCTGACTTCTACCTGTCAGTCACCTGCAGGCACCTGGGTGTGGGGAGGTGCCATGGCCTGCCCACCTGGCTGCAGTGACAGGTGTCTGCAGCATGACCCTGGCCCCTGGGGCAGGTGGCAGGAGGCAGAGCCCCAGCAGGTGCTGTGGGAACACCGACCCCAGGCGGGCACTGGGGCAGGAGGCTGCGGGCCACAGGCAGGTCCGGGTGAAACTGAGGCAGGACTAGGCATCAGGGCCGTGGGCTCCGGCGGAAGGGGCCGGGAAGATGCAGGAGCCCGGGGCTGGCGGCCCGGAGCAGGGAGTAGGCTCTTCCTTCCCCCTGCCTCGCAGCTCACCCCGGGTGGGTCACAGAGAAGCCAAGCACCTGCTTCTCTGGGGGGCAGGCCCACACTCCTCGGAGTAGCCCGAGGGACCCTGCCACTAAGAAGCCCCTCAGGGAAGCCCTGGCCCCAAGGACTAGTGATGTGTTGCCCACCGGGGCTGGGACTGCCAGGGCCAAAAGCCATGGCCCTAGATGCAGGCAGAGTGGGTGGTTCCTCTCTTCCCCAGCCTCCGAGGGCGGGCCCTCCTCTGTCAGCACCTGCCCCAGACTCACATGGCCGCTGAGCTGGGTGGCGGTCCAGCCTCTGGCACAGGCTCCTGGGCCCGGTGGTAGCCCTCGGCACAGGCGCAGATGGCCCGCAGGGCCCGCACTGCACGCGGAAGGGAGGCTTTGGTCAGGGGCAGGGCCCCACCCCCGACAGCCAGCAGCTGGCAGCCAGAACAGCTCCCGGCACCCACACCGCCCCCGCCCATTGCATGGCTGACCCCTCCCTCGGATGTGGCCCTCTGCACCACTCAGGTCCCATAGGACACACCCCATTCGACAGGAGGAGGGTCCCAGCCAAAGCCCACAAGCCCACGGCACCCACCAGGACAGGTAGCTGTCCCTGCTCCCTCCTCCCAGTGCCCCTCACCAATGCACTCCAGCTTCTTTTGGGGGCAGCTCTCCAGGACCAGCAGCCCCAGTTCCTGGGCTGCTGCCCAGTAGGGGTAGGCACTGGCTCCCAGGCTCTCTGGGTCTGGAGGGAGCAGCTTGCTGGGGATGCCCAGGGCAGCCGGGGGTGCGTTTCTGTAGAGCTCCATGCTCCTGCTCAGGGCAGCCTCCCGGGTGCGGTGCACGCTCCTGGGGCCAAGAGAGGCCAGGCTCAGCAGCCTGCGGGCCCCTGCCCGGCACAGAGGCAGGGTGGGGGCAGCTGGCCAGATCCTGAGTCACTGGAGGGGAGATGTGCCCACGAGCAAATGGGAGCCATCCCAGGGTACGCTCAGCTCAGCGCCAGGGAAGCACAGCCAGGGCAGCCCAGGGGGTGGAGAAGGGCCAGTGACACGCAGGAAGACCCTACAGGGGCCCGCAGTGGGGGTGGCACCTGTAGAGGGCCAGCAGCAGGGGCCACAGTGGGGAGAAGAAGGGCTCCTCAATGCAGGCCAGGCAGCGGTCCTTGGAGACGGCTGTGTTCAGGCCTTCGAAAGCCAGGAGGGTCAGCGAGAGCAGCCTGTCTGCCAGGACAGAACCGTACACGGCACTGTGGGGCCAGCTGGAGGCCCCTGGATGTCCCCCAGACCGGCCCCTCCCCCATCACTGCTCCTCCACCCTCCCAGAGCCAGCCTCCGTGTGGCTGGGGCCACAGCCAGCATCCCGGCTCAGTGGCAGAGGGGCATCTGCCTGGCCCTCCCTCTACCCCCTTTCACACCAGCCCCACCCCCAGCCCTGGAGGCCCAGGCCCAGGATCAGAGCTGGGGTCTGGCCCCTGTCCCTGGGCGGTCATAGGGTCCCGCCCAGCCTCCCTGAAGGGCTGAGGGGGCCTGCCTGGGAAGGATCATTGAGCAGGGGCTCTTTCTGAAAGGGTTTGTACCCGAAACTGCAGGAACCTGGAGAAACTTGAGAAACACACTTGAAGACAAGAAAGCTCAGGCCCAGAGAGATTGGGTGCCCTCCTGAGGAGGGGGGCCCTGCCCCGAGACCTTCAGCAGGGGCCCCACAGTAACAACAAGGCCCTGGACGGCTGGCACTTAGAAACCCTGGGACCCCCCCTTCTTGTTTGGCAGCCACTGTCCACCCTTGGGGAACCCACACGCTATTCGCAAAGTGGGAGGTGCTGGGGGTGAGCCATCGTCACTGCCAGGCTACATGCGTGGGATGTCTTTGCCCTGGAAGGACTCAGAGCCAGAGACAGCCTGGAGGACCAGCTGGCTGCCAGGGGCTCTGAGGGCAGACTCCCCACTTCACGAGACTGCCATGGGCCAGTCCCCCGAGAACACGGCCATGGACAGAGGGGCTGCCAGGCCCACAGCCAGCCCGCCACTCCGGAGGCAGGTGGGCGCCTGTCTGGGAAGCAGGCTCCGCAGGCTGGGGCTGGCAGGGCTGCAGCCCGCGGAAGGGCCCCTCCAGGGCCTGCTGCGAGTCGAGCAGCACCGCACCCACCCACTGTCCTGCGAGCTGCTCGCTCACCTATGGCCTCGTGGATGTCCTTCACGGTGCCCCTCAACTGTGCCAGCAACGGCTCCTCCTTTACCTCTGGGGGCTGAGGCTCAGGCCGGCCCCCGGGGCCCTGGCCCCACCGCTCAGAGGTGGCCAAGAACTGCTCCAGGTCCTCGAAGGAGCTGTCCTTGCCCACCTGGGGCGAGGGAGGCCCCTTAGGGCTGCTGTCCACCCCTCTGTCGGGGAGCCCAGGTTGGAGTGGGGCTGGGGGGGGACTGGGAGGAGGCCCGTCAGGGGGCCGCAGGGCCGGGCTGGGCTCCAGCGGGGACAGCATGCAGTGCAGGCTCTGTGAGGGCCGGAGCCGTCGGCTTCCAGGGGGCAGGGAGCAGCTGCTGGGGGCCGAGGTGGCGGCGGCGCCCCTGCTCACGACGGGGTACAGCGCCCGGTACACTGTGCACTGCAGCCTCTTCAGGAGCTGCGAGATGGGGTGGTCGGGAACGCTGCAAACCAGAGTGGAGGCTGTGCACGTGGGCCCGGCGAGAGCCCGGCAGGTAGGAGGGGCTGCAGCCCACTTGCTGGCCTCTGTCCTGGGGGCTGAGCACGCCAGTGCTTCCCCCACGTTCCCCCTCACTGCCGTCCAGAGAAGCATCTCATGTATTCTTTCCAAATAAAGTCCGAGCTGCCCTCAGAGAAAGCAGATGGAGGCCAGTGAAGGAGCACGGGGCAAGGGGCCAGGCGCTGGGGCAGCCCCACAGGGGCCTGGGCCGCACGGGGCCTGGCCTCCTGATCTAGCTTTTCCCCTCCTAGTCCTGCCGGCCAGCAGCCAGAGGAAGGGCCTGAGGATCCAGGTACCTGAGCAGGTGGGACACCAGGCTGGTCACCAGTGACAGGTCCCCAGGGCTCCTCTTGAGCTTAGCCCTCCAGTGCTTGGGCCAGTCCTGCAGGATGGAAGGCCCTGGAGCAGCACATGGCCCCCCGGTGGGGTGCCCCCTCCCTCCCCTTGCCACAGCTGCACCCCAAAGGTCAGGCCGCACTGTTGACACCCTCTCTGGGGTGCAGGGAAGACCCAACACCATGAGGCCCACGTGACCCCGCATCCTCTGTCCAGGACCCCGGGACTCTCCCCCACCCCATCCTGCGGGACTCACGTGGTCTTGGTCGTACTCCAGGATGGCAGCATAGAGAGCCCGCTGCTCCCGCTCCTCTGGCGTCAGGGCGACTTGGCTGCAGAACCTCCTGGGGAGAGAGGACCAGGCGGCCTCAGGTGCCGGGCGGGCCCCACCAGGCCTCTCGGAGCCGAGGCCCAGACGGCCCAGGGTCACACCTGTTGGCTGCCTCCTGGAGCCGCAGCCTGCGCTCCTCCATCTTCCTCTGCAGCTGGGGCCGAGTTAAGGCCGCGTCTGAGGCCCCACATGTGCCCCAAGCCTAGGCCGTCCCAGTGCCCAGCCAGACACAGGAGGCTGCTGCCTCGGCCCCCCGGGCAGTGCAGTCCAGTCCACAGGCCGAACAGGCACCCACTCAGAGAAGGAAGGCAAGTCCTAGGCCACTGGAGGGTGGAGGCTGTGGGCACTGGGTGCGGGGTCAGGTGTCTTTGCAAAGGCCCCAGGGGTGAGAGGGACCGTCCCTGAGCACGAGCCTCTCCCAAGCTGGAGGAATTCTGCTCCCACACTGACTGAGTGATCCACCAACTGACCCCTCCTGCCACCTTTACCCACCACCCCCTTCCCTCTCACGCAGGGTCACACCCTGAACCTTCCCCTCTGGACTCTGAGGATGGATGGATGGATGGATGGATGGAAAGGATACAGTCTCCTCCCGGGCTCTGGCGATCACCAGGTTCTCCATCATCTGCCGCTGCAGGGACAGGGTCTGGGAGGGGAGGAGGGGATCACGCCTGCCCTCTGTCCCTCCAGCACAAGCCTCCCTGGGACCCGCTCACCAGTGACGTCTTCTGTAGGGCCTGGCTGGAGTCCAGACGGGCCACCCGGGCCTCGTAGGCGGCCTTCAGCTTCTGATTCTGCAGGGAGGCCTCCTCCAGGGGTGTCAGCTCCCTGGAAATGGTGAGAAGCTGCTGTCTAGGCCCCAGGAACCCCAGCCATGCTCTGGGGACCCAAGGACCCTTCCTGACCCAGCCCCGAGACCAGAGGTGCGGACACAGAGGAGAGAGCTCTGGCAGGAAGTGACAAGGAGGGAGAAGGTCTCGGAGGGCTGGGTCACTGCCCGCTGAGAGGTGGGTGTCCAGCGGCCAGGACTGCCGCCTCTGCACCCCCTCACGGGAAGCTGAGCATCAGACCTCCGTGCAGGTCCGTCACGTGTCTGACAGCAACAGGAAGCCCTTTGAAGGCACCGTGTGAGCCAGACAGACTAGTCTGTAACCATGGGGGGTAGCCGTGTCCACTGATCACAGCCACCAACAGCCACCCACCGCAGCAGCTTCAGCCCCACGTCTCCCTGAGCTCCTGGGCTGGAGAGGGACGGAGGCCGCGTGCCTGGCAGTGGTGGGCTGGGAGCCGCTGGCCCTCCTCATTGACCCTGCTTGCACACTGGCCTCTGGGACTTGATGTTTTTCATCAGCTCTAGAAAACTGCCACCATATTTCAAAGAGCACACCTCTCCTGTCGTTTTCCTCCTCTTTTTCGGAAACTCCAGTGACCCCTGGTAGACCTGCCTCTCACGTCTCCTGTCTTCAGTTTTCTTCCTGCAAGTCATTCTGGGTATCCTTCTACCTTCTGTTCAATTTACTCGTTTCGTTTCGGCTTCGTCTACTCTGCTGTTTATCAAAGTGTCATTTTTTGCACACATGTAGGTTTCTATGGAGGAGACAGAGCTAACCATGGAACAGTGCATTTTGAATGCATGGGCTCATTTATATGCAGATTTCACTTTAAATTACAATTTACTTAAAATCTGTGAGTATGAGCAGATGTCGCAGCTCAGAACCGTGGTGTCTGAGGTCGGCTGTGATTTCCATCTGCTGCCGGGACTCGCGTGTTCTGAGGCCCACGTCAGCCCTGCTCCGGGTTTCAGCTGCACGGTGCTCAGCGCCCCCAACCCTCAGTTGTCCAGTATCAACGGTAACTTGTTGTCACTGTTGCCACTCGGTTTGTAACAGTAATTCTGCTATTATATTTTTTGTTTTGTTTCCACCTGGTTCTTTATTTGTCAGGCCAGATTTTACAGTTTCTTGTTTCCTGTGGGATTTTCCCCCTGTAGGTATTTGGGTATTTCCACACCTGCCTTTTTATTTCTCTGAACATAGAACATATGATGTTTTATAAGCTACGTCTGACAACTCCATCGGAAGATTTGTGGGTCTGTTTCCGCCGCCCTCCCTGCGGCTTCTTATGTCTTTCTGTGCTTAGCTGTCTCAGACTGTGTGCCTCTCACGTTATGGAAATTCAAGGCGCTCTTCCCCAGAGACGATCTGTGTGGCTTCTGCCAGGTGCCGGGCGGTCCACGCCGAGACCCGCTCGTGCCCCTGCACCCAGACTCGGCCCCTCCCTCCTGCCCCATCTTACTTCTTAGAGCCTTGCGGCTCCACCACCTGGAGCCTCTGGAACATCTCGGGCGGCAGAAACGGGAGGAGCTTCCCCCCTTCGTCAGAGTACACCCGGCGGTGCCGGCCGGTCGGTGCGGGCACAGGAGCAGCCACGGGCATGGCCGGCTTCAGGCGGGCTTTCCCTGCGAGGCACACGAGTCAGCGTAAGGCCCACATCCCACAGAGGACGCAGACTCGGGCGGACGCCCCAGGAAAACCCGCTGCTGCCACTCACCGAGCTTGGCAGCCGTGGACTGGGCCCTCTCCAGGCACTGCTCGGCCAGCTTCAGCATCTTCAGGGTCTCCGGGGGCACGGCCTCCCCAGCTTCTAGGGGGCAAGAGACAAGGAGACTGGTTCCCTTCACCTCAATCACCAACCAGATTTTTGCTGACATAAAAACAAGGGCATGCCCTGGCTGGTGTGGCTCAGTGGACTGAGCACCGGCCTAGGAACTTAAGGGTTGCCGGTTCGATTCCCAGTCAGGGCACGTGCCTGGGTTGCAGGCCCTGTCCCCAGTAGGGGACGCATGAGAGGCAACCACACATTGATGTTTCTCTCCCTCTCTTTCTTCCTCCCTTCCCCTGTGTCTAAAAATAAATAAATAAAAATACTTAAAAAAAAAAAACAGGAGCATGTTTGCTGTCTCCTAACCTCTGACCCCTGGGCCAGCCTGCCCACCCTCATCTCTGACTGTCCATCCTGGGTTCTGAGCCCGGCCAGCCCAGCCTCTGGCCAGCTATCCTGTTGTCTTAGCTGGACCACCAGAGTCCTCTCCCCACCTAATGGGGCCTTCTACTTTTTAACTTAACCTGTACTGTACTTTTCCCCATTACCATTTAGTCCCTTATCCCCCCTAATAAGCCTTCTCTTCTGGGGACCTCACCTGCACCTCCAGCCCCTCCTCCAGGTGGGCCAGGGTCATGGGCCCTTTCACAGAGATAGTGTCATTGCTCACTCCCTGCCTCTGGCTGCGCCCAGCCCCCCTGGCACCGCCCCACAGCTTCCATTCTGCCCCCACCTAGGAGACAGCTCCTGCCAGCAGTTGCCACAGGAGCCCCACCTGAGAATCTGCAGAGGGCGCCAGCCCAGCTCCCGCCCCCTCCCAGCCAGCTGTGACCACACACTCCCACTGAAACTGCCCTCACCCCCACCTCTGCCCTATTCCAAGTGCTCCCCAACCCCTCAGGCCTCTGTCCTCAGGCATCCCCATCCCCAACGAGGGCTACTGCCACCCTGCTCCTCCCTGTCCTCAACCCTGCAGTGCTCAGAGCTCCGCCGAGCTCACTGGGGACGCCCACCTCGCCCTGGCCACTGTGCCTGTGCACGCTGGACTGCAGGGCACCAAGCAGGCTGTGCCGCTAGGGCAGCCCTCTGTTCCGCCCTTGCCAGTGTGCTCCTGCACCCCCTCTCCCTGTCCCCCCCACACCTCGCCATCTACCCCTCCACCAAGGCCGCAGAGGTGCAGCTTTAAAGAACATTCCCAAGCTCACCCACCTCTGGGGGCCTCACCACTGCCAGCCTCCCCACACCCCCTTCTGGCCTCTTCACTTGGAGCCTCCGAGAGTGAACCCTCACAGGAGGGTGGCCACTGTTCCACCCAAGGCTCTGCCCACCTCTAACACCCCTGACCCTCTCCAGCCTGCCGGCCCTCCCTCACTCAGCACCCACCCTCAGCTCAGGGCTTTTGTACATCCCTCTGCAGGAAATGCTGCCCCCGCCTTTGCCCAACTCACTCCCCCTGGTATGTCCCACCCTCTCTCGCCCCTCAGGGCACCTGTCCCTTTCTGCTCTCACATCACTCCACCACCGTAGCTCATGCTCACTGAGTGCCTGCCCATTCACAGAGTGTGTAGGACAGGCCACCCCAGGCCTGAAACCCACCAAGGGCTACAGTGTCCAGAATCTGCCCAGCCCAAGAGCAGCAGTGAAGCTGAGAGCTGTACCTTTGGTGGTTTCCACTTCTTCCAGCAGCACCTGGGAGATGTAGTGGATGCTCCTCAGGTATTCTGTGTATGCCTCCTGTGCCCAGGGGAGAGGAAGGGCAGGGGTCAGGCAGTGGAGGCAAAGATCCTGTCACTTCTCCCATGGCCCTTGTGGGCAATGGGAACAGTGGTGTCTGCTTATCTCTGAGATACACCTGAGTGTCTGGGCAGTCTGCCTGGGGCTCACACAGGAGCGTCCCTCTTCTCCAGACTTGAAGGAAAAGGTGCCCAGCGGGGTGTCCACACCTGCTCCCACTGCCTTTCTCTCCAGCACAGGAAGGAAATGAGATGCTTGTTCAGAGGCCGGAGAAAGCAGCGTGAGAGCCACTGCCATTTTTCACTCCATGCAACAAGTTTCCTTCCTGTGCCGCTCATTCAGCGGCTCTGACATCTTTTTCCTGGGAGGCTAATGAGGGAGTAGGGTTGCAAATTGTAGAATCACTCTCTGGCTTCGGTTCTGGGAAACCCTTTTCCTGACGGGAGTCTAGAACACTAGAATTACTGTCAGTTTCCCGGGTGTGAGTATTCTGCTTTCTGAACAGAGCCCTGGGCGCTTGGAACCCACAGCATGGTGTTTCATTGTTGTTTGGTGCATCCTAGCCCTCTGTGTTTAAGTCTAACCTCAGAGATTAGGATAAAATGGACTCCGGGAAGGATCTTTGACTTGTGGGGGCACCTGCTGCCCTAGAAAGCCAACTTGGGGCTTGGGGACCCCAAGGGATTGAGGGGCCGGGATGTGCCCCCGGCTCCCGCAGCCTTCTTGCACCTGGGCAGCCCTGCGAGGCTCAGCCGGCTTTCCCACCTGGTCGCCACCCTTAGATCATCCTCGGAACAAGGCACAGCCTCTCCCCCTCGCCCGCGGCTGAGACAGACGCCTGGAAAGCCACTGCACGGAGGAACCGCAGGGCTGCCGTTCTGGATGTCGTCCCCCGTGGGAATCTGATTAAATCTACAGTATTTCCCGGGAAAATACACACACGCGATGCCGTCTGCCAGGTCTATTTTAGAGGCTGCGCCGCGGACCCTCCTGTACCCCCTTCACAAATAAAAAGCGCAGCTGTGATTCCCGACGCCAACAGACGGCCGGCAGGCCTGGGAGCTGTCCAAGGTCAGAAGCCGACACCCTGCCCAGCGCCCCGCAGTCGCCGTGGGGTCTTGCGGGTGCCCACCCCGCGGCCCCGCCCTCGCCCACGCCCACCCGGTCGGCCTCTCCAAGGGGCAGCCCGCGTCGCGCCGCGTCGCGCCTCACCCGGGGCCGGTTGCCGGTGTCCAGTTCGATGGCCCCGTTGGCTAGCTTCATGGCGCACTGCAGCGGCTTCACCGCGCCGTCCCCGGCCGCAGCGGCCATGGCGCCGGGCGGGGGAGGCGGCGCTGGGGGCCGAGGGGCGGGGCGGGCGGCTAGAATACCGGAACGAAGAATGCAGGGGAGCGGGAGCCGCCCGAGCCGGGGACCGCCGGAACACGAGGGACCGGCACGGGAGCACTTCCGGCTGCCCTGCCCGCGCCGCGCGCTCCGCGCTCCGCGCCGAGGCCGGAAGAGACGGAGCCTTCCAATAACCTCTTCACGCACTTGCCACGAGCGTGCGAGTCCCACAACCGGCCCCCTCATTTCACGTCTGTGACACGCTAGCCGCGTGGGTCCCGCCCCTCCCTCCTCGCCCCGCCCCGCCCCTCGCGCTCACCGCTCCGGCCCTCCCTTCACGCGGCCCCACCCCTCCTTGCCCCGCCCGCTTCCCGCGAGCGGAGCGGAGCCGAACGGCGGATGCTGGAGAGAACTAGCGAGCTCAGTGCAGCCGAGCTGACGAGAGCTCCGGGCGTATGAGGACCTAGCGGCGCCAAGCCGCCGCGACCAGAGAACCGAGCGGGCCCGAGTGCTGCCGGGCGGAGCCGAGCGGGCCCGAGCAGAGGCGAACGGGGCGGAGCGCTGGGGCAGCCGCCATGAAACGGGACCGGCTCGGCCGCTTCCTGTCGCCTGCGACTGCTGGGCAGCGCGGGGGCTCGGGCGGCGGCCGGACCCGGGGCCGCCCCGCCCGCAGCGGGCCGACTGTGGACGAGGCAGCGGCCTTGGTGGCTTCGCGGCTGGGTTGGGGGCCGGCGCGGGCCTGCGAGGACGGAGCCGACGAGGCAGGTAGGTCTGGCCGTCTCGAGGAGCCATGTCCCGCTCGGTGCCCACCGCCCCGGGCCTCTCTCCCGCGGCGTCCTTGGGCGGCAGGCAGGCAGGCAGGCGGAGCCTCCCTGGCGCCCGCGCTGGGGGCCGTTTCGCAAGCCGCTGACCCTCCCTGCCTCTCGGGCTCGGACCGGCCTGGACTCCAGTCCCGGTGCTGCGCTGAGGGACTGGAGGGGTAATCGCCTCACCTCCGGAGCCCTGGCGGCCGGTTCATTGACAGAGAGCCCGGTGGGTCAAGTGGGGCTTGGGAGAGCTGGGGCCCCGCACGCAGGGGGTCTGGCCTTGCACTGTCGGGATTAGTCCTACTGTGTCCTGGTGTGTGATCCTCTCAGCGTGCTGGCGACTTTGGTGTGCTCGTGTTTTGCTGAGGATTTTTGCATGTGTGTGTTCGTCAGGGATGTGGGCCTGTAGTTCTTCTCTTGTGGCGCCCTTGTCTGGTTGTGGGCTCAGAGTGCTGCTGGACTCGGAGTGGAGGCAGCTAGCGTTCTTCCTAAGGTTTTCTGGACCAGAAGACCCCCACTGGCCACATCTTCCCAAAGGCTGAATGTTCAGTTGGGAGCCCAGAGCCAGAACGCTGTCTGTGGCCCAGACATGGGCTTGTATCTTAGGGATGTGTCCGAAGAGGCCCCAGGGAGGGTTCTCCACTCGAGGAGCTGGGAGGCTGCGCGTGGTTCCCCTTCTGGGAGCTTGTGGTCTTGCGTGTCCTGTGCAGCAAGCCGCCTTGCCGGCTGACTCGTTGTCTTCTGTGCTTGCCCAGGAGCAGGTCGGGCTCTCACCATGGGGCACTGCCGCCTTTGCCACGGAAAGTTCTCCACACGGAGTCTCCGAAGCATCTCTGGCCGGGCACCTGGGCAGAGCTCAGAGAGACCACCCTCAGGGGAGCGCGTGTTCGTCAGGGACTTTCAGCACCTGCTGGGGGTGGCTGTCCATCAGGACCCAGCCCTGTCTCAGTTTGTCTGCAAGAACTGCCACGCCCAGTTCTACCAGTGCCATGGCCTCCTCAAGTCCTTCCTTCAGAGAGTCAACGTGTCCCCAATGAGTCCCCGGAAGCCCTGCGCACAGTAGGCTCTCCCTCCTTCATTCGTGTGGGGGTGCTCAGGCTAAGCCCTTGTATGCTCTGCTGTTCTCAGCACAGGGAGTGCCCAGTGGGGACCTGTGCAGTGGGGAGGCCATGGTGCAGGGGCAGCAAACTCCTGGGAGCCCTGTGTGGCTGGGGTGGGAGGCCAGGGTGGGGGGTAAGGGCCGTGGTGGCACTGACTACTCCTGTGAGGGGAAGGGGCAGCCACCCGTGGGGGAGGGCAGTGAAGGGAGCAAGCCTACCCCCTGCTTGCTGTGGGGCTGCTCATGGCTTGCTGATCCTTTACAGGGTGGGTGCCCAGCCCCCAGCAGAAGCAGAGGAGGGAGCATGTCTGGGTGAGTGCCCAGGACCAGATGTGTGGTGGGGGGTGGACTCGCTGTGGGCTGCTGCTGACCAGCCCCCGGGCTGCCGTCTCTGTGCCTTTCCTCAGTGGACCTGATCCCTTCGAGCCCCGAAGGCCTGCGCAGCTTGGTGGGGTGGGTGCATGGACATGCAGCCAGCTGTGGGGCCCTGCCCAGCCTGCAGAAGACACTGTCGTCCGAGTACTGCGGTGTCATCCAGGCCGTGTGGAGCTGCGACCAAGGCCACGACTACACCATGGACACCGACTCCAGCTGCGGGGCTCTCTTCCTGGACAGCGCGTTGGCAGTCAAGTGGACCTGGGACAAGGAGGTGGCCCCACGGCTCACCCACCGTCGGAGGCCCAACCCCACCGGGGCTGCTGCTCCGAGCTCCCAGGGCGGAGTGACCACAGCCTGGGCCGAGACGGAACAGCTCCCCAACACGGATGTGGCCCAGCCTCCTTCAGATGGCAGCCCTGTGGGGCCTGGGCCCAGCCCCCTGCCTCAGTCTGGCCTCCCCCCAAGTGGGGCTCCAGGTAGGAGGCTCCTCCGGGCCATCAGACCAGGATTCCCACTCCTGAGCAGGGCCCTCAGCAGGCAGCGGGTGTCTGCACTGTTGTGGGCGGCACTTGTGTATGGGCGTCTGACGGCGGGGAGGGCCGAGGACCCTGTGCCTGCAGGGCTGCGGAGGCGCGGTCCTCTGCTGACCGTCTCTCTGTCTGTTCAGCCCAGGGACCGCGGGGGAGAAGAATGGGGCCTTTGTTGTGGGGCTCAGGGGTACAGGACTCCTGGTGCCTCGAGGCCGTCTTGGGTCATTTCCTGGGCCTCAGCCAGGGCCCTGGGGACACCTCAGTGGGACCGGAGTAGACGGGCTCCTCTAGCGAGTGCTGAGGGGAGACACAGGCCCTTGTTTGGGGCCCTGTCCCACAGTGCCGTTGGAGGGTGGGTGCAGCTGTTCACAGATGTCACATTAGCAGGGCCAGGCCGGCCTCCCGCCTGCTGTCAGCTGCCCCTCATGCACCTGTCTGTGTGTGGGCGCACGGCCGCTCCTGTCTGTGCGCCCTCTGTGGGCTTTCAGAAAGTGCAGCTCCCAGGCAGGGTCTGGGTCTGAGTCCCTCAAGGTGCTGGGCGGGAGCAGGGGCTGTGTTGGAGGGTCCTGAGGGCCGCATGGCCGCTTAAACTGTGTGTGACACCTCGATAACAGCGATGTTTTTAAATGTTCTGAGACATTTGCACCATGTGAGTTGTCCCACCCTGAAATGGCTGGGTCTGAGTCTCGGGAGGGGCTGGTTTCTGGTGCTTGGCACTGCCTGTACCCGTGCTGGACACGTGGGGGGTCCAGGGCTCCGCTGGGGTGGAGTTGGGAGGGGCTGGAATGGGAGGCTGGAGGACCCTGGCACCCCCACAAGGCAGGCTCCGCCAGGCCCGCTGGCACTGGGCGGGTGACGGTCCTGTTCTTTGTTTCTCAGGGCAGTTGGGTGAGAAGCAGTTGCCATCTTCAGCCTCGGATGATCGGGTAAAAGACGAGTTCAGTGACCTTTCTGAGGGGTGAGAGAAGAGTGGGTTTAAACAGCCTAAAATTTCTCCTTGGAAAATCAAATTCCACCACCCTAGGGGCCTGCTGCTCGCGTTTTGGCTGGGGGTGCTTCCAGACTTCTCGGTCCCGACTGGGGGCTCCCTGGGTCTCAGAGGGTGCCCCACCCTGACGCAGCCACCAGGGAGCAGGACACGGGCGGTGTGGAGCTCCTGGGGGGCCCTGTGGGCGGCCTCTGCTCCTTCAGAGCCTTGGTTCTGTGTGACCCCACGTGTCCTAGAGCAGAGGAAGCCAGTGTCGTGCTACAGCTGTGGCTTGGGGCTGTCTGCTCCTGGGCCGCCCCCACCTCTGAGCCAGGAACCACTGACCCCCTCCTAGCCCCGCCCCTGTGGCTGGAGCGAAGATGCACTTCTTCTGTGGCTGGAGTGGTTTTCAGTGTGACTCCAGCGGGCGCCTGGGACCACAGTCCTGGAAGAACCCGCGAGTGTGCTCGAGAGGCACCCAGCACCAGCAGTGGTCACGGGCTGCCCTGCAGGCTGCCGGCTGGCCTCCAGCCTTTCTGGAGAATGGCAGCTGCCCAACTGGGACAGTGTGGATGGCGATTCATGCTTTGGGGTGAAGGTCACAGGCGCACAGAGCTTTTCTGGCCTTTGTGACCTTTGAAATGGCTGACAGCTGACCTGTCTGCCTGGCAGGTGCTCAGTGATAGGATGAGGTGATGTTCTGAGCACCCGCATGCTCAGAAGCCCACCGCCTTTGAGGGTCTGCTGCCCCCCGGGGGCCCGGTGGAGAGGCCCTGGTGTGAGGAGTGTGCGGCTCACAGATCACCAGCCTGTTGGACTTCAGTGGCCCAGGCTTGTTTCTGTTAGCTGGTGGGATTGGAGATTCGGGGCTTTCAGCTTCTTAGGACGCTTTCAGGAGAACAACACGTGGGACGTGGGGGCGCACAATGTCTTCAGACAGGAAGTTGCATCAGACCCGTCGCCCACCCTAGGGCTTCGCTAAAGGCTCCCTCTTCTGTCCTAGGGACTTCCCGAGTGAAGACGACAATGACAAGAAGCAGAGCCCCCAGTCCTCTGACGAGTCCTTCGAGCCTGACCCAGAGAAGAAGTAAGGGGACAGCCTCCGTGCACGTGCCTGGGGCTGTGGGGCGGAGTCCGGTGGGGGCCTGGGCGCTGCTCTCTCAGCACATGCGTTTTGGGTCAGCCCACCAGGTCCAGCACAGTGCAGTCCCTGAGTGAGCTGAGGCCTTTTCGGTTCAGCTCTGGAACCCGGCTTCAGGTTCCTCATGAGAGCGAGGCAGGCCCGTGGGCCTGGCCCAGCCAGTTCCGGAGCTCCCGCCTTCCCTGTGCCCGTCCTCCAGGGCAGCCTTGCCAGCTTCTGATTCCTGCTCCGCATGCCGAGTCTGGGCCCAGGTCCCAGCGCTGCGGCGATCTCAGCTATGCCTCTGGCACCGGTCTTCCACAGTTTTCCACGGCAGCTGCACCTTCTGTATTCCTGCCAGCAGTGCACAGGGTCTGTTTTCTCCACATCCAGGAAACACTGCTATTTTCTTTTTTTAAATGGTCATGCTAACAGGTGGGAAGCATATCTTGTCCTTTAGGTTTGCACTTTTCTAAGGCTTAATGATGCTGAGCTTCCTTACATGTGCTGTGTCTCTGGAAGGATGTCTCTTCGAGGCCTCCACCCGTATTTTAATCAGTTGTCTCTGTGCTACTGGATCGTGGGGTAGTTTTTCCTGTTCGGTGGGTTCTCTTTTTCACTCTCTTAATAGGGTCATTTGGTGCACAGAAACGGTGGTTTTCAAGTCTGGCTCACCCAGTTCTCACTTCCATCGCCTGTGTTTTGTGTCACAGCTAAGAAACCTCTGCCAGACCCAGTGGGACCATGAAGACTCACCCCTGCTTTCTTCTAAGAGCGTTGTAGTTCCAGCTCTTACATTCAGTCCTTTCACCCACTGAAGTTAATGTCTGCGTGTGGTGTACGTTAGGGACCTGACTCCATTCTGCGTGTGGTGGTTTCCCAGCACCTTTGTTGGAGACGCTGTCCCTTCCCTGTTGAGTGGCCTCCGCACCCTTGTGGAAGATCAGTTTGTTCTTCCTGCTCTGTTCGCCTGGTCTGCATCATCTGTCCTTATTCCAGGGCCACAGTGTTGATTATTGTAGCTTTGTAGTAAATTTTGGAATCAGGAAGTGAGTCCTCCAGCATTGTTTTCTAAATTTTTTGGCTATTCAGCGTCCCTTGAAATTCAGTGTGAAATTTAGGGTTTTTTGCTCCTCTCCCTTTCCCAAAAAACACCATTGGGATTTTGATCGGAACTGAATCTGGAGATCCCTTCGGGGGTGGGGGGTGCTGCTGTCTTCCCAGTGTCAGCCATCTAACCCGTGAATTGGGGCACCTCTCCATTTGTTTAGGTCTTTATTTGTGTTTATCGGTGTTTTGTAGTTTTCAGTGTACAAGTCTTTCACCCCCTTGGTTAAGTTTATTCCAAGGTAATTTATTCTTTTTGATGGAATTGCAAATGAATTTTCTACTTTCTTTGTTAGCATATAGAAATAGGACTGGTGTTTGATGTTATACCTTGCAACTTTCCTGAATTTTTATTTTATATGTGAATTCTTCGGGGTTTTTTACACATTAGATCATGTCATCTGTGAATAGAGGTGATGTCCTTCCCTTCTAATGTAGATGGCTCTTGTTCGTTTCCTAGTGTAACTTCTCCGGCCAGGATACCCAGTCCCGATTTCTCGCTCCTGATCTCGGAGGGCAGGGTTCAGCTGAACCGTTGAGGATGGTGTCAGCCGTCCTAGGGCTTGTCACATGTGGCCCCAAAAGCTCCCTTCTCTTTCTGACAAGAGTTCCTTGAATGTCTGGGGTCCAAAAAGGAAAACAAGTGTGCGTGTCTCCCCTTAACAGATACTGCAGGGGGCGCTGCTGCACCCAGCCTGGTCCCCGCAGCCCCTGGCCCTGCAGCAGGGCTGAGAAGTGGGGGTGGCAGCTGGTGAGCACCTGCCTCTCCCAGCGGCAGCGTCTCCCCCACGAGGATGTCCTGTCAGGGTGGGCCCCGAGTCCACAGTTATAGTTCTGATCTGGTTTTCTGTCTTCATGGTGGTTTTGGTGGGGAATGATGCTTAAAGTTTTGCAAGGTGTTTCTTTAAATAGATTTTTAGAGCGAGAGAGAGAGAGAGAGAGAGAGAGAGGAGTGTCAGTGTGTCGTTCCGTCTGTCGACGCCTTCATTTGTGGTTCCTTCAGTGCCCGACTGGGGGTCGCACCCACACCTTTGACGTGTCAGGGTGATGCTCTAACCAACCAGGCCACTTGGCCAGGGCACAGAGTGCGTGGTTGTGATATTTAGAGTAAACCCACTCCCACAGTGGCCGTGGTCACCCCTCCCAAGGTGGCAGTGCCGAGCCTCTGCCTCCCGAGTTGTCCTGGCTGTGGTGGCTCAAGTCTGCTTCTAGGCCCCCGGTGAGCAGAGGCTGACACAGGTGAACCCTGGCAGCTTGAAGAAGCCCGGCCTCCCACCCTGGAGAGTGAGTGCGGAGGGAAGCCAGAGCACTGCAGAGGTCGGACAGTCACATCGCTGCACCTGATGGCTCTTTTCTCTCCAGAGTGCCTGGTAAGAAGAACGGAAGCAAAGAAGCCAAGAGGCCCGAAGAACCAAAAATCCGAAAAAAGCCTGGACCGAAGCCAGGCTGGAAGAACAAGCTCCGCTGTGAGAGGTGAGGCCGGTGGGGGCGGCCCTGCAGGGTGTGGCCAGGGCGGCAGCTCTAGGGTGCGCTCTGTTGCAGGGAGGAGCTGCCCACCATCTACAAGTGCCCGTACCAGGGCTGCACGGCCGTGTACCGAGGGGCTGATGGCATGAAGGTGAGGCAGGCACCGCTGAAGTCGGTGGGGGCCTGGGGGAAGCGCCAGGGGCAGACCCACCCGAGGGTGCCCACGATCCTGGGGAAACGGAGGCACAAAGCAGCCCCCCACCATTGGCGTGCCCCGTGGGGGAGGAGGCACTAGCCTCTGCACTTGGGAGAGCACCCATCTCGAGTGAGGAACGGTCAGATCTGTTCCTTCAAGGGTGCTGGGCAGGGCCTGTGGGGGGGGCAGGTGCTGCCTGACAGGCGAGTTGTCGAACTCGGGGCTGCACCACCCACAGAAGCACATTAAGGAGCACCATGAGGAAGTCCGAGAGAGGCCCTGCCCCCACCCGGGCTGCAACAAGGTGTTCATGATCGACCGCTACCTGCAGCGGCACGTGAAGCTCATCCACACAGGTGTGTGCCTGGCCCCCCTCCCGGGAACGGCCCCCCTCCCGGGAACGGCCCCGAGGGTCCACACACCCCTGGGCTGCAGTGTTGGCAGTCAGCTCAGCTGGTCAGAGGGGAATAAGCAGAGAAATCCCAAGGCCTTTCTGTTTATTGTGATGGGTTTTTAAAAAAATTTAAACGACATGATTTGGGAGTTGTAAGAGGAAGCCACACACTGTGGAAACGGTGAGGGAGAAAAAGTGCAGGGAGGAGCGAGTGCCCCCGAGACCCTGTCAGCCTGCGAGGGCCACTTCTCCGCTGTGTTCCAACCGGGCTCACGGGACACCAGTGTCATGGTTTCCCCCCTTACTGGTGTGGCCCACACGATTGCCTCATGGCTGCCCCTGTCCAGAAGGCAGTCCCTGAATCAGCCTCCTCCTCACAAGACAGATAATCTTTCTTACACAGAAGCCTCGTGTGAGTGAGTTACTTGACTGAGAGTTGTCTGCTCTGTGGCTGGCTCCCCAGGGATGCTCCTTCCCTGCGGTTTTTGCAGTGCGTGTTCTTGTGCACGTCGGGTCCAGCATAGGAATTCTCCAAGGTGCTCAAGTATTTATTAAGGGACCTTCGAACACTTAAGAAAACAGGCTTCAACCATCCGGAGGCCTCAGAGGAAGCCCCCGCCGTGGTAACGGTATCAGAAGTGTCTCTCTGGTGAAGAAGGCCAGCAGGGTCCCCTGCCGTGGCACCAAGTGTAGGAAGGCCAAGGGGGTGGGGGGCTCTCTGGGACCTGTGCTCACCTGTCGCCCCCAGAGGTGCGGAACTACATCTGCGATGAGTGTGGACAGACCTTCAAGCAGCGGAAGCACCTCCTTGTCCACCAGATGCGGCACTCAGGAGCCAAGCCTCTGCAGTAAGTGCGGGCCGGCGTCCCCTCATGGCCACGCCGGCACCCACGTCCTTGCTGTAACCTCCTCTTGTCCCCAGGTGTGAAGTCTGTGGGTTCCAGTGCCGGCAGCGGGCATCCCTCAAGTACCACATGACCAAACACAAAGCCGAGACCGAGCTGGACTTTGCCTGTGACCAGTGTGGCCGGCGGTTCGAGAAGGCGCACAACCTCAACGTGCACATGTCCATGGTGCACCCCCTGACCCAGACCCAGGACAGGGCCCCGCCCCTGGAGCCGCCCGGGGCCACCGAGGCTCAGGCTGTGAAGCCTGAGCCCACCTGAAGGTGCACCTGAACCCGCCAGGTGGTAGACGGGGTCACAGGACGCCTTCCACAGTCCTCCCATGCGACCTGATGGTAGCGCTCTGCTCGCCCCGAGAGCCCTGTGCTGGGGTGTGGGGGGCTTGGTGCGAGGCCGGGTGGCCTTTGTGTCCACTCTGGGACCAGCAGTTTACTTTCCTACATTGACTTGGGGCCAGATGCAAGTTTTAAATAGTCAGTTCCTGTTCCCCACCAAGCGATCAGGAGAGCTGCATCCACTTGTCAGAGTGGCGGGAGCTCCGTGTCACGCTCGCAATAAATTATTTACAGAGGTGTGGTATGTGCTGGGGTCCAGTCAGAAGAGGCGGGGCTCCGGGGAGAGGCCCGCGTCAGCCGGGGCCTGCTGCCTGCTCAGGAGGGCGGCACTCAGTTCTGGGTCGCAGCCTCCGTGCGAGGCCAGCAGCTGCAAGAGAACCACGCTCCACACTGACCGGACACCCAGGCACAGGGAGAGGGAAGCTGGTGACCACAGCCACCGGGCCCCGAGTCAGATCTCTGCGTTCTCAGGCTGACACAGTAAGATCTGGACTGAAAAGCGAACACCGCGGTGCCCTGGCAGGGAAGCTCAGTAGGTTGGAGCATTGCCCTGATGCACCAAGGTCGCAGGTTCGATCCCCAGGTAGAGCACAAACCACCGATGACACATAAGCAGGTGGAGCAGCACATGAATGTTTCTCTCCCCCACCTCCTCTTTCTCCAAAGTTAATAAACATTAAGAAAACAGCGAGGTGAGCCTCTGGGTGTTACCTCTGCCATGTGTGAGAAGCTCTGGGTGGGACACCGAGGCACTGATCGCAGCAAAAAACGCCGAGCTCTTGTTACCAGGTTAACAGGGTCCCCCTACAGAGGGGACAGGCAGAGCCCTGGTCACAGCCTCAGGCCCCAGAGAGCTCACCGTGGGCCTGGGGGGCGCGCCCTCTGCCTGGACACAGCCAGCCCTTGCACCTGCCTGGTCCTGGAGTCCGTGGCTCCTGGCCGTGGTCGAGAGCGCACCCGTCTCCCCAGCTGCAAAGAGGCGGAGCAGCTTCAGGTACATGTCCACGGCAACGTGCATGAACGCGGCGTCCTGAATGAGGGCGTCTTCCTCACAGCAGGGGAGGAGGCTGCAGGTGAGACCAGATGTCGGGTGACGGCCTCCTGGAGGTGAGCGCAGGCGGCACAGGGAGGTAAAGGCACCCTCTCGGCTGGAGGAGACCCGCGGCGGCGGGGCACGGCCCGGTGCGGTGACCTCCCACACAGCCGCACCGGGCCTCGTCAGAGCAGCAAGGACTGACCTGTAGAAGGCGACGGGCAGCAGCCTGACGTGCTGGTCCGCGGCCAGGCGGAGGAGGATGTGCCCCAGGCCGGCAGCTGCAACCCAAGGGGCTCGGTCAGACTGGACGCCTCGCCCTGGAGCCTCTGTCCGCAGAGGACCCCCTGCCGTGCCTGTGGGGCCAGGCAGGTGGGCCCCACAGCACAGCCAGCGCCACCTGGGGTCCCTGGTCCTCCACCAACCTCGTTGTTTAAATGAGTATGTACTGTGTCTGTCCTGACGAACACTTAGGCTTACATGCCTTGCAAGAAGATAAACATTTGAAAGTTGCTTCTGAAGAGAAAGACTCGGATGTCAGGGTCACACTCTGACCCTGACGGCTGGTGACTAGACAAAGGCCACCCATTTGCTATCGGGTCTCAGCAGACTCCTTACCAGTGTCTGTCAACTGAAAGAGTGGCAGCCAGGACACCTTCCTCTTCTCCAGACACCCCAGGACCTCGGCACAAACGTCCAAAGCTGCCGGGGAGCTGGCAGCCTGTGGGCAGCGGAGGGAGGAGGACTCAGGCGCAGTGTCTGCAGGTGGAACAGCTCTCCCTGGGCTGCGGGCTGGGCCCGAGTGGGGAGGAGGGACCACCCTTGTCACAGGAGGGGGCCTTACATGGTGCCAACCTACAGAGACCATCACCCTGGGACCCCTGACAGAGGCCACGGACGGTAGGCACCCAAGTTCTGAAGTGAGACATGGCTGAAGGGTCGTCTCTGGTGAGCACAGCTCCTGAAGAAACCCAGGCTCCAGAACTGCCTGCTCCTGACTCGGGGACCTGCCTGGAGGCACCCGGGGACCTGCAGCTCCACGCACCCTGGGGAGGCGGGCCCCTTAGCCAGGGAGTGACGTACCCGGGGGGTCAGAGGAGACGACAGCAGGTCCAGCGAGGACAGGAAGAGCAGGACGAGCAGCAGCTGTAACACAGACAGGGCACCCGAGGGGCGGCCTCCCTGCTCCAGAAACAGCCCCGGGCTCAGCACCCCCCCCCCTCAGTGGGTCACCACAGAAGGGAGAAATTTCCCTCAGCGCAGTTGTCACTGCCTGGGTCCTTTTCATTCTCGTCTTCAGCCTGGTCTCCCTGGTGTGGGAGCCCCCGCCCCCCGCCCCACTGCAGGGAGCTCAGGTGCCTCCGGAGTAGCCAGCCCAGCCTCACTCCCCAGCTGCCCAGCAGGTTAGCGAGACCCTGGATACACGCTGCCAGGTCATCCCGCCTCACCCGCCCAGGGGTGGACCCTGTCCCCTCAGGACACCAGGCCGGAGGCTCTGGAGACACTCAGAACCCTTCCGATAAAAACGGCCTGCAAACAATCAGGGAAGACTCTGGTTTGTAGGACTTTTACTTTAAATTACAAAGTAAAATTATAACCAAAAATACTTCGGCTCACAATTTACTTGCCAGGCAGGCACGTGCTGAGCTGACAGGCGGACCCTGGCTCTGGTGGGCACCCTGGGTACAGGGTCCCGACGGGCCCGTGGCTCCCCATGGGGGCGGCTCCCTCTGCCTGCTCTGCCCCCGCCCTGCCCCACTGACCGAGGCTGCAGAAACGGACGGCTGACCGGACTGCCCGGCCCTGGGTGGTGGTGAGGGTGAGAAAAAGACAAATGAAAACACTTCCAAATTGAAGCGTAAGGGGTTCTTTTGGAACAATGAACTTGAAAGTCAAAGTCTTATTGAACCTTAAACCCAGTAACTTTTACTTCCAAATAAAGTGACAAAACCCCGAAACTTCCCGTCTGTCTTTGGAAAAGCTCAGTTTGTGAGGTGAGTGCTGAGGAGCTCCTTGCCCAGGACGCCCACTGGACAGAGCCTGCTGGGGCGGCGCGGGGGCAGGGCCGCACTTGCCTCGTCCTGCAGGCGGCACAGCCTCTCCAGGCCGCGCCACAGGCTCCCCTTCTCGGCTCGTTGAACCGCAAAGTGCAGCGCAGCCGCAGAGACCCAGGCTGGGCCTGCAGCGGGCAACATGGTGTCAGGGGACTCTGCATCAGGGGACAGGAAGCTGGAAGAGACATGTGTCATTACAGGAGCCTGGGAAATGAGCCGCCACCGGACACCTAAGTGGGGGGGGGCGGCAAGGTCCAGTCAGCAGACACAGTCTGCAGAGCCCCCACCTGCCATGGGCTTGTCCTGGGTTCAGAACTGTCTCTGGGGTCAGCATGCCTCTGTGCCCCAAACACGGGGGGTAGCGGGGTCTGACCAGGCCCCTTGCCCCAGTGGCCTGGGCTCTGGAGGGAGGTCATGGGCCGCCGGGGCTCAGCAGCCCAGCCTGCGTCCCTCTACGGCAGCACTGCACAGAGAGGTTCTCCAGGTCGAAAACAGGCTGGAGACAAATAATGGAGTGGAATGCAGTGGTGTAAGAAACTATCTGCTCTGTAGAATTAGGTTTATGGGCGGGACTTGCTTTGTTGGTTTTCTGAGCACACTCTGAGCACCGGACCCTGCAGGGAGACACGGTGCATCAGAGACAAAAACTCCAGCCCGTTGGAGGCTGGATGGGGACGCCATCACCCCCACACCCAGCAGGATACTGGAGACCACCCACCCACCAGTGCCGGGAGCGGCGTTAACTCTGATCGCTGGCCCAGCCCCAGAAACCACTTAGTTAACCACTCAGGCTGGGGTCAGTCTCTCCAGAATGTTCTTAAACTTCTCACTTGAATACGGCAGCTTAGTGCTGCTGCTTCCCTCTCACGGGTCCAGTGGATCCTGCCCACGAGGCACCCTCAAGCACTCCAAGGTACCCTGGAGACGACCCAGTCGGCCCCTAGAAACACCCAGCCCCGTCCCTGGGTCCCGGGGCCAGCACCTACCTGCCGGCAAACTCCCAGGCCTCACGCAGCCTCTGCAGCTCTCGGGGCCATGGGTCCTGGAAGCACCTCCACTTAGAGCGAAGCTCGGGCTCCAGACGTGGCCACCACAGCTGCCAAGAGGAAAGGTCACAGGTCGACAGGTCTGGGCGACTGTTCTATGAGCACTGAGGTTGGGGCAAGAGACATCCAACCCCTCTGACCGACGCCCCTAGCCTGGCTCGCACTGACCTAACACTTCATCAGGTCAAGGGCAGGACCCCATGCACTCCATGTAAGGAAGGCCCAGTGCCCGGAGTCCAGAGGCCTTACCTGAGGAGGTGCCCTACTGCCCAAGAGCTTGGCCCACCACCCCCGACACCCCATGGACAGCTGGTGTTTGAAACACAGAACAGGTCACCCACTACGCTGCAGGCAAAATGCTACCACCAGCCTGTGAAAGAGCTCAAGTCCCAGCGAGATGAGGAAGGGAGTGAGGAAGCTGTGTGTTGTCAGGGTGCTAAAAAAGTCAAGGGCACCCAAAGGCCCCACCAAGGCCAGCCAGCAGTGGCTGAGGTGGCTTCTGCTCCCAGTGACAGCAGCCAAGAGGCAAAGGCAGCGAACACGCAACCACACCCGTGGGAGAGCGCTGGCTGCTAACGTCCTACTGCAGCGGTGGGAGCGGACAAATGCAGACGGCCCGCCCCTCCCTCCCTCCCAGCTTTGCTGCTGCCTGAGGCCATTCGGGATGCAGAGTCAGGGAAACCGGTCACCCGACCTGTGTTCTGACATGTTCTCCTAACTTCTCCCCAAGTTTTTTCTCTCGAGTTACAGTAACTGGGATGACGTTTTGGTGGGAAACAGCCCTAGGAAGACAGCTGAGCCTACCAGGGCAGAGGTCAGAACCAAGGGGCACTCAGTGTGGCAGGCGGTCAGGGTCAGGTCTGCTGCCAGGGAGGGGTCTCTGCTTCGTGAGCAGGCGTGAAGGAGCCCCTGCAGGAGAGAGGGGCCAGAAGTTTAGTGGTTTGCAGGTGAACCCAGGCCCTGAAAGACACCATGGCTTCCAAGCAGTACCAGACACGAGGGCCCAGCCCAGGTGGTTTGTGCAGGCCAGGCTGGGGGCCAGGGGAAGGGCAATTACCCTGAAGAAGTGGACGGTGATGTCATGCGTCAGGGCACCTCCGTGGGAGAAGTTTCTCTGCAAACAGCACAGGCCACTGAGAGAGGGGCCACTCGCAGAAGAGCCTCTGGCAGGAGCCCCCCCCCCCACACCCTGACCCAGGCCCTCCCTGCTTGCTCGCTGCCTCCCCCATAGCTGCTCCCAGCAGCCAGGGCACCCAGCCCACCAACGATGGTGCTAACAGCGTTGCGGGGGGGGGGGCGCGGTCCAGGCACCGAGGAGGCAGGAGAAGGGTGCTGTGTGACTAAACGGAACCTCGGTTCAATCTCTAGTCACATCCGTGCTTTTCTGAAAGTTAGAGGAACACCCCTCAGGTGTGCAGAGGGCACATTTACTTATCACCTTACCCAGCCTGGTAAGATCAGAGCCCCTGACACTGAGCCGCCTGCAAAATGGAAGGAAACGGGGCCACCTGGTGGGTGAGTGTGGCGTCACCCAGACTCAGCAGGGGAAAGAGAGAAGTGCATCGTGAGCACATGGTCTGCACGCCTCGCAGGCCCCACCCTCAGCGGCCGAGGACAGCTCTGTGGAGGAGGCAGCGAGCCCGGGGGTGGGTGAGGAGGGCTGCACACCCAGGTGCTTGGGACCTGCCCTGAGGCAAGTGGCTCAGCGACGACAGATGCTCTCGTGAGGTCAAGCACCTACCAGCTCAGAGTTGACCAACTGGAAGAACTCAGCACAGTCGGGGGCGGCCGGCGGCTCCACCTGGGGGCTGCCCATGAGGATGGATGCAGGGAGGCCGAGGAGGACCCTTGGAGAGGAGGCAGTGCGTCAAGGGTGGAGGCCGGCCTGACGCCGCTTCTCCAGAACTCAGACCCCGGGGCTGCAGGGACCCCCCAGCTCGCCTTCAGGCCCGGAGTGTGGTGGTCTGCAGTCCCCACTGTCCCCAGATGGGGGCAGTGCAAGCACCAGGGCCCCACAGCAGACCCTCCCACTGGGGGCCCAGAGCCGCAGGCTCGGCTGCTTTGGCACCGCTCTGCCCCTGGGGGACCCCAGCACCCGACAGATGTGAACGCAGCCATGGTGAGCTCTGCACACACATGGCCTTCCTTCCTGTGACCTGCATGCTTTCCAGTGACGTCTCTTCGCAGAGGGACCCTGTGTCTGGGCAGGAAGCCTTTGCTCCCAAGGGCTTCTCACCCCTCAGGCCCTGCTCTCCATGGGACCCCAGGGAGAAGATGTCAGCACAGGCCAGGAACAGGGGGCACAGAAACGAGTGACAGACTCCAGAGCTGTTACCGTTTACACAGGAGCAGCTCCTGCTGTCTCTGAAGGCGGGAGGCCAGGTCCTGCCCGCCAGCCAGAGCCCGGAGCCGGCTGCGGAACACCCGGAAGAGGAAGTGTCCGCGAGAGGCGGCGTGGCCGTGGGGCACTGCCAGGCCCTGTTCCAGATCAGCAGCCATCTCCTGGAAAAAAACAAGGCTGAGACCCCCTGCACTTTCACCTCCAGTTCCAGGTGCCTCTCTGTCCCCAAATGCAAAGGCAGGAAGTCCCTGGAGCTTCCTGTCTGCCCCAATCAGGAGCCTGACATGGGCTGGAGAGTAAGTGGGACGTGACTTTTTACTTGAAATTAGAAAGTCACAGAATTTTTAAAAAAATAAGAATAGTAAAAAAAAAAATTAAAATCAAGAGCAGCACAAAGAACACCTTTACCCAGACTCACCCACAGCTGGCGCACAGGCCGGCGTGCCCGTGCCGTCCCCCAACGTGCTCCGGTGCCTGCGGAGGAGCAGCCCCCCACCCCCACCCCGGAAGCACGGCCCTTGCCCTACCGAAACAGGTGCCCTCCCTGGTCCCGACTCCCTCCATCACGAAAGATGTGGAGGACAAGCGGTCAGGACGAGGGATCAGGGCGCTGGGGTCTCTCTCGTGGGACAGCACTTACTTGTAAGCAAGCTCCCCCAGTGCTCCCAGCCACAGCCCCTTTCGTCCCCTCCGTCCCCCGCCCAGGCACTCTGAGAGGCAGCAGGGAGGCAGGCTGCCAGGGGGCATGAAACCCACGCACGGAACCCCACGAAACGGGACTGCTGTGCACTTCCAAAGGCAGGCGCCCCGAGCCCACATGGACGTGGGGACGGCGGGGCTCTCCGAGGGCTCCCCCCGGGGGAAGGAGCCCTGCTCCCGGGGACCCTGTGACTCTCTGTGTGGAGCCACCCGCATCACTTCTCAGAGCCCGAGATCCAAAGGGAGCAGTCGCGTGATGAGAAAAGTCGTGGGGCAGCAACAGTTTCATGACTAAGTTGGTATTTTCTCAATCATCTCTGTTTTCAGAAATGTCCCAAAGCTTGGGGACAAGGGTGGCACCACAGCCTCGGCTCCTGTGCCTCTACAATGGCCATTGGGCACACTCACAGAGGCCCTGGAGCTCGGGGCCGGGGCCGCGGCATGTGTGGGGGTCCCAGTTCTGCTCAGCTGCCGGAGGACCCATTAGGATACTCACACTAAACACTTTAATATCAGGCAGCTTCACGCAGTGAACATACTGAGTTTTGCATCTTCCGACTCACCTGCAATCTTGAAAAAATATCCCGATTTCCTGTGTAGCTGCCAAAAACCAAACCAGAATTTTCTGAGTGGTCGTAACTCCTTGAACTGAAACAAAACAACAGCGAAAGCCTCCTGAGTGTCTCCCAACTGTGGACCCTGCTCCTCCTGCCTCCAGGGAGGTATATGGTCACAGTCACCGACAGACAACAAAACTGCAACATGTGAAACAGCTATGTCCCATGATCCACTGGGACTTGTACCAAGAATGCAAGGTGAGTCCAACATCCGAAATCAATGAATGTAACAGACATGGCGACAGAACCACCAACACTATCTGATGATCTCAACAGACACAGAGGAAGAAGCGACAGACCGAACTCAGTGCCCTTTCCGTGATTAAACACCCTGAACCGGCTGGGAGAAGGGACCCTCCCCACCGGGACTAAGGACGTTGGTGAAGAACACACAGCTGACCTCACGCAGTGCTGAAAACTGGACACTTTCCTCCTGAGATCAGGAGCAAGACAAAGATGTCCCCTCTCACCACGTCCATTTAACACTACAGTGGAAGTTCTAGCCAGGACGACCCAGATGCAAAGGCCGTCTCTATTCACAAGAACCCAAGAGAATACACAAGAAACAGCAACTAAAAGTTTATGAAGTTGCAGAATAGAAAATGTATATATAGAAAAATGAGTTGTATTTCTGTGCACTAGCAAAGAATATTAAAAAGTGAAATAAAGCTCTGGCTGGTGAGGCTCAATGGACTGAACGCCAGCCTGTGAACCAAAGGGTCACCAGTTCTATTCCCAGTCAGGGCACACATCTGGGTTGCAGGCCAGCCCCAGTTGGGGACACGCAAGAGGCAACCACACATTGACGTTTCTCTCCCTCTTTCTCCCTCCCTTCTCTCTAAAAATAAATAAATAAAATCTTTTTAAACAGTTGGACAACTCACATTCCCCAGTTGAAAACCTAGTCCCAAAGCAGAGCAGGCAGACAGGACGAGAGGACACATGAGCAGATGGGCCGTGGAGCCGTCACCCTCTGTCAGCTGGTTCTCGGCTGAGACCTTTCCATGGGGGAGGGACAGTCTCCTGTACAAATGGGGTTAGGGAGCTGGACATCCTGTGCGGAATAAAGCGGGGTCCCTAACATATACCACATACAAAAACTAACTCAAACGGATTACAGGCCTGAATATGAGAACTGAACCTGAGTAAATGACTTGTGCACCTACAGCACGGGAGAGAATGCCTGCAGCTCACGCTCCGGCTAAGGACCTGGTGTGCAGAATCCTGAAGGGCTCTTAACACCTAATAGAACAAACAACCCAGTTCTGAAATGGCCAAAGGATCTGAACAGACATTTCTGCACAGAAGATACATGGACAGTTAACAAACAAATGAAAAGATGTTACAATATCATTAAGCCATCCAGGAAAAGAAACTAAAGCCACAGTGGAACATACCACTGCACACTCACCAGGACAAATACCGTCCGAAAGGCAGGTCACCACAGCGTTGGTGATGATGCATAGGAACCAGAACACCTCCCCCTGCTGGTGGGAGCGTGAAGTGGCGTAAGTTTGGAAAACAGCCTGGCAATTCCTCAGAGTCAAACCCAGAGTGTGACCCAGTGATTCCATTCCCTGCACGTGCCCAAGAAAAACAGAGCACAGGTCACACGAGACCCACACACAAGTGTTCCAGCGGCGTCACTCACAAAAGCCAAGCAGTGAGAGCCCAAATGTCTGTCAACGGATGATGGACACACGAATCGCGGTCCGCCCTCCCATGGGAAGTTCTGACAGACGCCACGGCGCCAGACCCTAAAAACACTCTCCCAAGTGAGCCGGACGGAGGCCACGAACTGCAGTCTCACTTACATGACAACCGTCCAGACCGACAAATCCAGACAGCATCCACCTCCCAAGCCGACCTCAGGAGCCCCTGGGAAAGCTGGAGCCGCCACACGCCAAAAGGGTGTGCGGAGAGTAGGGCCACACGCGGGCAGACCCTTGTGGAGGACAGAGGGGCAGCGGGAAAAAGGGGCGTCCGGCCTGCACTCTGTTCCACAGGCTCCTTCCCTGCGGCTGCAGTGATGTGGTGCACTCCCCAAAACACGGGGCCGGGACTCGCGACCTCACCCCCTCCCACAGCAACCGTGTGGTGGCGAGACACACCCCGCACGGCCTGGACGACACGGGACACCCCTGCCGGCCCTGGCCGCCGGTCACTGCACGTGCACCTCGGGTGGGGACCCACGGAGCACACCACCCACGAGCACACTTGTTCCCCTGTCCACACTCACTGACCCTGAGCTCCAGGTGACAAGACAGAGACACAGTCGTTGCCACTGGCAAGCGCACATGGAGGGGACTGACTCGGGAAGATGCCTTCACTTTCAGTAGATGCAGACTTGCCATCGAAAGGTAAGTTAAGTTGTGCTTTGGGCAACACAAACTGGGCTGAGGGGAATGAAAAGAACTACCAGAGTTGAAAGTGAGCCCTGGCTGGTGTGGCTCAGTGGACTGAGCACTGGCCTGTGAACCAAAAGGTCACTGGTTCAATTCCCAGTCAGGTCACAGGCCTGGGTTGCAGGCCAGGTTGCCTATGAGAGAGGCAACCACAGTGACGTTTCTCTCGCATGACGAAGCTTCTCTCCCTCTTACCCCTTTCTTCCGCCCTCTCTAAAAATGAGTAATTAAATCTGTAACAAGAGAGACGCTTCCCGGCACCGCACTCCTCACCTCTGGAAGTCCATCATCCCACTGAGGAGGACGGTGCACGCCGTCTGCAGGTCCCCGTCGCAGCCCCCTGCAGCGGAGGGCATGGGCAGGTAGTGCTCCCGGATGGCCCACTGGTGGAAGTCCCACCTGCACAGCAAACCCCGGGTCTGTGCTGAGTGACTCCCAGCAGGACGGCCACGGCTCCGAGTGTGCCCCCCCCGCCCCCCGTGAGGAGCACAGCACCCAGGGGGTGGGGCCAGGGGTCTGGGGCTGCAGGGAGCCCCTCAGGGGCCATCCACACCTGCTGGGTTGGGGAACAGAGGCTGGGAAGTGCCCCCAGGTCCACAGCACAGGGCTCGGGACGTGGACAGCTGCCCCCCCCCCCGAAGGTCTGAGGACAAACTGCAAACGCAGCACAGAGTCACCGACACTGCCGTCTGTGAAGGAGCCAAACCCAACGGGACACTCCCACTCGAGCCTGAGGCAGCCAGGAGCCGGGGACCAGCTGGGACTTCCCGCCTCAGACCTGCGCAGACCCATCTGGGGGTTTCTCATAATTAAAAAACACAAGAGGGAGGGGCCGGCGCAGCTCAGGGAGACCCAGATGGCCACTGGCCCTCCCACCAGAGAGACAGAAGGTCCAGAAGGGCAGAGCCCCCAGGGCAGGTGGGCACCTCTGCGAAGCCCTGTCAAGGCTGGCCTGGCACAGGGAAATAAAAACCTGCACTGTTGGACAAAGCAGTTAGTTGCTCTTTCCATTGCCACACACTTCTTTTCTCATTATTTCCGTGTTCCATCTGGATACTGACACCCCGAGACAAGAGTGGGGAAGGCGGCACTGCATGTGAGCGGGGAGGGGCTCCCACCTCACAGGGCACAGGGGCAGGTTGGACTGAGGCTGACCGTGCCCACCCTGACCTCTGCACCCCCCGACCCATGGGCCTATCAGCACCCAGCCTGCACCCCCAGAACAGCACGCTGGACCTCCCGACAGTCTTGGTAACCGGCCCGCAGACTTTGGCCCGCCCCTGGAGGCCAGTGCTCCTGAGGCCTCCTCCACGGCTGTGTGTGCCCTCCCCACAGGAGAGGTGGAGGCGGAGTCACACCGCCAGTGACTCCTGTCCCACTCGGGGAGCGTGCTGGCTGCTGCCCCTTCTCTGGCACCTGCCCTCGCAGCCCTGCCTGGTGCCGCCACAGAGCGTGGCCCCACCTCTGCTCCACTGTCTACCTGCTTGTCCTCGGGCCCGCACAGGGGCCAGCGGTGTGGTTCGTTAGCAAGTGACCAGTCAGAGGAGTCGGGGGTCGAGGTGCCACGTGGGCAGGTGTGTCACTTACAACGCATTCCCCAGCTGCTAGAACACCCTAAAAGTCGTCTGACAAATAAGAGCTCAGTTTCTCTTGAATAAAGAAATGAAATTGTGCTCACAGGTAATGTGTTACACTGAACATTAAATTAAGGATATAGCCTAGCTGGTGTGGCTCAGGGGACTGAGGGCCAGACTGCGAACTGAAGGGTCACCAGTTCGATTCCCAGTCAGGGCACATGCCTGGGTTGCAGGCCAGGTTGGGCCCCCAGTAGGGGGCGCACAAGAGGCAACCACACAGTGATGTTTCTCCCCCCGTTTCTCTTCCCCTTTCTCTAAAAGTAAGTATTAAAAAATAAAATAAAAAGAGGGGCTGGGCAGGGCTAAATAAATAAATAAAAAGTAAATTAAAGATATAACGAGGAAACCCAGACTTTCAGATCATGTGGAAAACTGTGGCGTTTTGAAGGGCAGAACCCTTTAAACACTTACCTTTCTGTGTCTGAAAGAGAATCCACTTCAGGCCGAATTTCCAGCTCCAGCTGCACCCAGTCTCTGTAAGTCAACTGAGGGAAGGACCAGCTGTGTCGCCCCGAGGACGGAGCGCAGAGGGCACGGACAGCCCCACATCACCCAACAGCCCCCCGGGGGCTCACCCCCCTCTGCTGCTGGCCGCCCCAGGCCCTGAGGAAGAACTGACCCCTGCTCACTTGGACTCGGGCGTGAAGCTACTGAAACAGGGGAAAGCACCGCTGCTGTCTTTGTCCTGATGCATCACTGGGGGACTCTCGCATGTGCCCCGCCTGGGGAGCACACCCCCAACCATGGCATATCGGGAGACGCGCTAACCGGCTGAGCCACTTGGCCAGGGCAGGAGCGGCACTTCTGAGCTCAGCCCTCCAGCACACCGCGGGTCTGAACAGTCTTGCGGTGGCAGCGGCGGACTCTCGGGTTACTGTGCACAGCACTGGGAAAGCATCGCTTTCTCATTCCCGGGAGGGAGTTGGGCAAGTGTGACCCTGCCAGATGGCACGCTCCAAACACTTGCGGTAGCCTACCTCTGGTTTTTAAGTTCCTGGAGCACGTGTCGACCAGGACTAACTTTAGAACCTAACGCTGCTTGTGAGAAAACGCGTCACAGAAACATGTGTGCAGCACATTCCAGCAGTGAGGGCCAGAGCCGGGCAACACGTGCTCAGGACTCGGGGAGGCAGAACCAGGGGCCGGCTGCAACGCCGCAGGGCGGGGCGGCCACCCTGAGGGCCTGGGGCGGTACCTGCTTGGCCTACTCTTGTATGAAGGTCATAGTTACCAATAAAGAGTTTTAAAATAAAGCAAGTGGAACACATGTTTGTTTTTAAAGACCAAAACAAACAGGCAAGCATCCAAGAAAGAAGCGACAAGCTATGAAAATGAAGCCGTGGAGCAGGAGCTCCCAGGCTGGAGTGGCCGAGGGTCCCGGGAACTGGGCTCGGAGAGGCCTGGGCCCAAATCGAAGCCTGGCCGATGTTTAAAATACACTTTCGTCCACTCTTCAAAATCTCTGCGCCCTGGCTGGTGCGGCTCAGTGGACTGAGCACTGGCCTGTGAACCAAAGGGTCACTGGTTCAACTCTTAGTCAGGGCACACGCCTGGGTTGCGGGCCAGGTCCCCAGTCAGGGATGTGCTAGAGGCAAGTACACATTGTTTCTCTCCCTCTCTTTCTCCCTCCCTTCTCCTCTCTCTAAAGATATATATTTAAAAATAATTTACCAGAAAAATCTCTGCAAAATGTTACTGTGGGGTGGAACTGACCAAGGGCAGAAGGCACCTGTCTGTCTGGTCTCTCACGCCTGCGTGTGGGTCTGCAACCATCCCAATAACAGTTTCGATCAAAGTCCGCGATGCCCGCGCGCCCACCTGCCCACCCACCATGTCCTCAGGTCCCAGATCTGAGTTAGGACGACGTGAGAAGCGAGGGAAAGGCCAGTGGGACCTACGTGAAACTCCTCCTCCTTCAACAGGTCCCGGAAGGCCTTATGTCTCCACAGACAGAGGGCGGCTCGCTGCCAGTCGACTGGGAGCAGGCACAAGGGCCGCCAGGGAAGGCTGGCTGCGTCCTCCACAGAGAGAGGCCCTCGGGCTTCTGAGAACAATCTGAGCACCACAAACTGGAACTGAAGAGAGACAATGATACGTCTAAGAGGTTCTGGAAACACGCAACCTGGCCCAGTGTGCCCTGTGTCACCTGCAGTGGCCATGCCTTCCTCTAGAGGGCGTGCTGGGTGCCCAGTGACCAGCACTGGGCACGGACGGCGGCGCCTCGGGGAACAGCCCTGCACACGCGCAGAAGCGCACGCAGCTGAATGGATGGTCTGACCCCCCCACAGAGTGACGCGTCCTCCCTGCCTTGGTCAGTGCTGGGGCCCCCACTAGACAGTGGCACTGGGTGAGCACAGCCTGTCAGGGATGAGTTCACATGTGCCCTTCGTACTCCAGGGGGGCAGCTGTTCCCGTGTTTCTCGAGTGCGGGCTGGACCACACGGGGACGGGACTGGACAGTGTACCGAGGACTTCGCTGCCGGGGCCACTCCTGCTCTGCAGTCCATGCTTTACATCCTGGCCCCTGGGACTGAGCGCATCACCAGCGACTGGCCCTGCTGTCCACCCTGCTGTCCCCAGCGCCGATCCAGGCCCAGGAGGCGGGGCTTGGAAAGCTCAGCTGACCCTGATGCAGGTTTGCACCTCACCAGGGGCCTCCTTAAATCTCTGCCTACGAAGCAGCAACCCCCCCTGCCTGGCCAATGTTTCAGGTTTCTGATGTGCTTTAAGTTTCTAAGTAAGCATAACAAGCACTCACAAGAGAGAACTCTAGAGGAAACATAGAAAAACTTTGAATGGGCAGATGTTTGAATATTTACCTTTTAGTTTACCTAGTTTATAGATATCAGTCTGTTTCTTTAAAAAAAAAAAACAGAAGAATGTCTGCAGTTGTCACCCACACCCCTCACTATAACTCGGAATAAGAGGCACAGCAGCGTCCAGCCAGGCAGACAGCCTGTGAACTGGGGGGCCCGTGCCTTGGGCTTCTGCATGGAAACTGGAGGCTCAGGAGAGAAGGCGAGACCCACCTTTTTAATAAGGCCCGGAGACAGGCAGCTGTACCAAGCATCACATGACTCGGAAGAAAACTTACACAGAGCGTAAGAAATCGCCGCTGTACAAAATCTGCAAATTCAAACAGAAGTTGGACTCAGAAATGGGAACCATGAACTAGGGGGAGTGAGGCCTGGGTATGATGAGTCTTGCAGAGTGAACCCGGTACCTTCCGGACCAGAGGGCCTGAGTGCCTGCCCTCGGCCTGGGCTCCAGAGGCTCAGAGGAGAGACAACCAGAGCAGCCTGACTCTGGGCCCAGAGAGAGTCAGGAAGGTGGCAAGAAAGAGAGTGGGGCCCGAGGCACCTGCAGGACCGACTCCCAGTAGGGACTGTCCAGTGCTGCCAAGAGCCCACGGGGCGGACAGGGTGCTGGGCCGTCCGCCTTTGGGACGGATGTCCAGGGGCAGTGACCCAACACAGACTTCACTATGAATGTCTCTCCTGCCCCTATATTCCTCATGACTTCTCCAGCCAACAGCTCCCACTTTAGACCCCATCAGAGGACAGCCCTGCCCCCCCAGGCAGCTGCTCTCACCCCCAGCCCCCCACCTGTGCCCCCGCACCTGCCACCCTGCACGCTCACTGTCCACTTGGCAGGGGTCCCTGCTCAGAAGGGCGGGGACAGGCTCCGCCCCGGGGCCTGGTGCAGTGGCACATGAACGGACCGGACTTACAGAAGGATGGATCTCAAAGCCCTTCAGGATGAGTTTGCCTCTGGATGGGGCCGTTTCACAGGCAGGGACTCACCCTACAGAAGCACCTGCAGCAGCTGCTCAGCACGGGGAGCCGGGGACCCAACCAGAGGCTGTGACCCCGAGACAAAATGGAGCCCCTCTCCCTGGCCCGAAGGACACTGAGAGACACTCAAGGGCACTGCGGGTCAGCACACTGCAGCACGTGACCCCGTTTCCACGAACGAGGAGACCAGCACTCTCCCACAAACACCCACACACGAGATCCTGGAAGGGTGCTCACAAACGTTAACCAGGGGCCACCCGTGGGGCACACCCGTCACTTCTGTCCACAGAGGAAACAAGTGACCAAGGGGCCGGCAGGAACTCACTTGAGGCAAAAGAGCAAGGACTCCTTGGACCCGCACGTCAGGAGGCTGTCGAAGAACTCGGGGATGGAGAGGCCCCTGGAGGGGGCAGGGGGACCCACGTGGACCTCCGGGAGCGCAGACCGGGGCTTGCCGAGGTGGGCGGCCAGGGCGGCCAGCCCCAGCACGTGCGAGGCCCGCAGGCCCGGGCCCTGCAGCGGGAGAGAAACCGGCTCAGCAGGGGGAAGGGGCAGAGCCCACGCCCAGCTGGAGGGAGGCGGCAGCCCTACCTGGTGACGGAGCAGCTGGCAGAGCCTGGAGAGCACCGCGGGGAGGAGCGCGCGTCCACAGGTGGCCGTCACGAAGTGGGCAGCCCAGGAGCCCTGCCTTTGGAGACAACAGCCAGTCCCGGTCACTCACAGCCGTCTCAGAGCCCGAGGACGACCGCAGGGGCCCAGGAGGCTTCAGTGAGAACCAGACTGTCCCCCAAATAGCAGGGTCTCCTGTGGCAAGGCTCCCCTTCTGCCACGTCCCACTGGATGAGAGCCCACCCGGAGCACCAGGCTGCCCAGGGCAGCTCTCCCTGCCCAGACTACCTGTCCGGTGGGGCACAGCTGGAGGCCACCATTACACTCTGACAGAAAGACGCCAGCAGGAGATCCACAACCTGAGAAGGGAGACGGTGCTGAGGGCCTCACACCCCAGAGGGGTCACGCACGAGCTGGGCACCGTCTCGTGTGCACGGCCAACACCCGCACGCGAACAGGCCCCTCCGAAGCTGCCTGGGACGAAAAGCTCGGCTCCCAAACCCTGGGCACGTGACGAGCCGTGTGTCACCCTGCAGCTGCAGCTGGGAAGTTTCACAGCAGAGCACGGCCAGAGAGCAGGCATTTCAGGCTTTGGGCCGGCGACAGCCTGGTTCAAACGGCCTGGGACGCTGCATGTTTGCCACAGACGTGAAGAACAGGGCTTCCAGTTCCTCAGCACAAACCAGCAGGTGAGACGGCTGTGCTCTCAGGTACCTCGTACGCACCTGCTGTTCCCGCTGCTCCAGTCTGGGAGCAAGGATGCTGAGCTGGATCTTTGAGACCTCAGGGCTGCCGTCGTCCTCGCAGAGGCCCAGGGCCGAGCTCAGCCTTTCAGCAACCACTGCAACCTGAGCGGAGAGAGCTGCACCGAGGAGCCCAGTCAGGCGAACAGGGCTGCAGGGAGGAGGTGCTCAGAGGGGCCGATGGGGACGCAGACACCTCCCACCACCAGCCTGACTGCACCCCAGGGCCTCGCTGCAGGGAGCAGTGACGAGGCCACGGGGGCACGTGTCAGTGCAGAGGGGCAGTAGCCGTCCACACCGGTCCTGCACATGTGAGGGCTGATGCAGTCTGTCACCATGACACACCTCCCCACTCATCTAAACCCTTCATCTGAGTCCCACACCAACTCTCCCCAAAACTTTGCTGTCTGCTGGAGGCCAACAGCAAAGAGGTCCCGGAGAGTGGGCGGGGCAACCACGCTGTGTGCAAATGGAAGGCCTGCCACCTGTAGGAACGAGGCTGACCTGGCTTCTCAGACACCCTGCTGGAGCTCTGAGGTCCCACCAGGCCCCAGGGTCTCCAGACACCACATTCTGCAGAAGCACAGCTCTGAAAGGTCAAGCCTCTCTTCCCCCCATCCCAGCAAAGGCCCTACGGGCAGATGTCCAGCAAGTGGTGACACTAAGGTGGCTTTATTAGCATGTCCTCCACCAGCTCTTAGGGATGTTTGTTCTTGGCTGGAATAAAATGACTTCGTAAGACAAAATGTCACAGCTCCTGGGTAAACACACACACAGCCTGTCACTTCAGATTCTGCATTTCCCATCACTGATGTCTGAGCACGCTGGGACTCCACACTCTGTCTCCCAGACTGTGCGCCCCGTGGCACAGAAGCACTCGGGCTTACCCAGCAGCAGGCGGAGGCTGCAACACCACATGGGTGTTGTCAGCAGAGAAAGCTCCACACCCGGGAGCACCGCCCAGCTTCCCCTCCACCACCTGGCCCAGGGGGTGCAGAACGGAAGAACAGTCGCCTTCTGCCAAGGGTGTGTGACAGCTGGAGACCAGTCCCCCACCCTGTCTGAAGGGGACCACACCCAACACCTGCCAGCACCGTGGTCAGGCCTCACTGCTAAACAATGAACGGCCAGAGCACCAGCCACTACCAGCACGAGGGGATGACCAGCCCCTCGGCCCCGCCCCAGCCCACCCTCACCGTCGTGCTGGGCAGGGTCAGCCACGGCAGCCCTGAGCTCTCCGAGTGCAGCTGTGAGCAGTGCCAGGGCGTCCTCTGCACAGCTGGGGTCCGTCTCCATTCCCCGGGCCACACCTGAGAGATCGGGGATGCATCAACCACAGGCTGGACAGGACACACAGAGCTGACTGTAGACCTCCTTGTGTCCGTGACCTCCTCTCTGTCTATAAGGAGATGAAACCATCCCGAGGCTGGACGCTGTCATATCAACGATCAGAACACTTAAGAAGAAGTTTAAGAACAAGCCTGGTGCATCCACCCCATCGCCACAAGGGAAGCAAGTGCCTGATGGGACCAGAGGAGAAATGCAGTGAGTGAGGCCCGGCTGGAAACAGAAGCGTGGGTGACAGTTTGGTCCTTGGTTCTCAAACGTTTAAGTATCGCCATTATATTACTGTTCACCACAGGAGGCAAAAAAAATCAAAGAAAAAAGGGTTAGCCTTTTATAAGCAGAACAAGTTCAATGAGGTATCAGTGGCAAAGACTCTGACACCACAGGGGAGCCACAGGGGTCTCCCTACAGTGACATCGAGAGTCAAAACCCGGGGCCCCTGGTAGGAGGCCCCCACATCCGGTCTGCAGCAGGGGACACTCTCAGAGCCTGCGAAGTGGGGCCGGGGGGCTGGTGACGAGGACCGGCAGCACCCGGCACTTCCAGCACAGCTGCTGCCTCAGCACCAGGCCAACGGCTGGGAGCCCCGGACCCCTGTCCTCTGCCCACTCGGGGTTCCGGGTCTCCATCTGTGAGAAACCACCCAGGCTGGGAAAGGGGGTTCTGGCAGACAGAAGCCCCATGAGTCCACACAGCCCTACAGAGGCCAGAGGGCTGAAACCAGCGAGCACAAGCTACTTGGACAGCACTGCCCCTGCCCGTGAAGGGCCAGTGCTGAGACGGCTGCCGGGTGGCACTGCTGACAGCCACCTGGTGAACGGCCAGGACACGCGGCCGAGCCTGACCAGCTGCTGCGGTGGTGGTCTCGTCTCCACACCCTTCCAGTGTGGCCTCAGTCCATGTAGCTTTTCCCTGGGGCCAGAAAGACAGCCCCCACCCCACAAACTATCCAGATGGTCAGAAAGCTGCCCCAGACCAGCCCCCGAGACAGGCCCGAGAGGCACCTAAGTGTGAAGCTGGCCTTCGGGACAGGCAGAGACCACCCTGTCCCCTGCGGGTGCGGCACCAGGAGGGTGCGTCCACTGCAGGTGGACGTGCTCCCTCCAGTGACACCAGGGCCTCTGGACTCAGGGCGTGGCAGACAGCACCACGTCCAGCCATCCTGGCCTACGACTGGTGCCAGCATCAGGCAGATCTGGAGTCACATCCAGCACTGCCTGACCAGACGGCACGGACCGTGGTGCCACTGACCCATCCCGTGACCGAGAACCCACGGCCATACCTGCGGGCTTCTCCTTGGCAGCGGCGGAGCAGGCTTGGCGGTAGGCGGAGTACAGGGACGAGGGTATTCTGTCTGCTCTGAACCAGAACGAAACATGACAACCCGTCGTCTACAACGGGAGCTGACTCACAAGCCGACAGTCCCAGAGCCACCGCCCTCAGAAGCCCGGCAGAGAGAGAGGGCACAACGCTGCGCCCTGAGACCCAGCTGCAGAGAAACCGGCACCTTCACGGGGCCAGGGCCACGCCAGCACACGTCTGCCACAGCGGTTCCCTCCCAGGGAGACTATGAACAAACTTCACTTCTCTCACTCAACTTTCAGTAATTTCCGAGCAGTAAAAGGGAGCCATCCCGGCTGGTGTGGCCCAGTGGATTGGGCACCGGCCTGTGAACCACAGGGCCATTGGTTCGATTCCCAGTCGGGGCACGTGCCTGGGTTGTGAGCTGGGTCCCCGGTTGGGGGCCCGTGAGAGGTCACCACACGGTAATGTTTCTCTCCCTCTCTTTCCCTCTCTCTAAAAATAAATAAGCAAATTCATTTTTAAAAGGAGAGTTTAAAGAGCTGGAAAGAAATTGAAAAATCAGCTCAGAGTTGGAAATAGTTGTCTCCAGCGAAGGGACAGAGAAGGGTGGTGGCTGTTTTTGATAAATTTTATACAACTATGGTTCCTTTTTCTACATCTATATTTAACCTTAAAAAAAACATTTTTTAAGACTGGAAATTTAAAAAAAGACTGAAAATAAATGTCAAAAAGACTAAGAAGCGACACCATCCAACTATAGATAAAAAGCCGGCACGGCCCCTTTCACGGTGACTCTGCATCAACAACACTGTCTTTAGTCCCCAGACCAGCCTCCTCCACGCAGAGTGGAGAGACTCACAATCCAGTTTTCTTTGTAAAATCTCAACCAACTAATTTTGAACCCAAATTTTTTTATAAGCAAGACGCACATGCAATAAGACAAAGCTCTAACACACAACCAGCGCTCTCTGCGCTGCCCAAACTGAGAGAGAGACGCACGCACCTCCTCAGAGACTCCACGAAGGCCTCTCGGGAGTCGGGGGTGCTCGGCAGCTGTGGGGCAAACACAAGACCCCAGTGAGGCAGGGACGTCCTCGCCCCCCGCCACCTCGGGCCCAAGTTCATGAAGAAGCATACTGACCACTCGCGGCGTGAGCAGGGCGGTCAGAAAGTGAGACACGTAGTAGGACCTCCGGAATACACTGCAACGCAGAAGAGCGGGCTCAGACAACAGCAGCACCGGGAGCCTCAGTGCACCCAGCAACGCCAGTGTCCGCTCCAGGGGGCACTGGGCCGGGGTCTCAGTTTGCAACTACAATGTTACATCATGTTGCTAAGTCCCAGCTCATGCAGACGGTAGTCTGTGCTTCTGTGCTGTGACCGCCTGTGTCCTGTCCCTGGTGTGGCTATGGCTTTGAGTCAATGCAAGGCCGCAGGGGTCACTTCGGGTCAACGCTGGCATCCCCCTTGGAGCTGACATAGAAATCCCGAGAGCCAGGACCAGGTTTCTCAGAAGGAACACTTTAATAAAGCGGCCTCACATGATAGCAGCCAGAATTTCAGTTTTGGGATGACACCAAATTTAACAGTTCTGCTATTCGACTCTCTGTACTGGCTTAATACTGGTCACCAGTGACGCAGTAATAAAAACTACTGTCCCTCAGACAGTGTGGGCTCCACTCAGCAACGCCCGTTGGCTGTTTGGGGGGTGCCGTGGCCTTTTCTAAAGAAAGCATGTCACAGCAGGGGCTCTGCACCCGCCAGCCACGGGACCACTCCTGGGACGCTCACACAGGCTCTGGTGTCTCCCCACGAACACGAGCACCTGCTGCAGAGGCGTCTGGGAGCCGCAAGGGCACCGCTCCAGCAGCTGGGCCCTACCTGGCCTCCATGACGGCAACGGGGATTTTCCCTGTGTGTTCAAACACCTGGATGGCCTTCTCCACATCCTGGGCCGCCTGGCTGTGGGGCTGAGTCCATGCAAAGAGGAAAGAAAAGAAGAAGACTTATCATTTTGCAGTAAAAGGTGCCGAGGCTGACGCACAGCACGTGGGAACATTCAGAACCCAGACGGCGCGGACGCAAGTCCAACCGAGCAGCTGAGCGACCGCCCTGCCTGCCCCCCCACGTCCTTCCTGCCTCTCCTCTCTGCCGCCTCCCGGACTCTGCAGTGCTCCAAAAGTTTCCGGGTGAGAAGAAACAGAGACATAGTTGCTGATATTATAAAGAAATGCAACAATAGATCTTAAAATAAAAAAACGCAGGAAGTATTTCAAAATACTCCCTTTAACGGCATCTATAACAGCTCTTCAGCACCTCACGGCTTTTAAGTAAAAGGGCCTTAGAAAGTACACGCACCACATTGCCTCCCGACACTGGGTCACGTGAATGCAGCCGACCCTCCCCCGAGACTCCTGAGGACGCACGACGCCTGCCCGCGCGGCGCGGCCCACCCTCCGCTCAGACCCTGAGGACGGACAGCCCTCCCCAGACGCCGGGCTGCCTGCTCCTGCTGTCAGCAGTGCGGACGCTGCGGAACGAGCACCCGGGGCAACTGGGACCCCCCGACTGCACCGGACACCCCGGGTCCCACACAGAAAAGGCTTGAACACTCCAGCATCACAGGAAATGAGACTGTGCTTGGAGGGCACGGGGACACGCCCGAGGGCCAGCACTGAGGGGAGTTACCTCTATGACGTCCCCGACTGAAGACAAGTCCGCATAGAGCCCCATGTTTTCCATAGAAACCTGCAGAGAAGATGTGAGCGGGAGCGTGAGGACCAGACGGGCGTGGGTGGCTGTGGCGGAGGCCGGGTGGGGGAGGGGAGGCCAGGACTCACCTTCAGGTCGGCCAGCCGTGTCTTGGCCAGCGCCACGTAGTCCGTGAGGAGGGGGCGGTACTTGCTGGGGACCAGGGGCGGGTGGAGGATGTGCACCTGTAGCAGGCGATACAGCAGAACACAGCCTGTCGACTGTTCCTGGTTTTGGGGGGAGACACTTGTACCACTGACAGAAAAAGTCCGAATTAGCCCAAGACCACAAGGGCAAAGTCGGAGGAGAGGTGGACAGAACCCTGGGTGAGAGGTTCCACGTGCGCTGGGGGTTTCCCATCAGAAGTGGGCAGGCAAGGACGCCGGGCAGCAGGCCTCCTCGGCCACGGAACCCCTGGCGGTCCTGTGCCCGCCTCTCCTGAGGTGGGGGTGCCAATGCTGCTGCTGGTGGGCAGGCTTCTGAGGCATTTTTCCATCTGAAAGGGTGGCCGGTCAAGCCTCCCACGGGTGCCCAGGGCCCTGGGGCCGGTACTCGGGCAGGTGGGCAGAGAGGCGCCAGAGGTGTGAGCAGCACTTGGGCTTCACCGTGACGGGCACACAGCTCGTTCTGTCTCTGCCTATGACCTCACCTGAACTCTTTAGAACGTAATGCCAATTTCTTAATTAAAAAAAGGCAAGAATCCATTTCCAGATGCCCTCCCCCAAAAACAAATGTTGGGTACAGTCATCTAATTAAATAAGACTTACAGAAATAAATATATTTTAACCGTAAGATTAACACAGACTTGCAAAAATAGTTTCCCACACCCAGAATTCTTCTGGGTACTTCCTTCCAGATTCTTCTTCTTCGGTATAAAAACAGATCATTCCTGAAAACCAAACACGGGACACCACACCTTCCCCTCCCACGTCAGTCCCGCAGCTGCTGCATGGCCGCCGGCAGGGGACGGACAAGGGGCTGCCTCGTGGCCTTCTGCTGTCGCCAGCGTCTCACCTGCAGGTACCGGGGGGCCTCAAAGGGCACGAGGTCGGACAGGAACTTGAAGAGGAAGACCAGCGCCTTCTTGCTGCTGCAGTGGTGGCCCCTCGTACTCCCGAAGGAGGCCTGGGGGGAGACGGGGATGAGGCAGGCAGCAGACGCCTGCTGTCCACACAGACACCTGTCGGGGCGGCACCTCGACGGTGGCAAACTGCTACTAAAAAGAGGAGCCACGGGGCCATTAGGTTCGTGCCCTTCCCAAACGTCACAGTGAAGCCTCGGCCACGGAAGCAGCTGGCACAGTACCTGCAGTGTCCGATGACCCTCAGAGGCACAACTCACCAACTGCCTGACGAGGCCCCTCCCAGGAAGCCCCATGCTCCCCACAGAGAGGCCACTCTTCCCCAGTGACACGCACAGCCTCCATACTCGCCTGCATGGGCAAGGCCAGGGCCGTGGAGGTGGCGGTCCCCCAGGTCACCGACAGCCCTGGCCGCAGCAGACGCCTTCCAGGAACCGAGTGCTGGGGGTGAGTGGGGCGAGGGAAACCGGTACGCACTGGCCCAGGGCACACTGCCACCTCCCAAACCACGCAGGTCCTGCAGCCAGGCCCTGTCACGGCCCCCCGCACACTGAGACCCCGCTGCTGCTGTTCTCCACAGAGAACGAGCCTCTTCTGAACGCTCTGATGGGGTGGACGCAGAAGCCATCAGACAAAAGGACCCCATCGCACAGAGGGGTTCCCGAGTCCTGGCAACACCCACTCGATGGAGAGAGAGCCTCCAGGACACACTAAAGACGGACGGGCAGGAAACGCGCCCCCGCGGCAGGCCTGCGGTGCACGAAGGCTTCGTGGGAAGGACCACACCCCCCACCAGACTGGGGTAAGAGCAGCGGGTGGTGCCGCTCCAGGGAAAAGCAGTTTCCTTCACTACTAGAAAAATTGCAGCCATGAATGTCTCGTGATGAGTTCAGAACTACTCTGCCCAACCCAGAGCTTAACTCTGACGCCACGTCTGTCTGTTCCTGAGAAACAGAGACTGAGCCAGACCTTCAAGGGCGGCAGTGTTCGCTGAAGGGTCCGTCCCAGTTTCTGTAAGTTCCAGTTCAGTGTGGCTGACTCGAAAGGCGGGAAGGGAACCCCAAGCCCAAAGCGCAGCCCTGGACGCACCACTGCAGCCTCCTCTGCTGCCCTGTGCTGTCTCGAGAAGGGAACAAACCTGAGGCCTGGCACACCTGACAGTGGCCAGAGCACCTGGGCAGGGCTCTCGGCAGGTGACATGCCGACACAGAAACGTCCCTGGGCAGCTCGAGGACCCTGCCATCCATCCTCCGCACACCCCTCAGAGCGGACCCCCAGAACTCATTCTCGCAACAGGTTGGGGATGTGCCGACGACCTACTGGGGGCGGCAGCAGGTCAGCAGAGGCGGCGCACCTGGAACCAGTCTGCGTAGGGCGGGAACACGGAGGGGCCCTCCAGCGCAGCCTGGCGCACGACCAGGAACACGGTGACCATGCTGTCCAGGTCGAAGCTCTCAAACGCACGGGCCAGCAGACGGGCCACCCAGTCTAGGCAGGAATAACGGAGAAGAATACAAGGCGTACGTCCTACCAGGGAGCAAGTGCCCCCACCACCTGCAGGCCCCACGCCGACTTCCAGGGCCTGGGAATTGGTCAGAGGAGCCAAACAGCAACTGCCCGAGGCTGACGAGCAGCGGCAGAGCCCAAGGGCACTGGACACGGGGCACTTTCGGGCAGGGGAGGACTTCTGTCCTCACTGAGATGGACACTGACTCCGCCCACAGGCTCACCCCAAACGCTGGGGTTTGGCTAACAACACGCCTGTCACCTGTACACACACACACAGGACGCCCACCAGAGCGCACCAGTCACCAGCTGCTGTGCTCCGGGGAAGCAGACCACCATCGTGGACACGCAGGACAGCACGTGACGCCAGTTCACCTCGTGTGTCTCCAAAACGGTCTGCAAGTGGCCCACCAGCTCCTCCGGACTCAGGAGCACGAAGAGCTGAAAACAAAGCTCGTGGGCTGTCGGAGCAAAACCGCTGCAGGGCAGGAGCAGGACACACCTGAGCCCCTCTCTGCAGCGGTCAGCACTGGCTGACGGCCGTGTGGAGAGCATGGGCCTCCCTCTGTGAGGACCGGAGCCGCAGCGCTCAGCCGGAGAGCTCAGACGGCCTCCTACCTGCCCCCCAGCCCCCCAACTCACCCTGCGGTACAGGCCGGTGAGCAGAGGGTGGGTCCTCGCGAAGCTCCACTCCCTCTGCATGTGAACGGCATCGGAGACTTCACCAGGAGGAAGAACAGACAAAAAACGTCAGCACTCATCACAAAGCTGTGTTCTAAAGCTGCAATGTCAAAAAGCTACCTTGTTTTAATTTGCACCTTTTCAATTAGCGAAGTTCACCATTTTCCTATTTGTTAGCCATTTCTGTTACAAAATGTCTCTTTGGTCCAAATATAAACATTCCTTTACATTTGCTATAAAAGTTCTCTAATGCATCAGCTGCACGTGAGCGCAGCTACTTTTAAGCTGTAACTGCCGGTAAGTGAGCAGTGAGGATGCGGGCGGCAGGCTGGGGTGGGTCCGGGGGATGGACACCGGCCTGAGTCCCCCCGGAGGACCTGCCAGGATGGACCGCAGCCCAGAGGCGGCTCCGGGGGCGAGGCGTGCCCCTCCATCGGTCCCGAGCGGTGCCATCAGCCTAGCACACGCATTAGCAGGAGGACGAGTGCTGAACACCAGAGCACTTCCTCAAGCCACCACACGGTTTTCGTGAGACATATGCATCTTGAAACAGAACCTTGGAATTTAAAAGCATAACTGTTTTTAAAGACCCAGGAAAAACAGATTTCATACTCAAGACATATCTACTTTGGCAACAAGAAGAATGACAGTTTTTCCCCCACACTTCTTTAATTCTAAATGTCCTTTATGAAAACACCACTTTCAAATGAAAGGCTGGATAACAATAGCGTCCTTCTTGACCTCACAGTGTCCGAGAGTGTTAACGTGGGGCCCAAGCTCCCGCCAAGGGAAGCCGCGGTGGTCCCCACCTTTCAGCACAGGCTGGTGAGTGAGGATCTGAGTCAGCGTGTGTCTGAAAAACCTCTTTGGAGAATCTGTCGAAATTATACTGCGAAGCGTGTGTCCACTGAACCCACTGAACCTGCAAACGGAGCAGAAAGGAGATGTCCAGGGTCCTAATGTCCCCACAACCTCAGATGGCTCATCAAAGCATTCCGTCCAGCAAAGCAGGCCGGGACCATCAGGTCCCGACTGCCAGCTTGGCAGCTCACGGGCAGCCCTTTCCGTCATCCTGAAACACCCTCTGCCAGACCATGGTGCCACAGAATCCTGGGAGCGTAGTTTCCACAAGAGAGAAAACCACAGGCAGGCAACAGACCAGCCAGGAAGAGGCAGGAGGTTGGAGGTCAGCAAGGGTCGGGCCTGAGGATCACGGTGGGATGGAGGCCTAAACCCAACAGAGGGCCAGGCCCCAGCAAGCCACCAATGCTGCAAAGCCTCAGTTTCCCCTTCTGTGAGATGGGGTCAGGCCTCAGGGTTACACCAAACTCGTGTGGAGTGTCTGGCACAGGGCCTGGCACACGCAGGTGCTCACACTCACAACTGTTCCGAAAGCCAACAGTGTCCTGTGACAGGAGCAGGAAGGAGGGACGGCCCTCCCTCAGAGGGAGCAGGACGTCAACGGACAGGCGAGGAGGGACGGAGAGTGACTAGGGCTGACGTGGGGCGTGTGCCAGGGTCAGCCCCGATTCCCCGTGGGGGAGATGGAGGGTCGCGGCAGGTATGTGCACTGCCAGAGCCGCACAAACGAGGGCAGGTGGGGCAGAAGGGAGAACAGGGTCCGCTGGCGGGCGTATCTGATTTCAGCACAGGTATTGGCAACTGATTTAAAGTTTTAAAAACAGACTGATGGTCATTATCTGACACCTGGGATGTGAGTTCGTGCTATCTAGGCATATTACAAAATGTGTAAAATTTAGAGACCAAAGCAGTGTTTTCACTGTTTCCACAAAGTAGGGAACCAAGTTTGGCCGGTGTGGCTCAGTTGGTTGGAGCATAGTACCGGGTCAAGGCACACACCCAGGTTGCAGGTTCTATCCCTGGTCAGGGCGTGTACAAGAAGGCAACTGATCGATGCTTCTCTCTCATGTTAATGTTTCTCCCCCCACTTCCTCTCTTTCTGAAAGAGAAAATGTCCTCAGGTGAGGATAAAAAATAAGTAATAAGAATAGTGAATGACATAGCCCCGTTGAGGACTATAAAGCATTTGAGGAGAACCAGAGCAGAATAGAGTAGGGAGATGCTAGGAGACTCTCGGGTTTCCCAGGACAGAGTCGATCCCCAGGCCCAGCCCAGAGTGTCCGCATGCAGCTCCAGAGCCAGAGAGAGACGAAGTCAGCGCGGCAGAGCCGGGGCCACTTGGGGTCTCAGCGGGGGCCCTGGCTCAGGTGCGGGCGACGGCCCACTGTGTGCTGCAGGAAGCCCCTCCAGGGCCAGGAGGGCAGGGCGGGAAGAGGGCGCCGTGACCGGCGAGAGCCTGTGCCTGGAGGAACAAGGGGCCCAGAGAGGGGCAGGCGGACCCGGGTCCCAGTGCTTCGCCGCCATCGCCCCTCCTGACGCAGACATGAGGACAGTGCCCACGTGCTCAGGAGCCCCCGTCAGTACTTGGGGGTGCTTCAAACACCTAGGACCTCTAACCCAGCGGAACCCCCCAAGGCTTCCCGGGAACATACCAGCACTGCGCGGCCTTGTGTGCTAAGGACTCCTCCTGCACGCCGTCCACCAAGGCCTCCAGCGCCACTGCCGCCGGCCGCAGGGAGCAGAGCACAGGCGTCAGCCGCCGTCCCAGCCGCCAAAAACCACCCCCGATGGAGTGCTTCCACACAAGGCAGGCGTCTCTGGTGGGAGCCCCTCACTTCCAAGGTACGGGCCTCCCGGGCCACCCAAACCCCAGATGGCACAAGGCCTTGAAGCTTCAAAGTGAATCGCTCAGTGACGCCTTTAAAACCAGTCACTGCAAGCAATATGCAGATAATCAAATGTTCCCAAGTTCACCATTAAACACAATCAGCCATTCACAGCTCTGAGGAACTGAGCCAGGAGAAAAAGGGGGGTAAGTTTATGCCAAATTACACCCACAGGAGGGGTTTTCCAGTATGAGGACTGTACAGGACCCCTGCAAACAGGTGAAACCCTGGAGACGGACAGGCAGGGAGCGGAGGACCCTCCCAGTCTGGGGCCCGGGCAGCGTACTCACGGAGCAGCATCGCCTGCAGCACAGCGGCAGCAATCTGCAGACAGACGGAGCCCCTCGCTGAGTCACGCCCGCGCACCACGCGAGCGCCACACACAAAACGAACTTTAAAGAGGGGTGCTGCTAAGAGTCCCCTGGGTCTGCGTGTTATCCCAACAAGGAAACAGAGAGAGCGAACAGCGGACTCTCGGGAAGTGTCTGTCTGACGTCCTGAGACCGCTGAGGCCCCAGCCCCACTTCGCACATGTCCTGACTGCCCGGATGCTACCCGCACAGGGGGTCCTGCTGCGGGGTCTCAGCTGTGCCCAGTAAAGAGCACCCTTCCCTTGTCTGTAAGCACAGGCCCAGAGAACACGGGGGGAGGTCACGGCCTGTCCCACTCCCCACACCTGCTGGACTAGGGAGGAAGACTGTGGAGGCATCTCATGGTCACAGCAAGGCCAGTCACCAGGCCAGGGACGGCCAAGGACAGGCATGGCAGGTGGGGGTGGGGGGCTAACCCAGCAACCCTGTGGCACTCCCCTCCGCCTCTCCTCCTACCTGGGGCATCCGTTCAGCCTCCGTATTTCTTCCAGGACCCGAGTCTTTCTGAAATCCCCTCAAAACAAACATTTGCATAAAATCTGGAAAGCACAAAAACGAAGTACTTACACACTGCATCCCAGTCATCTCGTAAGTGACAGGGGCTCCCAACCCTCCCCTGTGCGTGAAATGCACTCACTCAGCACAGCCCCAGACCCACTTCATGCCACACCCGTGGGGGCTCCTGCCTCCTCCTTCAGCAAACACACCAGCCACGGGGCCCCTTCCACAACGGGGCAGCAGGCAGACTTACCGCAGTTCCCACACAGTTCAGGCTGAATGCAAACACACTGTGACAGGCACGGCCCGAGATGACTTCGTGCGAGCTCCCCACGCCATGGCATGGGGCCTGTCCTGCTCCCCACGGTCCTCATCACAGACAGCTGGCCTCAGTGAGCTGCACCCAGGAACCACCTCCGGGAGGAACTTACCAGAGAGCATGGCCCCGGCGATGTCTGAGTGTGGACCGGACTCTGCTGTCTGCTCACACAGACGGCGCACGTTCCCGAAGAGCCATGCCGCCACTGCCTGCGCGTCCTCGTGGCTGGGGACAAGCACACAGCACACCTGGCCCCACGGTTCCACAGCCACCGGGCCACTCCCCCCCTCATTTCACTAGGAGGCTCAGGCCACGGAGGACACTCGAGCAACCACCTGAGCTTCCTGAACGGGAAGTCAGAGCTCACGTGGAAAGCCCTCCGGGATGCTGACGTGGTTTTCACTAATGTGAAAAACGACCGTGTTCAAGTTTACCGGTTGCGAGCAGCGGACTGCTGCTGGGGGCAGAACGCTCGGTTGCAACGTGATCAGACGACACAGCAGCAGCCCCAGGCCAGAGCCCGCCACCAGGGGATCGGCCACTCTCAGCTTAACCTCCCGAGGACCACAGGCGCTGAGCCCCTTTACGTGCTTGGCCATCCGCCCATCTTCTCTGGGGAACTGACTGAAATCCTTTGTCCATATTTAATTGGAATATTGAGGCCTCCCCCACTTCAAGGTTACAAAAACATCCCTCTAGGACTCCCCTGAGTGCTTTCATAAATTTTTTTTCCTTCTCTGACTCATCAGAATGTTTTTGGTATAAAGATCCAACTTAAAATCTAGACGGGGCCCACGTGTCTCATCACCAGTGGTTTCAACACAGCATTTTCAGCTGCCAGACAAGCCCCCAACAAGAGGCCATTTCTCCATCCGAGAGAGTAAACCCGCAGCCCCCAGTCTCCCGCCCCACCCGCCAGGGGAGGAGCAGCTGCTTCTGCCTGAAGAAGAGCAGGGCCCATCCAAGGTCCAAGTGCTCCTGGCACCTGCTTTCAGTGCGTCAGTCTCTCCCCTTCCACCCCACATCCACAGGCACCTGGGGCCATCAGTCCCTGAGACTTTTAGGGAGAAAGAATGAACCGGATTGGCTCCCTTCTTTCCACGCTGCTGGCTCAGCACAAGCTGGTCTCAAGTTTGCTCAGTCACCTGCCTCTTGGGACCCACCTCTGTTGTTAGTATGGCTCCCCCCACACTCTCCCACCCTCACAGGCTGTACTTCTCTTATAAAACCCCCGTTCTCAGCCTTGGTGGGACTCTACGAGGGGCGGGGGCAGAAGTCCTTACGCATTTTCTATAAACCACATTTACCTGAACATCTTTCTAGTTTTTAAAAACACACTTTCACATGATACAGCTTACAAAGGAAACATCACCGAGTGTGCACATAAGACTTCGATTACAAAAACCATTCTCTTTAAATAATAAAATACGGTTGACCCATGGACAACTTCTGACTCCCCCAAAATGCAATACAGTCACCATCCCTCAGTATCTGCAGGTGATTGACTCCAGGGCCCACCACAGTACTCAAGTCTGCATGTAAAATGACACAGAACGCCCACGGCCAGCCCTCTGCACCCGCAGATTCCCAGCTGCAGACTGAATTCTGGTTTTGAACCTCTTGGTTAAACCCACACACGCAAAACCAATGGATACAGAAGGCCAACTGCATTCACTGGTGGGGAAAAAAACCCACGTTGTTCAAAGATTGGCTGTAATGGCCTCCCCGGGCGATTTTGGCTGTGATGCATAAGTCACGCAGGACCAGGTCACAAACATGGAGTCACGTGACATAAGGAAACGTTCTACCGTCACTACCTTTCCAGCAGCTCTTGTAGGTTCACAACGTTCTGTACGTGCAGACGCCACACAGCTTCCAGCAACAGAGAATCCTGGAGAGAGTGACAGTGCTGAGTCCTTCCGGACGAATTCCCTATGGAACGTGCAGCCTGTGGTCTTCATCGCCAAGCTCTATCGAAAATCCAAGTGCAGGGCCCTGGCTGGTATAGCTCAGTGGATTGAGCACAGGCCTGCACACCAAAGGGTCACAGGTTTGGTTCCCAGTCAAAACACATGCCTGGGTTGCAGGTCAGGTCCCCAATAGGGGGTGCTCGAGAGGCAACCACACATTGATGTTTCTCTCCCTCTCTTTCTCCTTCCCTTCCCCTCTCTAAAGATAAATTTTAAAAAAAAAGAAAGAAAGAAAACCAAGTACAGTAATAGCACAGCCTGAAATGTGCCTCATCTGCCAGGGTTTTAACCCCACCAAGCCTGCAGACACACCCACAGCCAGCGGCTCCCTCCTCCTGACCAGCCGCACCACGGGTCCCGCAGGCTCCGGCGGGACCTGCCCAGTCACTGGCTTCCTGCACTTCCAGACCTTCCTCCACCACGGCCACCACAAGACTCCAAATCACAAAGGAACATGCCAGTCTCTTTTTGGGCTCCTGCAAGGCCCCTCACAGCATCCAGGACACAGTTCCCTCTTCAACACGGCACAACCCTTTGTGACCGGGGCCCCGTCTCCTGTCCTCCCCCAGCACGGACACACGGTCCCCTCGGTCACCCTGCTCCAGTGGCTGCAGCCCCGGCAGACTGCGCTCCGCCTCCACTCATGCCCCTCCCAGCCCCAGCCACATGGGCAGCCCCCACCGCTGCCGCGCCCTGTGCTGCGCGTACACACGGTGTCTTTGAGTGTTTCCTTCCTGCCCGCAGGCACCTGCTCAGCACATCCCCACTCGGGGGCTGCTGGGGTGCTTGGTGGAAAGGCTTTCTTCTCAAAGAAACATGGGGGACCCCCCCATGTTTTGGGGGTCCTGGTGGCTCCCCCCAAACAACAGGACCCTGACTGGAAGAGCCCCGGAGTCAAGAGTTGCGACCACAGGAGTCAGAGCTGCTACCTGTGCTTTCCACAGTTCTTGACAGAAGGAGAGCCGGGAGAACATGTCGTGCTCCGATAACTGCCCAGTGATCTCCAACAAGGAAGACAGTTTCTTCTGAAACGAGAAGTCTTGTGTAAAAGTGGGCAAACATCTGGAACAATGTTAAAGAAACATCCCACTTTCCCCAACAGCTTAGAAGAGCAGCATGGTCTCTGCGTCACGCCGCCTTACTCTCTGCTCCGGGTCCAGCAGCACCCCGAGAGAGGGCTCGACGTGCGCCTTGCAGATCTGCACAATGCCGGAGGCCACCGTCTGGCTGGCCAGGACTGCCACTGGAACCCCCAGCCTCAAGGCCTGGTCCCGCAAAGCAGAGCCTGAAGACAACACGAAGCACGGGAGACACACTGCAACACCGAAAACAGAAGGCCCGCGGTCTCCGACGCCACAGAATGCTGCCTGCGGAGGGGGAACTGACGTCCAGGGAAACAGGAGCTGGGTGAAGACCATCTGGGTTGGAAGCAGCTGTCAGAGCGCCTGCAGCCCACAGCTGCGCACCTACACGTGTGCTTGGTGGGACACAGGCGGGGCTGGCAGTTACATTCTGATGGGGAGCTTTATTGCCCTGGACCGAGCTCAGATGGTTAGAGCAGCATCCAGGTAAGTCAAGAGCGTGGGTTCAATCCCGGGCCAAGGCACATACAAGAGTCAACCAGTTAATGCATAAACAGATAAAACAACAAATTGATGTCTCTCAAAAAATCACCTAAATTTTTTTTAAAGTTCTACCAACTTTTTCAAAGGAGCACAATAAGTTGAGAACTACAGTAGCCTCTGTTTGTGAATTCCTGTTTTTTTTTCAATAATCACTTCGGCGTCAAAGACGAGATTGGACCACTGGGGTAGGACGCAGCGCTGGGGGGGGCGGGGAGGAGGCTGTGACTCACCGACCAGGGCTCCGAGGTTGCCGTGGTCGGACCGCAGGTCAGGCCAGGCGCTGGGGCGCAGCTTCGCGGGCAGCGGGCCTCCCACCTGGAAGTAACATAAACTGGGCAGCGTGCGGCAGCTGCACCTCCAGAAGGTGAGCGCACCCCGTTGGCTCCTCACCCGTCAGCACGGAGCTGGCGCCACCGACCCTCTGGTCCCGCAGGGACGCAGTCGGTCCGCCGCACAGGCCCGGCTCCTTACCTCCAGCAGAAGGTGGCCCAGGTTCAGGTGGCGCCTTAGAAGCTGCACCGCGGCCGCCCGGATCTGCTGTCCCCGCTCAGCACCGGGCTTCTGTCTCCTGACCCTGCCCACTGAGGGCAGGGCCGGACAAAGGGAGCGCCAGTCAGAGACCCGGCAGCGGGCCCTGGCGACACCGCCCCCTGCCCAAGCCTCACCGCGGGCCCACCGAGGGCCATGGCCGGGCGTGGAACCAAGGCCACACGCCGCAGCTACCCGCGTTCCCGGGCCGTGCGGGAGACCGCACCCCCTTCACAGGGCTGCCTTTCCCAACACGACGTCTGACACTCCACGACCAGGGGAGGAGCCGGAGTTCGGGGTGCAGGGTCAGGAGGAGGGTCGGGGTCGGATCCGAGCGGGCTCAAAGCAGCCAGCGCGGGGGAAGACCCTGGCCTCCCCTGCTCGGCAGGCTCCGGTGGGAAGGGGCCCGCAAAGGGGCCCAGTCCCGGCCCTCGCGCCCACGTACCCAGCAGCTCGGCCCACGTCCTCCTGCGGCCCCGGGGCCCGGGGTCTTTAGCGCTGTCCCGCATGCTGGAACCAGACATGGCGTGAACACTGGACTCTCCCGCGGCTCCCAGCGTCCGGCCCGCGCTGCTGTCCCATTGGCTCGCAGCCAGCGCTGCCTTTCCATTGGCTGGAGGCCCGCGCTGCCTTTCCATTGGCTGGAGGCCCGCGCTGCCTTTCCATTGGCTGGCCGCTGCCCGACCACACCCCCGCCGGGGCAAGACCTAGTACAGCGGCCATCTTGGTGGTGGCGGGCAGGAGGGAAACGACCCCCACTTGGGCGGGGTGGAGCTGGGATTGGAGTTGGTGTTTAGCGGGGCAGATTCAAAACGGCATCCACCTACAGGAAAACTGCGGCACGCAGCACGCATTATTCCTGCCAACAATGACGCGTGGCTGGTCATGAAGAAGCAACCGGCCAAACCCAAATCCAGAAAGACGCCAAAAACCGTGGACAACGTCCTTCAGACCGTAAGTGTAAACGGGGAAATCAGCCCGCGGGCGCTACCCGGTACAACCTGCGAGGACAGACCTGGTCTGTGTCCCCTCCTCCCAACACGGTAGCTCGGGAAGCGGCCAGTGACACCAAGGAACTAAATGCTTAATGTCACTGGACTTTACGTTTTGGTGACCACAGGATTCCGGCTCCCCAATGATACAGCACAGCGCCAGCCTCCAGCCGCAAACACAGGACTCAGAACTGCCCGGTGAGAGGCCCTCTCCCGGCGGGGGGCCGGGCTGAAGGCTTCAGTGCATAGTGTCTTTCCGGTTTACGTGTGCGGAGGTGAAGCTCACCCATGTTTCTGGTTGTGTAGTATTCCACTCTACAAATACAGTTTGCATTTAATATTTTCATATGCTTATGTTTTATTTTCTGGACATTGTATTATGGTTTTACATCTCAAAAAGCTTAAGCTGGGGAGAGACTGCCTGTACCGGTCTAGCCAATTCTTAGCCACCGCAAAGGGCTGGGGAGCGTGCATGTGATACGCCAACCAAGGGGTCCGGAGCCACATCTGCTCCATTTGGGCCCCAAACCCAGGAGGCGACAGTGCTCTGCCTCAGTCACCGCTGGGTCTGGTGCCAGACATCTTGGAAGTAGCTGGTCCTGGCAGTTGCCCCCACCCAGCCTTGCCTTTCCCATGGAAACCCCCAACAAAGGCAGTGACCTTAGCCTTCCCCTCGTTCCTGTCTTCCATCTTCCGGCCACCCTGGCGCTGCCCCCTGAGGCCCTAAGACTCATGAAACTTTGCTCCCCTGAGCCTCTCCTGTATCTCCTCTCGTGATCATCAAAGTATTCAAGTCATTTTCTTAAAAGGCGAAGTGAGGCAGCTCAGGGTTAGAGCTGAGGCCACCAAGCCAAGTTTACACCCCGCCTGGGGCCGTGGGGCTTCACCGACCAACCAACCTCTGGGCAAGGGGAGCAGACTGCCTGGCTCCCCAGGCCCTGGGGCTGAGGATAAACTGTAGGAAGCCCGTGAATAAGGACACAGTCTTTCTCATCACCGCAAACAGAAAGAGCTCTTTAGGTTTGCTTGGACAGGTTGTTCCTTGTACCACTTTTACACATGTGTGAGAAGACAAGCCGGTGGACACCGTGTGGAAGGCATCCCGAGTCCCCTGGCCCTTCCAAGGGGTGAATTAGAAGCACAACCCAGTTTCCTAAGTAGGAGAAGCGCCTGTTCTTCCCACCTACATGAGTCTGTCTCCTGTGCTTCCTTAACTTTCACACAGGACACCACGTCTAACCCTTCCGGGGGTCAAATATGTGGAGGTTTGACCCCATAACAAGCAGTGCTGACACCAGCTGGGTGTCCCGCAGTTCAGGTCAATTCTGCCACCATCTTTGCGGAGACAGATCCCCCAAGATGGCCTCCACTTCAGGCACCAATGCTAAGTTGTAGGCCCCCAGATTATCTGCAACCTCTGCCAGATTTGACAACAAATTGGGGAGTCTCTAACCCCCTCCTCGGGTTCACTTAATTTGCTAGAGCAGCACACAGAATTCAAGGAAACATTTACCAGTTTTTTAAAGGATATGCTGAAGGGTACAGGCTGAGGTCTAGGAGGGTCCCGAGTGCTGGGGTCTTTGTCTCCACAGAGCTGGGATGGATGTGTTTCCCGATCTGGGAACTCCCCGCAGCCCCGTAAGTTTGGGATTTTATAGAGGCTTCTTCACGTGGGCACGATCCATCGCAAACTCCTCTCCCAGCCCCCCATGCCTGCTCTGTTCTGGAGGGTGGGGGTGAGGCAGAGACCAACGTGTATCTCCACTATGGCACGGCGGGTTGGAAGAGTCAGCTCACCTTCCCACTCAGTCCCATCAGCCAGGTCTTCCCCCTGCCCCTGCCGAATCTGCTTCTCATCTCTTCCTGACCCTTCTGCCCCGCACAGCGGGGATGGCCCTTATTTCATGACACTCTGTACGTGGAAATGGGCAAGAATCAGGAAAGAACAGGAAGGATTTTTCCTTGGCATTGTCTGAGGTGCCAGGAAAGACTGGGGATAAGGGTGAGTCCCTCACAGACTCCGATTCCCATGCCCTCCCCTTGGAAAGTGACTAAAGGTCTTTTATATCTGGAAAATCCATAAAAGCCGGTACCTCGGGATGCTCTTCAAAGCCCTGGGGGCAGGAGAGGCCATTCGGCAGCTCCACATGCACCCCCGCCCCCTGTGGCTCTGAGCACTAAGGGGTCTTCCCTCCCCGAGGTTCGTCCTGTGCCTGGTACCTGTGCCCCTTCTCTGCCCCTCTGGACTGTCCACCCACCCCCAGGCCGTGCTGACTGCTCAGGCCGCATTCAGCACAACCACGCTTTTGTTTGTGACTGAGAAACACAGGGCCAGGGGTGGGGTGTGGACACCAAGTCAGACCCCCGAAGTCCGCATGAGGATCCTCTCAGCGCCTCCCACTCCACGGTGACTAGGAAACCACAGCGAACAGGCAGGCAGCAGTGCTCAGGCAGCCCCAAGAGTCCCGTTCGGGGTCCTGGCCATCAGCTCTGCCCGCCCCCCCCCCCTCTGGCTCGCAGTGGGCCGTGCCTCTGTGAGAGCTCAGACCTCGCCCTGAGCTGCCTGTGTTCGGCACCTTTCAGGTTATTTGAGGGGGGAGACTATTAAGTTTTAGAGAACAGAGTTTCCACTGGGCCGTGAGTCACTCCGTGAAAAGCTTTTCTCTCTTCACTTCCTCAAGCTGCCGACTAGGACTGAGCCCTGATTACTTTAATTATTTTAATTAGCAATCAAATCAGACTTGCGTTCTCCCAAAGCTTGCCAAATTCCAAAGTGTAGACACAAATCTCCCTTAACCAAGTGAAGTTATAAAATAGCTTCATAAAACCCGCCAGCACTCGTCCAGCTTGGAGGGATGCCGTGCTCAGAGCTGGAGGCGTGCGCAGACCTGAGGGCCACACGCCGGCCACCTGGCTCTGTCCGGCCGGGCTCGGGTGCAGGCTGGGGACCACACCCGCCTCAGCGGGGCAGGCAGGGCCCATGCATGGCGCCAGTGCGCACGTTCGGTTTGCTGTGAGAACACCAATGTTCCGCATTTCTACACTTCGAGGTTGTGCTGTAGGAAGAGGCAGCCAAAGGATCTTGGTGCTGTGGTGAGACCTTCTCCTCAGGAAGTGAGGCCATTAGAGTCAGAGGGTAGAATGGCTGAGACCCTCTCCTGCAAGCACCCAGACTACTCAGGAGAAAAACAAGGCACAGAAAACCTTCCAGCCTCAGTTTCTCCAGTTGTAAAACCAGCCTGACAGATGCCGGCAAGTTTCCCGGGGACTTGTGCGTGAAAGTCCAGAGCGCTTGGTCCACAGCCAAGAGTGACCTTTAGGGTTTCATCTGGAGCCCAGGGCCAGCTGAGAGCCGCTGAGGTGACGCAATAGTGAGGGGACACCCTCTTCCGTCTAAAGGCTCTCCTTCCCCAAGGGCAACGTCTGGACAGCCGGCCACCTGGTAGCAGCCAACACCCGTGCTGCCAGGCCCCTTCCCAGAAGGGGGCCTCTACGGAATCGGAGGTGGAGGGCGTGGGACGCAGCGGGCAGGAGCAGGGACTCTGTGCTGCCGTCCTTGTGTAGTGGCCGCCACAAATCTCAATTAGACAAAGCCAGGAAGCCACAGCACAAAGCTCAGCATGTGTGGGTGCGTGCACACACGCGCACAGTTCACTTAACCCCACTGTCCTCTGCTCTTCCCAGCAAAGTCACCCATCAGTGGCAGTGGTAAATGGAGAAGCAGGGACGTGAAAGTGCTGATGCCCCTGTCCCCTGCTGCGCAGACAGGTGCTGGGGGGCTGCCTGCGGGAGGGGGTTGGCGAGCTTGGGAGTGGCTTGAAGGGCCCCCCAGTAAAGCTGAGCCAAATCAGGGGTGAGGCAGGAGAGGAGAGTCGTCCTTCTCACTCCCTTTCTTTCTGTGTCCTGTCACAGCCACTGCCTTGAGAGGGACAAGGAGGCCCAGCCGGACTTTGAGCTCTTGGAGAAAGCAGAGTCGGTCGCCTGCCTCTGGTGGGACCACAGCCGCAGGCAGCCAAGGAACTATTTCGCACTTCAAAGACAATTTAGTCAGAAAGACCCAAAATAAAGAAGGGAGCTGATTCAGCAACAGAAAACATTCAGAATACCAAAGACTGTCCTGGTAGCTCAGTTGGTTAGAGCATCATTCAGATATGGCAAGGTCGTGGGTTCAATCCTGGGTCAGGGCACAGACAGGCATCAACCAGTGATGCAAAAATAACATCAGAACAACAAATCGATGTTTCTGTCTCTCTTGGTCCAAAAAAGTTTTTAAAAAATCAATAGAGAAATAGATTAAAATAAAAACATTGAATACTGCCTCAGGCCTGTGTGAGGAGAGAGCCTGGCTTGGTTATCAAAAGTGCCCCCCTCACCGTGACGAATCCAGGAGGTAGGGTCCTTCCAAGCACAAAAACTGCCCCCAGCACCGTCACACGACCACCTGGACTCACTTCGGCACAGAAGGGAGGTGTGAGACCTTTGTTTCAAACATGGGAAGGACCTTCTCCCCCATTACCAAAGTAGAAACACATGCTGAATGACGACTACAATGAAAGGTACAGAAAAGCACTGATTTGCCCAAGATCACACCCAGAAACAGCTTCCACTGATATTTTACTGTGCCTA